GCGTGGGGGTCCGTCCTTGAGCCGCTCATCTTCGGCAGCACACCCTCCCGCCTCGCGTGGCCACCCGCGCCATGTCCGCGACGCGTCCGGCACGTGTCCCGCAGGCAACTCGCTCGACCTGCACCCGGTGGTGGTCCTCCTCTCCCTCATGATGTGGGGCACCATCTGGGGCGTGCCCGGGCTCGTGCTCGCCGTGCCGCTCACCGCAATCATGCGCATCCACCTCGCACACATCGACCACCCGCTGCCGCGCTACCTCGCGCGCGTGCTCGTCGGGAGGGAGGAGCGCGCCCCTCACACCCCCCGCTTTCCCCCTCACACGCGTCCCTGACACGTCACTGACACGTCCCCTGGCACGTCCCTGACACGTCCCTGGCACGTCCCTCCAGGTGCGGCGCGACCCGCTGCTCGGCTCCGACGCGGGGTCGACTCTCGGAGACGGTGCCGCTTTAGGCAGGGGCTGGTTAAGCGGGAGCCCGGTGTTAAACCCCCCCCCACCCCCCCCCCCCCCCCCGCCCCCCGATCACGGCCGCAGGCTCGACGACTGTCGATGACGGCTCCGACCTCGCCTCTCTGCCCGGCTCCACCTTTGACAGCGGCGGCGAGGAGATGGGCGCGCACGGGGCGCACGGCGGCAGCCCGCCGCTTGGGCTCGACGAGGATGGCGAGGAGGAGGAGGCGGACGCGGGAGAGGAGGTTGGGCTGCTCGGCGGCACGGGCAGAAGTCCCCCACGCGGCGGCGCGCGGGGAGCAGCGCGCGACCTGAAAGGGTTGTTTGGCAGCAGATCGCTGCAACGAGGAGACCTTGTGTGACGAGCCGCGAGCGCGTATTCCTTTGGCCCTGCCGCCCCGCACATTGTGGCCGTGTATTGTGTTGTTTGAGAGAGGCTGTTCTCCAAATATTAAAAGCGGAGAGCTTCGTCTTTACACTGCCTCACTGGCTCACTGGGTCCGTCTGCCGTCTCCTTGTACGTTACACCGGTCACCCCGCGGTACACCCGCCACACCCCCCGGCCCCGCCCCGCCGAGCGCCGCGTGTGTTTGACCCCAACAGCTCCCAATTTCAGTCTGTGCACTGCACACATATGGTGCAGGAGACTCTCTCTGCGCGGGGTGGGTAGCGTAGCACAAACATCACTCACGCGCGGTTCTACGCGAATGCTGGGTTTACGGTCCAGACACGGCACGCGACCTCGAGCCTCGAGGCGGGGCGCGAGAGCCGCTTACGGTTATGTGGCACGACCGGGTGATGCCATCAACAGCCAAGTCGCGTGGCTAAGTTAAGGCACAGGCTCGCAGTGAGCAGGGCACTCCTTGGGACGAGACGCGAAGAGAAGCCGCCGAGTCGCGAGGCACCCGGGCGGACAGTCGCCTCGAAGTGGGGACGACGGTGGCGGCGGCGACGCCAACACCCCTGCCTTCTTGGAAACGTACATCTGCACCTCCGCTGGCTCGCCGATGATGTACATGGTGGATGCATCCTTCATCACGATGCCCTCGGGCTGTGCGCCTTGCAACTTGAGCGGGCCGCTGAGCAGCTTGCCGCTGAGGTCGCTCGTAAAGACCGTTGCAGGGCCGATGCTTCCGTCGTCGATGCCCTCATGCGAGACAAAGATAAGCGAACGGCTCTTGTAGTCGTACGTCATGCCTGCAATGTCCGTGGCCACGCCCGAGAGAAGCGCCTGCTCGTCATTTCGGATGGATGACGAGTGCGATTGAATGCGGAGCTAAATGAGAGCCACCGCACGCGAGGAGAGAGAGAGGAGAGGTGGGAAGGCAGCGCGCCTGATCGGAGGTCGTGTCGAACACCTCGCCGCTGGCAAGACGCGGCGGGCCGCTGAAGAGAAGTACTGTCTCGCGCGTGCGCATGTCCACGCGCAGCACGCGCATCGGCAGCTCCTCGGTGAGCGTGTAAAAGAAGCCCGCCGGGTCGTAGGCGACGCCCTCGAGGCCACGGTTCGTGGACTTGGCGTCGTCCACAAGGCTGACGGCGTACATGTCCTCCGGCGGCACCGCCGCGTAGTCGACGGTCGCCTCGACCACCACGCCATCTGCTGCCCCCATCAGAGGGAGCGTGATGAGAACGAGGTTTAGCCGGCCCTCTTCAGTGACGACGAGCCGCACGCCCGTCGACGTCTTCTCGACCAGGGCAAGGCCCTCGACGTCGTCGAAGCCGTCCATCCGCACCATGCGCATGAGCTTCGGCGGCGAGGAAGGGGTCGGCAGCGTGTACTCGAAGAGGCGGACGAGCTTCTCGTCGCCCTTTGCAACGTCGCTATTGAGCGGGTTGTTGTTGCAGAAGATGATCGAGTCGATGTCGCCCGCGCCGCCCGGTATGATCGCCACGCCGGAGAGGTCCTCTGCTTTGCTGCTCTCCGATAGATCCCATTGCTCGACAAACTCGAACGTGCTCACATCCACTGCCGGCGTGGTGGGGTGAAAGGGCGGCGGCGGCGGATTTGGTGGCGCCTTTGGCGCCGGTGGAGGGCTCGGCGGAGACGGGAGCGACGGTGGTGCAGGCGAAGGCACGTCGAGGTCCACAAACGGGTTGGCCACGCCGAGCGTGCGCTCGTCGAAGACCACAAACACCGCGCTCTCGGCCCAGTTTATTCGGCCGAGGGACTGGGCGGCGGTCGGGTTGTTGCCGAGGGCGTCGTTCCAGACGCCAGTGCGATCGACGATCATGTCCGCCGTCACGTTCCCCTCTGCCGACGAGAAGAGCACCACGTCGTCCGTATTGCCGTTGCCGAAGCCGAAGCCGCAGCCCTCCAAGTACGACGCCACCACCGCGCCCGCCGCGTCGAACGTGAAGGCCTTCTCGCCCTTGCACACGACCAGGTAGCCATGCGCCGGGATCTCCGCCGGGCACGAGCCCTGGCCCAGCACGAGCGCCTTGCCCGCCGCCACCTCGGCCGGCAAGTCGGACACGATGCCCAAATCGGGCGAGCTGGACGAGTCGTCGAGCGCCATGCCCGCCACGGAGGACGGCGCTCCCACAACGTTGACCAGCTCGACCCAGTCCTCGCCCGCGCAGAGGTCGGTCTCACTTCCCTGGTTGGTCACCTCGTTGATCAGCACGGCCGAGCTGCGCGGCGCGAGCAGCACGCGAGTGGGCACATGCACGGGCATGTGCATGCATGATGCGTGGGCGTGGGCGTGGGCGTGTGCATGACGTGTGCATGTGCATGGACATGGACATGGGCGTGCGAGTGTGCGTGTGCCTGATCCAGGTGGCCGGCGCGTTGGGTGCGCCAAGCGTGCGCAGGTTGAACACGGCAAACTCGCCGGCGCCATTGCGGCCGAGGGACTGGGCGGCGGTCGGGTTGTTGCCGAGGGCGTCGTTCCAGACGCCAGTGCGATCGACGATCATGTCCGCCGTCACGTTCCCCTCTGCCGACGAGAAGAGCACCACGTCGTCCGTATTGCCGTTGCCGAAGCCGAAGCCGCAGCCCTCCAAGTACGACGCCACCACCGCGCCCGCCGCGTCGAACGTGAAGGCCTTCTCGCCCTTGCACACGACCAGGTAGCCATGCGCCGGGATCTCCGCCAGGCACGAGCCCTGGCCCAGCACGAGCGCCTTGCCCGCCGCCACCTCGGCCGGCAAGTCGGACACGATGCCCAAATCGGGCGAGCTGGACGAGTCGTCGAGCGCCATGCCCGCCACGGAGGACGGCGCTCCCACAACGTTGACCAGCTCGACCCAGTCCTCGCCCGCGCAGAGGTCGGTCTCACTTCCCTGGTTGGTCACCTCGTTGATCAGCACGGCCGAGCTGCGCGGCGCGAGCAGCACGCGAGTGGGCACATGCACGGGCATATGCATGCATGATGCGTGGGCGTGGGCGTGGGCGTGTGCATGACGTGTGCATGTGCATGGACATGGGCGTGCGAGTGTGCGTGTGCCTGATCCAGGTGGCCGGCGCGTTGGGTGCGCCAAGCGTGCGCAGGTTGAACACGGCAAACTCGCCGGCGCCATTGCGGCCGAGGGACTGGGCGGCGGTCGGGTTGTTGCCGAGGGCGTCGTTCCAGACGCCAGTGCGATCGACGATCATGTCCGCCGTCACGTTCCCCTCTGCCGACGAGAAGAGCACCACGTCGTCCGAATTGCCGTTGCCGAAGCCGAAGCCGCAGCCCTCCAAGTACGACGCCACCACCGCGCCCGCCGCGTCGAACGTGAAGGCCTTCTCGCCCTTGCACACGACCAGGTAGCCATTCGCCGGGATCTCCGCCGGGCACGAGCCCTGGCCCAGCACGAGCGCCTTGCCCGCCGCCACCTCGGCCGGCAAGTCGGACACGATGCCCAAATCGGGCGAGCTGGACGAGTCGTCGAGCGCCATGCCCGCCACGGAGGACGGCGCTCCCACAACGTTGACCAGCTCGACCCAGTCCTCGCCCGCGCAGAGGTCGGTCTCACTTCCCTGGTTGGTCACCTCGTTGATCAGCACGGCCGAGCTGCGCGGCGCGAGCAGCACGCGAGTGGGCACATGCACGGGCATATGCATGCATGATGCGTGGGCGTGGCCGTGGCGTGTGCATGTGCATGGACATGGGCGTGCGAGTGTGCGTGTGCCTGATCCAGGTGGCCGGCGCGTTGGGTGCGCCAAGCGTGCGCAGGTTGAACACGGCGAACTCGCCGGCGCCATTGCGGCCGAGGGACTGGGCGGCGGTCGGGTTGTTGCCGAGGGCGTCGTTCCAGACGCCAGTGCGATCGACGATCATGTCCGCCGTCACGTTCCCCTCTGCCGACGAGAAGAGCACCACGTCGTCCGTATTGCCGTTGCCGAAGCCGAAGCCGCAGCCCTCCAAGTACGACGCCACCACCGCGCCCGCCGCGTCGAACGTGAAGGCCTTCTCGCCCTTGCACACGACCAGGTAGCCATGCGCCGGGATCTCCGCCGGGCACGAGCCCTGGCCCAGCACGAGCGCCTTGCCCGCCGCCACCTCGGCCGGCAAGTCGGACACGATGCCCAAATCGGGCGAGCTGGACGAGTCGTCGAGCGCCATGCCCGCCACGGAGGACGGCGCTCCCACAACGTTGACCAGCTCGACCCAGTCCTCGCCCGCGCAGAGGTCGGTCTCACTTCCCTGGTTGGTCACCTCGTTGATCAGCACGGCCGAGCTGCTCAGACGCCGCATGCCGACTGCGGCGTTAAGGAACATCAAGAGGAGGCTGACTGGTACGGTCGTCGTCATGGTGGAGGCTCGCACCGGAGCACACGTCCCGTCGGTAATCATCATCCGCCTCCTTTGCTCCGTCGGCGATTTGGGTTCGACGAACTGTTTTCTCTTCTTCTGTTTGAGAGAGGCTTGCATTTTAAGAATTCTTCTGTGGGTTGCACTGGGATAGGGTCGATTCCGCACTCAAGAACAACAAAACTTGAGTGTTTGGTATTTACGATCTATTGCGCTCATCAACGCGAACAATTATTGTTTACGATCTCCCGCTAACGGATCTTTCTTACCCCACCTACCTTTCTCTTTCTACCTGTATCTCTCTTTCAGGTATCTTCGGCGCCATGCACGGTTGTCAGGGTGCAAAACAAAAACAAATCTCTCCCCCTTTCCGAGTCTGCAGTCTGTCAGAGCGTCAGTCACTCGGCTCTCGGGTCATCGGAGCCTGTTCAACCTCTCGTTTTTTTTCGGTTTCGCGAACTTTCGGGGCACCTTGAGCACTTGAGCACTGGAGAGGGTCGATTCCGCATGGTACGGGACCCCTCGATCGTCTCGCCCTCCCTCACTGGTGTTTTGTTTGTTGTGTTCATTGGGGGGGGTCATAACAAACACGGTACAGGATCGAGGTGCACGCTGCTGAAGCAGTGTCACCTCATTAGATTAGAGATTCTCTCTCCTCATTAGCTGTTCAGACATAGTTGGTGTCGAGGTGTCGAGGCCAGGGCTCAGATCGTATTTTAGTCTTGTCCTGCCCAGACCATGGCTCAGACTTTAACCCTTTCGCGTCATAACGCTCCTGGAGAGCAAATCTCGATATATCTCCAGTCGTAGCGGTGGAACTTTTTTTTGGCTCGGTCAATTATTTAGCCATATATGAGAGGATCACGGCACAGTGTCGTTTGAGTCGACAGTAACTCTCCCACAGCCCACGTAACTCCGTCTTTTTCAGGCACCCGGAGCCCTCCGCGGCCGCTTCTACGCCGGCGAAGCACCATCAAGCTGCTGTACGGCCCCGGCATCGCCTCCCCCGGCTTAGCTCTCAGTCAAGATATTGTGCACATGGGCGGCCTCTACAATATACTCACTGACACTGAACCTCCCAGAGCTCGTCCCGGTCCGTCACGGCCATCCTCGTCCTCCGGCGGGCCCCCGGCCGCGGCGCGGTGCGGCGGCGTCACAAATCCGACCACAGAGCACCGGGACGCGGTCGGGCGATCTGAGGCCCAACTAGGCGTATGCATTGCCCATCCAGGGCTATCACCTGGACCTATCAACAGGCGCCTGCGGCGCCGTGCTCAGGAGTTGGTTTTCACTCGCTCGAAATGTGTACGTAAAAGGGTTAAGACTTAAGTTGTTAAGAGTCAACAAAAAAGAAAGCAAAGGCGATCCAACGAAAAGAAAAACCTTCCATACGTGTTTGTGCTCCTCCTTCGCTGTCCCATCTCCTCATCTCTTTCCCGCCTGGGCGGGGCGGCGGGTGGGCGCGCGGTGCGGAGCGGCGTGTGCGTGTGTGTGACTGCGACAAGGGACCATTGGGGTTTGTATTATTACCGGTAACAACGATGGCGCTTTCAACTCCCCTCCCTCCCTCTCTAGCTCTCTCCTCTCCCTCCCCACTCACTAGAATGCAGCAGCCACCGCACACCTGAAAGCCTTGCTTGGTTACGGTCTTCTTGTCCCCAGCTGTGGCAGCGTGAAAGTCCGGCTCTTGCTCGAGTGAGGCTTAAGGTGAACTGCGGTCATCACCTGGTGCAACGAAGCAAGATAGGAGCCAGATCCTCTGCCCACAGCCCTCTTCTCATCTACATTGCCCCGGGCAACTGCAACAGCCTCCACGTTGCCAAGTGCCCACACCTTTGATCCATCTCCGAGAGTGAAAAGCACAGCAATGTCGTCGTCGTCGAGGCCCCCACCAGGCCCCCACAAAGCCTGCGCGCAGCCTGCGCGTTCCAACCTGTCCCCTCTCGGAGCCTCATGTGTTCTACTGTGGAGCAGTGTGCTGTGGGGAGAGCTAGGGGAGAGGCGAGGATGGTTTCATTGGTTACAGCAGCTCTGCTATTGAGTATAGCCCTATAGCCCCGCGCTAGCCACACGGACGCTCGACACCGCTCGACACCTTGCGCCACGCAACTCGACACCCGCTCGACACCTCGACACCCTCGACACCCCTCGACACCCCTCGACACCCCTCGACACCCCTCGACACTGGCAACCAAGCATGGTCTCAGCCTCGACAGGCCTCAAGACGGCCAAGCACGTGCCGGACGGCATGCGGGAGCGAGTCAACGATGCGAGGCTCGAGCTCGGAATAGCGGACCTTCTCTTCAAGGTGGCGGGCCGAAAGCGACCGCGAGCGAGCGAAATCGAACGGCTCTTTCGGTAGCGCTGGTCCTCGGTTCGTGGCCGCGCTGCCATAGACTGAGCCCACGCCGGCGCGACAGCTGTGAGTCCCAGTGGGTGTCGTGAGTGTGACCTGTGCGCTGTGGCTGTGCGCGTCTCTTTTGGTCCTTTATTTACGACGATATCTAGGAGGCCTCTCTTACAGACCATGGCTCACTTAAGTGTAAGAAAGAAAGAAAGTAAACGCGCAGAACTGCACACTCCAGAAGTGGCAAGTGCTCTCCAAGACCAAAAGTTTGAGGAAGAGGATTGAGCGTGCGGGTGCGCCCCGTCGCCCGTGCGCTGCTGCGCAATGCGCAGCCCAAGGCCAAGCTAGGGCTGGGGGGAGGACAGATAGAGGGCCCAACTTCAGAATCGTGCTTTTTTGGTTAGGGACCAAAGCGCGAAGGACCAACGCCGAGGCTGGAGGAGATAACGTCAAGGCTAGAGGAGATGGGGCGGGACGGTGGTGGGAAGGGAGGGGCACGGCGGAACGACCCCCTCAGAGGCGGCGGGCGGGCGCCCACAGATCTAGAGATAACAAACGCTCGCTCGGCCCCACCAAGTGCCCCACCGGCCGAGCGTGACGCACGTGACACACAGCCCCGCCGTCCACGAAAAGCGCAGTCGACGAACCTGAATGCGAGCCGTGATTTTGTTGGTGGCTAAGTTATGAGCATACTACATTGCCACCTGGATTGTGCGCGCGGAGCGCGCCGGCCCTTACGCGCAGACTCTAGAGCGATATGAATCCGATAGGTTGCCCGCGCACGGAGCGGCGGGAGAGCGCTGGCTATGCGGGTGAGCTGAGGGAGGTGCGAGAGCTGGGCCGGAGCTAAGGGCCATTACCAGAAATCGCATCTAGCCCTCCTCAACCCCTCAAATAACGCTTTCTTCGGCGCCAGCAGACTTCGGGCCGCGCGCCGGGCCGCGGACTGGCGGGGCATGTGGCGGGGGGTGCGCGGGTGCGGCTGCGGCGCGTGCGGCGCTTTCGCGCCGCCTGACACCGCTCTTTGAGCGCGTGTCATACCGGCGCCTCGTCGCACATGATTTGGTCTTTGTCGCACATGACTGAAAGACCCGCAACTTCACGTGGCTCTAGACAACACCATCAACACCGGCGTGAAAATATTTGAGTGTTGGACATCTTGCGGGAGTACATACCTTAAGGTACGAGGTACATTTGTGGCGTGTCTCCAGATGCGAGCAGCACCGGCGCGAACTGTGACGGAGCCTGCACGGAAAAACGTTGGGCTCTGCTCAGTAACTCGTGGTATCGTAAGATCCAGGGCCTGGAGTGTCATCCGGAGTGAAGGGGTCGACGTTTGCCGCCAGATGACGTCGCGGCGCCATGCTGATGGCCTTCGCAGACCTGCACAGACGCGATGGTGAGAGCAGGAGGCTACCGCCCGCATACGGCACACAGGTACAGATGGCGTTTCATCGATACGACAGCATCTATTGGGCCCTGCGAATTCTGCGAGCGGATGCGGTAGCCCACCTTTGGGTAGACACGCCCTTGGAAAGTCAGCGGCGACCGCCCCGCTGCCCTCCCCTCAGGAGCCTCATCTTCCTCAGGCTGCGGTGCCGGCAATCTCCGGAGCTCAGACCTTAACCATGCTAACCGAGCGTCGCACTCTGCGGCAGTGAGTGAAGTGGACAAAAGGTGAGATGGTGAGCGTTTGCTCTCGTCCATCCGATATGCTGCTCCTCCCCTCGCAACATGCGCCAGCGCCGCAGAGTACTGCAACCACTGCGCCGCGAAATCGTCACGCCTAGCACCCAGCGACGCCTCGTCGGCCATTGCAGGGATGCATGCACTGACCGCGAGCTCCTCGCTTTGATCGTGAAACGAACGAGGAGCCCCGGGCTCTGAAATTCACAACGAACATTAAGAGCGTGCTCGACAGAGCGACAGCGCAGCGCACTGCATGCCGTCCGATCGGCGGAGGGTTGGCAGCTGCGCCAAGTGATGAATTGAAGGTACCGGGGCCCCGATGGATGAATCCAGGGCACCCTCTGCTCGAAGCCCCAGGCTTGGGGTTCGAGGTGGCAGCGGCCCCCATCCAGGAGCCGCCCATCAAAGGGACTGCGGCAGAAGACGCCCCGATCGCCCAATGTTGCTGCGCGAGATACGTTTCTGCCGGAGCGTTTTCTATCTCTTAAGTGCCGGCCAGAAGATCCGCCCTGGGATCTTCGGCGCAGGGCGCCGTCACCGGCCCCATGAGCCGCCTGCGAGGCCATTCAGTGCTCATGTGGCACGGCCTGAGCAGGCCTAGCAATGCCTCGGCGACCGGCGCCCAGAATTGTTGGTGCTGGCCAGCAACGTGGCCGGCGAGTGCCGTCGTTGCATTGGTGGCGACCACCGCAGAAGCGGTCAGCAGGTGGGAAGGCATCGCTCTCTTTGTAAGGATATTGTCCGTATTCATTGTCTGGTCAATACTTCTGCCTGGATGGCACCTGTGTGCCCAACATGGCGACCCTCGGCCTCCCTCGTGAGTCCACCTCACGCTGATCATTCTCGTCGCTAGCTCAAGCCGAGAAGTGGTCCGCCGACACCAGGAGGAGCGCAACCATCATGGCTGCAGCCTCAGACTGACCGGGTTAGGTCATATCACCGGCGTGGTGGCCCAGAAGTGCGACATTTGCTGCCCGCAGAGCGCTAGCAGCCCACTAGCCGGCACGTCTGTGCGTCGTGCGGGGCTGAACTTCAGGCACGCTGCACGCGGCTTATCGTGGAGAAGAGCTCAACCCCGGCCAGTGAGTGATGGATCTGATCATAATCAATCCCTACTGTGCTGGGGGGCTCACAGATCAGCCGTTCAGAGCTCTGATATTGGTTCCCGGCAGAAGATCCTCTAGAGGATCTTCTGCGTCGGCCAAAAAACCGTGTTCAAACGAGACACAATGACCCAACAATGACCCCCACGGCCAGCCCGGACATGCAGCCGACCCGGCCTGGCCAGCTGGGCCATCGGGGCGGCCGCCATCGGCCGTAGGACCGCGCTGCGGTGCCGAAAGGGGCTGGAAGATCCGCCCTGGGATCTTCGGCACTTAAGAGATAGAGCTGCCTTTGGAAAAAGCAAAAGAAAAGATACTACGCTCTCGCACTCGCTCGTCGCCATCGGCCATCGCCCCGGCATCTAGTTCGTTGAATTCTAGTTCGGTCGCAGCTTCGCTCACCGGTCGCTCGAGACTGCATGCCGCTTTCCACGGTCAGCAAGCTCATCGCGGTCTCATCGTGCAAGGGTGGCGTTGGCAAGTCGACCGTCGCCCTCGAGCTCGCATATCACCTGCGCCGTCGTGGCCACCGAGTCGGGCTCTTTGATGCCGACGTGCACGGCCCTTCGTTGCCGACGCAGATTCCGCTCGGCGATGTGCGCCTCACGCTGGCGGCGGACGGTCGGTCGGTGCAGCCACTGGAGCATGGCGGCGTGCAGCTCATGTCCTTTGGCTGGTTCAGCCGGCTCTGGTCGAGGCGGCCGGCAGCCGAGATTCGCGTGCGTGGGCCGCTTGCCACCAACCTGCTGCAGACGACGCAGTGGGGCGATCTCGACTACTTACTCATCGACTCGCCGCCAGGCACGGGCGACATCCCCAGCCAAATCGCGAGGCTGCCGCTTCACGGGGCGGTGGCCGTCACGACTCCCTCTCGGCTCTCCGTCGTCGACGTCGTGCGAGGCAGCTTGTTCCTTCGCCCGACTCAAAAGCAAAGAGACCCACTGATAATCAATTAAGTCCCAAACAGGCATCCTCTTCCTCCGCCGCCTCGGCGTGCCTGTGCTCGCGCTGGTCGAAAACATGGCCTCCTTCCGCTGCGACGGGTGTGGAAAGGACCATTATCCGTTCGGGCGCGGACACGCCGCCGGCGTGCTCGCCGACGTAGCCGCCGCCGAGGCGACCGACCCTCCGCCGGCCATCCCAACCTTTGCGCTGCCCATCGTCCCGGACCTCGGCGGCGCGAGCGGCGACTCCTCTGCCGCGCCGCGGCTTGACGGTGCATCCGCTCCGCTCGAGAGCAGTTTGGACGCACTCGCCGATGCGCTGGATCGCGCCACTTGTGGCGACCCGCCCGCGCTGCTGCCGCACCAGCTCGCCTTCCACGAGGTGCCGCATTGGCCAACGGAGATGGCGATGGCGGAGTATGTCGAGCAGAGAGTATCGGGGTCCGTGCAGAGCACCCAAAACGAGCACTTGCGCGGAACGTAGAGTAACGTAATTTAGTTGCGCGCCGGATTTCTTTTCTCATCCATGCTGGCCCGGTGACTGACTGACTGACATCCATGCTGGCGGTCTTGTCGGCAACTGCCCTACCCGCCGAGCCGCCGTCGGCAACAGCAGCTGCCGTACCAGGACTAATCGTCGACACCGATATTGGCGGCGGCGGCTGTCGGGATGTTGATGACGTCGGCGCCCTCGGCGTAGCGAATGCTCTGGCCGACAGCGGCGTTGTTAATCTGCTGGGTGTCGTGCAGAATACACAGGCGACCAACTCAACGGGTGTTATCAGCGTGGTGCAGCGCTATTACAGCCGCACTATCCCCACCGGGGTCTACCGCGGCTCCGGCCTCCGAGACCTCGCCGCACTCCCGTACGTGGCCGACATCGTGGCGCGCTGGCCGTCGCCGGTGCGAAATTCGTCGCAGGCGGGCTCGGCCGTCAAGCTGTACCGCCACCTGCTCGCGGGACAGCCGGACCGATCGGTGGCCGTCGCCTCCATCGGGCTCCTCACAAACCTAGCGGCGCTCTTCCAGTCCTCCGCCGACAAGCACAGTGAACCTTTTCTCCGGCGCGGCAAACTCTGCTGGTCCGGCTCCTCATCGGCCCCTCCTCTCCCGCAGGTCCGCTCAGCGGCCTCTCGCTCTTCGGGCAGAAGGTCTTTCGGCTCGCCATCATGGGCGGGCGCTACCCGTCCAGCAAAGGGCAGCGCTGCGAGTGCAACTTCTGCGCCGCCGCGTGGGGTGCCTCGAGAGCTGCCCCTCGCCCGCTCCCCGAACTGCGGGAGCTGCCCTCGCCCGCTCAGCGGCGCGCTCTCCCCGACGTCAGGCGGCATCGACCACCGAGCAGCGGTGCAGGCCTCCGCGCACGTGGTCGAGCGGCTGCCCGCGGGCGTGGACGTCGTCTTCAGCGGCCTCGAGGTGCGGCGGAGCACGGCATCGTCAACACCGTCCTTACTGTTCTGTGATTGCTCTCACCGTCCCTCGAGGTGGGGCTGAGGGTCGTCACCGGCGCGGCGCTCTCGACGTGCGCGCCGGCCGCTTCGCCGCTGCGTCAGGCTTACGTCGACTACGGCGGCGGAGTAGACCGAGGGCGCTACTCGTGGGACCTCATCACGACGCACGTCGCCGCAGCCGGTGGCCTGCCGGGCGTGAGGCGCTGCTCGGACTGCGGCGGCGTCAACGTCGTGGACGCGTCCTCGGGCGCCAACGCGTGGAGGCGCGGCCCAGCCGCCAACCAGACCTACCTCGTCCTGGAGGACGCGGCCGACGCGCAACGGGTGATCGACCGACTGCTCTGCCAGCCGCCGCGGCTGGGTGCAAGCGCGCCCAACGACGTTCCCTTTGCTGCTTTTGCACGAGCCGGTCCCATCGAGTGACATATGAGTGAGTGTGTGAGACTGTGTGAGAGAACAAGAGAGAGAGCTGTGTCGGCCTGTGCGGCCGACCGTGCGTGGTGACTGGTGTGGTCTAGTCGTGGTGTGTGCGGTGGGCTCGACGAGCTGTGTGGCGCACCGCGCGAGCCGTACGCGGTATCTTGTATTATATGTAGGTGAATCCTACACCTACGCTCAGTACTCTCTCTAGATGCACCGCAATATTAGATACGGTTATTACCGATCTCGCATGGTGGGCAGCATGCACCGTGTACTACAACTCTCCAAGAAGAAGAAAAAGGGCCTCACTGCCCGCCCACGACGAGCGCCGCCGTCGGGACGCGGCCGCGCAGGTAGAAGAGTGGGTAGGCCTTTGCGCCGAGCGTGCACGGCAGATTGGTGATGACTGCCTGCGGCGCCGCCCCCTCCTCGGCGTGCGAGTAGACCCACGGCACCGTCGCGGCCAGCTCGGCGGGCAGCATGCCGTTGAAGGGCGGCGGGTGCCCCTGCGTCGAGACGGCGAGCTTCACCTCGCTCCCGTCCCGGAGCCGGACCGGCGTCCCCTCCTCGACGCCGCCGCCGCGCTGCCGCTTGGCGGCCGGCCCTCCGCCTCTCGCCGCGTCGAGCAGCAGCCGGAGCAGGTCGGCGACCTTCATCAGCAGCGAGTCGGCGAGGTAGTCGGCGCCGGGCACCTGCGGGACACGTCCGTGACATGTCCGGGACGCGTGAGGGGCATGTCCTGGAGACGGAGAGGGGGGGGCGTCGCTCGCCCCCTCCGCGAGCCGCTGGCCGCAAAACTCGAGCTCGATCTCGTGCTGCACGGGCGCGAGCCGCGCCGCCTGCGCGAGGGAGGCGAGTGGAGGGGCGGTCGTCAAGGGGCTGAATCGCGGCGCGGGGAGCCGAGGCGGCGCGGGGAGCCGAGGCGGGTGTGCGGCGGCGGCTGCGAGGAGCGGCGAGCCCGGTCCGGCCGCCTGCTCGGTCGGCCCCTGGTTGACTCGCGTGAGCTCAAAGGCGAACATGCCCTTGTGCACAAAGCTGACGCGCCGCTTCCGGCGCCAGAGCACCACGTCCGAGTCGTCGCGCGGCGCCTCAAACTCGGAGGAGATGGCGAAGCGGACCGCGTGCCTGCACTGGGCGGTCGCCTGCACGAGAAGCGGCTGCACCGACTTGCCCTTGCGCAAAAAGGTGCGCTGCTGGGTGGCCACGTCGATCGTCTCGCGCACGCCCGTCGCGTGCATCAAGTCGATCGTCTCGTGCTCAGCCGGTGTGTTGGACCAGCCCCGGTTGCGCCAGAGCGAGGCCATCACAGCCTCGAAGCCCGCCTGGTCCACGTCCTTGACGCGCGCCTCGACCTCCATCCTCGGGTCGCGGCGGTGCTGCTCGAACCACTGCAGCAGCACGTGGCGGGCCTCGCGGGCGAGGTACTCCATGTCTGTGCGAGCGTAAGCGCGGAAAGAGAAGAAAATTAAAGCGCCATGAGCTGGGTCCATTGAACAGGCGAACTTTTTGTTTTTTACCCCAGCTGGCCCGCTTTTTGTTCTTCTGTGGCCCTCAGCATGTACGAGCCAACCACACAGCGCTGGAGTCGCTCGCCGCGGCCCTCACAGCCCTTGCTGTTGGTGGCTACTGGGGCTGGAGGTACCTCGTAGACGCGCTCGGCCTGACTAGCGGCTGGGCGCACGCGACGCTGGCCGGATATACCGCGGCACGACGCGATGCTTTCCCATCGTGCTGGTTGCTGCCTCCATGGTTGGCACGATGGCCGCCGGCCGGCTTGCTGCTGCTGCTGCTGCAGGCATGGCAGCGAGCAGACGCGGCTGCTCCACCCACCCCTGCGACACGGAGGGGGGAGCCCCTCGACAGGAGCCACAGGGGCCGTACCCTTGCGCTGTGCTGCAGACCGCGCACCCGGAAGCGCTTCTTGAGGATGCACAAGGCCACCCCACGCACACCGTGCACGTGGGACGGCCGAGTCTAGACTTGCTGGTCCGGGCAGCGGCGGCGCAAGCCGAGACGCGCCATTTGGCGGTGGCGGCGTGCGGACCGGCCGTGCTGGTAAGGCTACCGGTACCTGCGCTCGCAGTACCCGCCGTCGTCGCCCGCTCACCCGTTTCACCGCAACGAGTTTTCGCTGCCCGGCTCGTCACGCCGCATGTCCTCCGGCCCCTTCGTTCGCCACATAAAAGAGCTCGAGGCGCGCTGCCGAGGCGAGCCGCGCCGCGGGCCAGCCTTCTCCTGGTTTGACGATGACTCTGACCTCCTCGCGTCAGCCAAGGCGCGGCACCTGCAGTACCATCGCCGCACTGGCCCTGGTGTGGCAGGCGAGGGGGAGGAGGAGGAGGAGGAGGAGGAGGAGATGCAGGCGGCGCTGCGTGCCTCACGCCTGGCGGAGGCTGACGAGCGTGCCGCACACGAGGCGGCGGATTTGGATGCGGCACTCGAGTTGTCCCGACAGGTGTATTGAGAAGTGTCATGTGTGCAGCGTGTGGTCTGCCTTTACTCCAGTACGTGGTCGGAATTGGTCAGACCTCGCAGCATGAAGAGTAGCATGAAAGCACACGACTAACCCTGACCGGTACCTCCAAAACCAAATGTGCTCCCCGCCGATGAGCCCCACAATCCCGGCACGTAGGCGGTGGCGGCGCGAAACTCGTCGATGCGCGGCGCGCAGAGCACGCGCGCGCCCACGCGCTCCTCGAGCGCGGCGAGGTCGCACAGCAGCCGCACGGCGCCCGCGCGGTACACTGCCGCGTCGACGGCCGTCATCGCGTCAAGGCGTCGCAGCGTGCTGGCGGGGAGCTCGGACAGCCGGAGCCGGCGCTGCTTGTGCTGGCCCGGGTTGCTGATGTGCGCCCGCTTCGACCCGCCGCCGGGACCGCCCTCGCCCCCCTCTCCTGGCTCACGCCCGCTGGCCGCTCGACTGGAGACGGAGCCGGACAGAGGCGACCACGCCGCGCCGGCCGCACCCTGGCCGGCGGCGCAGAGGCAGCGGGGCGGGAGGGCGCCCTTGAGGCGGTACTCTGCGAGGCAGAGCGACTCGTCGAGCAGCTCGAGCAGCCCGATGAAGTCGGCGCTGTGCACCGCCGCCACCGCGGCACCTCGCGGAGGCGTCGCGTCGGCGGCGCGGCCTCCGGCGTGGTGCGCGCAGGGTGCGCTGCAGGTGCGGACGTAGTCGGCGTTCCACTGCGGGTCGGAGCAAGTGAGCGTGCGCGCGACCATGTTGAGCGGGTTGTACCCCCAAAAGTCCCCGTGTGCCGGCGCCCAGCCCTCGCCAAAGTGAGCCGCCCAGAGGCCGATCCCTTCTGCCAGCCCGCCGGTGCCGTTGCCCCAAGGGTAGCCCGCCGCCCGCCGCCGCGCGACCCTGCCCGAGTGGGCCCCGTGCAGATACATGGACAGCACGTGCGCGCGAGGGTGGCGCAAAAAGACGATGTTGATGCGCGACGGGTGCACAAACGGAGGGTAGCACTGCTCCGCGCCGCCGACCGGCGCCCTGAGCTTCTGCAGCTCGGCGCGGACGGAGCGTCCGCCCGTCTTTGCGATGTGCGTCATGTGCAACACCCGAGTAGAGTTCACCCACGAGCTGAGCCTTCCGCTGCCGCTGCGCTCGCCGCGGCCAGCACCGGTCGACTCTGCATACGCGAGGATATTTGGGTGCGCCGGCGCCCGGCGCGGCGCAACCTCGCGGTGGTGCGCAGCGAAGGCTTGCAGGTCCTCGCATGCGGCTGCCCACTGCATCAGGCACACCCACTGCGTTAGTCAGGTGTTCAAGAGCGTGTTGCCTCGCTGAAAAGAATTTTACTGGAATTTGAGAGCAAGGCTCTCCTTAGAGCCAGTTTTTGCCACTTCGGTTAGCTCTTGTGGGTCCGATATCGAGACCCAAATATCTGACCCCGGAAATAGAGGCCATGAGAGCAGTTTTTGCCAATGCTTCGCCTTCGGGGTCTCTAATAAAGCCTGCGCCCGACGGGGCAATCCAAGCGCAGGCCCCGCACGCGGCCCTGCTGCCATCCCGTCGGCTGAAATCGACCAGGCCCATCGCCGTGGGCCGAACGACGCACCGGCCGATTGTTTGAGCAATGGCCTGTGCTGCGGCCATCTCGGACGTTCAAGCGGCGCCAGCCAGCGGCTCGGCCGCGCATCCTTCACACACGCCGCCACGACCGGGATGAGAGGGCCCGGTGTCGAGCCCTGGTGCGAGCTTCATGTGAGGGGCGGCTGTGGCCACAGCAGGTCCACCAGATGGATCTCAAAAGCTTGCCGTCGGCGTGCTGTCGTGGCGGTGCCCGACACGCATTGAGAGGAGCCGAGAAAAGCAGCGGGTGTGGGGCTTCCACGGCTGCCAAGTGGTGGTCCATGACCATTCTGAGCAGGGCTGTGCTTTGGTGGGGCTGTGCTTGAGCATGTGTGAACTGGGAGTGCGTGCCGGCGGTGTCTGTGGGTGAAACAGGCGTGTGTGAGGCTGCAAGAGCCGTGGTATGAGCCAGAGTGAGCTTCATCACCCAAAGTAAGGACGGTGATAGAGATTCCGAGATCCTACAGAGGGAAGAGAATGGTGAAGACGAGGCGCAAACGAGAGGGCAGACGCGAGAGAAGGTGAGCAAAGGAAAAAACGCTTAGTGGCAGATGCATACCCGGAGACAAGGTCATACGCGGACTCTCCAGCCTCTCGGCTCACCACCTCGCCTTCTCTGTTGCTCTCCAGGCCCAGGCCCATCCGTAGCAAGCCTGAGGTGTCTGAAACCACACTTATCTTGGGTCTTCAAGCCCACACCGGCTCGTGATGCCACGGAGAGGGCTCGAGATTGTCCCCGGTAGACCCCATCCGAGGCGATTGCGAGGGCATTACGGAGGTCATTATCGGCGCCAACGACCGCGATATGTCCCGTCCCGCAGCCCTCATGCACCAGGGTCATGGGTGCAGTCATAATATGTAGGCCTTCTCTCCCACAGTTTTGAGCAATAGCCGCAAACAACGCTTTTTGGCACTTGCATCGTGACAAGGTCACCCGCGGACTCTCCAGCCTCTCAGCTCACCACCTCGCCTTCTCTGTTGCTCTCCAGGCCCAGGCCTATCAGTAGCAGGCCTGAGGTGTCTGAAACCGCACTCAACTCGGGTCTTCAAGCCCACACCGGCTCGTGGTGCCAAGGAGAGGGCTCGAGATTGTCCCCGGTAGACCCCATCCGAGGCGATTGCGAGGGCTTTCCGGAGGTTATCATCGGCGCCAACGACCGCGATACGTCCCGTCCCGCAGCCCTCATGCACCAGAGTCATGGGTACAGTCATAATATGTAGGCCTTCTCTCCCACAGTTTTGAGCAATAGCCGCAAACAACGCTTTTTGGCACTTGCATCTCGTGTGAACACGCACACCGGCCATGCCGACGAAGCGGCTTCCCAGCTCGCCAGCTCGCCTTCTCTGTCGCTCTCCTGGCCCAGGCCCATCAGGATCAACCCTGGGCTGTCCCAGACCGTCCTTACTTTGGGTGATGAAGCTCACTCTGGCTCATACCACGGCTCTTGCAGCCTCACACACGCCTGTTTCACCCACAGACACCGCCGGCACGCACTCCCAGTTCACACATGCTCAAGCACAGCCCCACCAAAGCACAGCCCTGCTCAGAATGGTCATGGACCACCACTTGGCGACCCAGGTAGCCTCTGGCTCGCCACTGCACTCGGCTCCTCTGCAGCGGTCTCGGGCTCTCCCCACGACAGCACGCCGACGGCAGCTTTGACGTCCATCTGGTGAACCTGCTGTGGCCACAGCCGCCCCTCACATGAAGCTCGCACCAGGGCTCGACACCGGGCCCGCTCATCCCGGTCGTGGCGGCGTGTGTGAAGGATGCGCGGCCGAGCCGCTGGCTGGCGCCGCTTGAACGTCCGAGATGGCCGCAGCACAGGCCACGCGTCGCGCCGCCGGCCAAGCCCAGCCTCTCGGCGGACCCCGGCCGTGCCAGAGGCAGCCCAGGTGGCGCGTGGAGCCGCGGCTCGGCGCTGGGAGCGCGCACGGACAAATGTGAGACGCAGCGCGACCCTAAGGAAAATTAGGCGCGGGCGCCGGGCAACGCAGTGGCAAGCAAACCTTTGATTTTGAAGCAAGGTCTGATATTTGGGTCTCGGATTTCAAGATTAGAGACCCCTGGAGAGCTAACGAAGTGGCAAAAACAGGCTCTTAAAATCCCTGTGTGGTGGCGGCGTGCCGTCCTCCCATCCCTCCCTTGGGTTGTCTGTTTTCTTTCTTTCTTTTAGCAAGGCAGACGGCAGCGGCGTCTCAGAACGAGGCCGAGGAGAGCGATGAGTCAGAGGATGAAACAGCAGGGGAGAGAACGCTGAGGGAGGGTGTAGAGGATGTAGAGTGTAGAGCGCTGTAGAGCTGTAGAGATGTAGAGCGCTGGAGAGCGCTGTAGAGCTGTAGAGCTCTACATCCGGCGCGTGACGTTGTGAGTCGCCTGTAGAGCGATGTAGAGCGCGATTTTGCTGTAGAGTTTGTTGTAGACTCTACAGCCAAACCGCCGGGAAGGCAGTGACTCAAAGAGGTCGAGCCGCGCTAATGGGGTGTCTCCGAGCTTACTGGAGCTCTGATGGACAGCCCTGACTATCCCTGACACACAGAGAGTCACTCTGACGGCACACAACACCCTATGACTGCGTCATGACCAGCCTGCCATGCGTCGCCAGTGCCGCATTCGTCGCTGTGCTTCTTTAGCAGGCGGTGGACTGTCGGCTGCGAGGACGGTCGCATTTGCGCGAGGCGAGGCGAGCATTCAGACGCGTTGCATGCGCCATGACTCGCGCCAGCGCGTGCGGGAGCTCCTGGCTGAGCGTTGAGTCCAGGCGAGTTGCGCTGGCCACTATCGCTACGCCGAGCCGAGCTGACGCGCCGAGGCGCCGGCCAGTCGCAGCCGTGAGGCATGCCACAGCAGCAGAGGCACCTCCCACCCATTGGGCGGGCAGACAGAAGGCTAGGGCAGCACTGGCAAGTGCAACGCGCCTCATGTCGGAGAGCGACCGTGCCTCGTTCGCCGCTTATGATGTAGAGTTTGTTGTAGAGATTTCACGTTGTAGAGCGCCTCTACATCGCTCTACAGGCGACTCACATCGTCACGCGGCGGATGTAGAGCTCTACAGCTCTACAGCGCTCTCCAGCTCTACAGCTCTACAGCGCTCTACACTCTACATCCTCTACACCCTCCCTCAGAGAGAACGAGGACGAGAGTGAGAAGAACGAGAGGTGGCATGAAGGTCGCTGCGAGAATTGGTGAGAAACTGCGAACAGAGATAGGAAGAGGTTGACGCCCGAGGGTGGGCGACGGCTAGCACCACACCCCTCTCCTTAAGGTTCCCCGGGCCACTTTCGGGGGGCAAACCCTGCCCGGCCCCTAGAACCCCAGGTAAGGCCCAGGTGTGGCCTAGGGCATCAGAAGGGACCAAGAGGAGTCCAGTCTGAGCCATAGAGCCCATGTCTTTGCCCCCGAAGGTCGCGTTCAAATGCCCGGAACGGCCGTCTCAGTGGTGTCCGGCCGGCGCGATCACCGAGCTGTGACGCTCAGGGAAGCCTGATGAGGTGCTGGTTTCTTTGGCCAGGGCTGGCCTACGGCCCGTGCTGGATCAGCTGAGCAAGGTTTGGGGAGAATCCTATAGTAGGATCTTCAGATATTTTGACGGATGACCAAAATCAGTCGTTCCTCTGTGCTCTTTGCAGCATGCCTCGATGAGCTGCGGCACGCGAGGGAGCAACAGCCTGCGCATGACGAGCCAGCACGACCTGAACAGGCAGCAAGGGTGGCTATCCCATCGCCAGCGGGGCCGCCCGCTGCAGCGCCAGCAAAGCAACCCACCGCGCCAGCGCAACCCACCGCCGCGCCAGCAAAGCAACCCATCGCCGCGCCAGCAAAGGCCGCATCGTCATCGAAGCCGCCGGTCGCCAAGCCAGCACCTGGAGGGACGGATTTGCCAAAGAGAGCCCCTCCGCCCCCTCCACCGCCACGGGGAGGGGAGGCGGCGAGCTCGGTGTCCGCTAAGGCAGCAACGTTTAAGGTCAAGAGCCCTCCGGAGAGAGCGCCACCGCCGCCCCCTCCGCGGCGCAAGAGTCTGCAGCCTCCCGCAGCGTCAAACGGTGCGCTCAAGCTTCTACAGACGCTTCCGCCGCCAATGGAGCGTGGCAAGCTCCCGCCGCGCAAATTCGGCAAAGCGGCTCCAACGGAGAGCCGGGACGAGGTGGCTGCAATTCTCGCGGCAGCAGCGGACGCGGCTAGCGCGGGCGAGTTCGAGCTCGGCTTGCGCGGCTTCTTGCGCGCGTTTGAGGTCACTCGCTCCGCGCCGCTGGTGCTCTCTGCGGCCAACATGCACCTCCAGCTTGGGGAGCTCAACGCTGCGCAGGGGCTATGCACGGCGCTGCGCGAGCAGGGGGCGGTGGGGCTGTCGGCAGAGCAACTCGCGATGCTCTCGAGCAAGGAGAGCGAGATCCAAACCGCGCAGAGGGTGGCGAAAACCGGAGCCGCTACCGCAGGCTCCGGCCGAAGCGCAACGGCGTGGCAGCAGAAGCTACAACGCGCAAAATTGGACGCCGAGCGACGGCGGGGAGGGGCGTGACCTCGCTGGACACGGCGCTGAGATATGTCACGATACACGAACGCTATGCTCTTGAGAAAAAACATGTCGAGTTACACACCCTGTGAACAGAGCAGAATAGACCAGTGTTCGAAAAGGTGGCGGACAGTCACGTCACCGACACACAAAGGGTACACACAGAACACGACACGTGTGCACAGTGAGTCACGCACATGCACACACACACAGGGTCAGAGAACACGCGACACGTGCAGGGGACTGCGGACTCGTCAAACTGCTCTCCATACACAATCACAAAGTCTATACATCGAGAGAGTAAGCTAAAAGTACATGTACATGTGTTAGGGGAGGATACAATGGTGGTTGCTTGCAGCGGCTTCTGTGCCCCTGCTCAGATGTCCCAGTAGCTGTCGCTCTGGCCCTCGCGATCCCCGCCCTCGAAGAAATCGGCGATGGCGTCAGCGACGTCGTGGTTGGTCGGGGTTGGCCAGAGGCGCAGCACATTGGGCTCGGCGTCGATCGTGATGAGCGAGTACGTCTTGACGAGGGCGGCGGTGAGCCTCGCCGCCAGCTCCTCGCTCGCAAACTCGACGTGCAGCAGCGGGAAGAGGGGGCGCAGCTGGTACTCCACCTCCTCGGGGATAGCGCTCTCGAGCCGTTGGGCGAAGGTGTTGAAGCAGCGGCGGCGGAAGGCGGTGTACTCGCGCGCGAAGAGGAGGAAGCCGAGCGTGGGGCTCTCTGGGATGCTGGTCACGGGCGCGTGCTTGATCAGTGGGTGAGCGCCCCCGGCCACGGTCACGGCGAGGCCCGTCTCCGCCGCCCGTTCGGCGCAGCACTCCAGCGGCGCATCGTCGACGAAGAGCAGGCTCGAGAGGCCGAAATCCTTGAAAGAGGACTGCACGAGCCCAAAGGCGGAGGAGAGCAGCGCAGCCACGCCGTCGGGAGGCGCGTCGGCGCGCAGGTCGAGCACCTCGCGGCTCATCACGCAGCCCGAGAGCGCGGCGTCCACAAAGACGTGCGGCGTGGCGCCCTGCGCCGACACGTGCCCGAGGAGCCCCTGAAACCACGCGAGCTCTGTCGCGCGGCCAGAGACGGTGTTGGCGAGCGTGAAGACGGCCACCACAAAGTCGCCGTCGCGCAGCCTCAGACCGTGGGCGTCGTCGCTCCCGACGGCGACAGGGCAGTGGTGCAGGTAAGGGTGCGTCTCGTAGCTGTTCATGATGTTGCGCCAGCAGTAGTGCGCATCGGAGGGGACCAGCAGCCGGATCGGCCGCTCCCGCTGCTCCGCCTCGACGGCGAGGAGGGAGACGAAGGCCTACACCCGCACGAACGTCTTGCGGGGGCGAGAAGGGCATTGTGGGGCGCAGCAAAAGAAGACGCCTCAATCGACTTGGTGGTGGACGGGAAGAGCTCAAAGTGGCATGTGGGGCCGGAACGGAAGAAGTCGTTGCAGACCGAGTCGAAGAAGGCAGGCTCCTTGATGAGGCACGCGTTTGAAAGCTGGAGCCGTCCCCCGGTGGTGCCGCCCGCGTTGTTCATAAGCGATCCGGCACGCATCCGCTGCAGCATCTCGGTCACCTCGGCGGGCACACGGCACTGTACGCTGAGGTACGTGATGAAGATATCGAGGACCGCCTGCTGGTTGAGTACAGGGACGCCATGGTTGCGCCGCAGCAGCTCCTGGCCCTGGGCGAAGCGGTCAAACAGAGTTCGGCAGAGTTCGATCCGGCTGCCAGGCTTTGCTGCGGGAGGCGCAACCGCGAGAGGTGCGGTGGTGGCCGCGGCCAGGCCGACGACGGCAGAGACAGGTGTCTGCGAAAGCCTCAGGCGAGAGTCAACGGCGAGGCAGAGGACGGACCACATCGACACACGTCCTGTCGGGGCTCTAGTCTAGTCGTTGCCGGGTGGGTGGGACAGGGCGCGAATGGCCGATCGTTTGATATTTTATTGTCGCCACCAGGCCGCGAGGCCGGTGAATGCAGAAATGCCCTAAGGAGACCGGGCCCCGAAAACGATGCGCTTCGGCGGTTAGTGGTGCACTAACCTCTCCCAACACCTCCCCACACCTCCCCACACCTCCCCACATCTCCCCACATCTCCCTCTCCCCACATCTCCCCACACACATCTCCCCACATCTCCCCACATCTCCCCACATCTCCCCACATCTCCCCACACCTCCCCACACCTCCACACATCTCCCCACACCTCCCCACACCTCCCCACATCTCCCCACACCTCCCCACACCGGCTTCGGCCACCGAGTCTCCCCACACCTCCACACACCTCCTTGGGGCAAACGTAGATTTCCTGCCCAGCGTAAGGATATTTCTTTCATTTATTTCGTCTTTATTTCGTGCCCCACCACGGCAAATTTGCGAGAAATTTCTTCGCCCTCAAGTTTCGCCCCTTTCCGTTTCGCCCATGTTGGACACCCATGTTGGACCAGGCACCGTGCGGGCCTGCCGTGCCTTGCTTGAGCCGGCAGGCCCGCGCGGCAGTGATGGTGCGCCTCCGCGGAGAGGCTGACGCTGGTCATCGGTCAGCGGTCAGCGGTCATCGGTCACCGGTCAAGCAGGTCATCGGGCGTCAGTGTCATTCAGGCGTCAGTGTCATTCGCGTCAACCTTGCCACCAAAACCCACGCCAATCTCAACCTTCGAAAGCAATGAGCGACGACGACATGGACACGGAGTACCTCGCCACCCTGCAAGGTGCCGCTGCCGGCGATTCCGCACCGCAGGAGGAGACAACCATCCAGTCTGCGCCTGCCTCGCCAGTGCGAACCGAGGAAGCGCTGGAAGGCATCCAAGTTCCCGGCGTGGGCGGAGGCGGCGCAGATCATCTTCGCGTTCACGCCCAACTCAGCCGCGGCGGAGCGTGTGTTCTCCATGCTCAAGTCAATGTTCGGCGACCAACAAATGGAGACCATGGCAGATATCATCCAGACGGCCTTAATGCTCCGCATCAACGAGCGCCGCGTGGGCTGAGTGAGCACAGTATGATTGGGAACAGTACTCGTATATGAATAGTAGGATCTTGTCACAGGTATGGTAAATTTCCGGAAATTTCTCCTTCCGAACAAGCCTGTCATATTTCTCAAAATATTTCGGGAAATCTACGTTTGCCCCCAACACCTCCACACACCTCCACACATCTCCTCACACCTCCCCACACCTCCACACATCTCCCCACACCTCCACACACCTCCACACATCTCCCCACACCTCCCCACACCTCCCCACACCTCCCCACACCTCCCCACACCTCCCCACACCGGCTTCGGCCACCGAGGCTTCGGCCACCGAGGCTTCGGCCAACGAGGCTTCGGCCAACGATATTATTACTGCTCCACTCAGCCCCCCCCCCCCCCCCCCGCCCCCGCACTCGCACTTGCACTCGCACTCGCACTCGCACTCGCGCTCTGCCCCCCCGCGTACCCGCTGCCCGCGCCCCTTCTCCCCTCACCCTCCGCCCTCCCTTCCCCGCGGCCCAACCCGTCCTTCAAGGCTTCGGCCACTGAGGCTTTGGCCACCGAGGCTTCGGCCAACGAGGCTTCGGCCAACGAAAAAAAAATCCTCGCGCCCTCCGCCCGCCCTTGCCTCCGCCCAGCCCTCCGCCCTCCGCTCTCGCCCTCCGCCCCTGCCCTGGCCGGCCTGGGTGGCATCTCTTCATCTTCACGCGCCAAGTGGAAGGGAAGTGGACGGGGCCCTGAGCCGACCTAGCCCTAAACGGAATGGGGCGCCCAACACGTGCCCGGATTACCGTGCCCCTTGCACGCCGGGCACGGCCTTTCGGTTCGTGAAGGGTCGGTGCGTGTCGTGCCCCCCTCGCCTTGGTGAGCAGTCACATCCGTGCTCCCCACCATCTCCATCGCCTGGTCTGCGAATGCTTATCAGCCACGAAAGGAGAGCGTGGCCGAGGGTTGCATAGACTCGATCGCAAGATCCCAGAAAGGCACCTCCGCCTCTGGACAGGGTGGCCCGCACTAATCGACCCCTGTTAAGTGACTCGTTCGCTTACCACCCACTGTGATTTTGTGTGAGCTCTGTGTCTTCCTTTGCCAACAACATACCTACAACTAACCTCCGAGAAACCCTTCGGGTCGCTCCTCATTCATCGCAAACCCTGTCAGCAGGGTCCTCCTACGGGAATGTACGTAAGAGCTTCATACACTGAAAAAAGGGTTTAATATAACAAAATAAAAGTTTTCAAAAGGGGCGCAAGTTACGCGGCGAGGGAAAAGGGAGCAAAGAGGGGCAGCAAAAAGGAAAAATAAAAATCAACCGCGGCGGAACCTTCGTGGAACTCTGTTCTCCTCTGCACCCCTTCGGAGGCATGCTTTTCGCTGCTGGATTCGCGTTCGCCCTCGCTCCCGAGCCTCACCTCGGCAGCAGCCGGCGAGCTGTCCTCTCCTCGTCGGCCGCGCTTGCCGCCGCAGCGATATCTCCAGTGGCGCCTGCCTTCGCTCAGTACGGGGCACTCGAAGACAAGGCGCAAAGCTACGACGCTGCTGTCAAGAATACCGACGGAGACCCTGCGCTCTATATGCCCTATGCGAAGGTTGTCTCGAAGGGCTCTACCTCCGCGAAGGCACACGCACACCACCCACTCACTCACTCCCCGACTCACTCACTCAATCAATCAAACAATCTAACATGCACGGCCCGGACACAGACACAGACACAGACACACACACACACACACACACACACACACACACACACACACACACACACACACACACACACACACACAAAACCAACCTCGTGAGCGCGTTAGGTCATGGTGTCCCTCCCGTCGCCTGGCCCACTCTCGAACAACGACTACATCGACCTCATCTGGCTCAAGACCGCGCAGTTTGACAAGCAGGAGAATGCGGGCGGGACCAACAAGGACCGCGTCTTCCCCGGCCTGATTGCTGCTGCCGGCGAGTTCAAGCCCAACGGTTCCCCAGTCAAGGGCGCGGCCACCGCTTCGGCCTCCAAGTCCGAGCCCGTCTTCACGGCACGGGTCAAGACCGGCCTGACGGTCTACCCCGTCGTACACTCGGCGGCGGGGTACGTCTGGGAGGGCGCCCCAATCACCTTGTGAGACGACCACACTGCTCTAGAGCCGCCGCCCGCGGTCTCGTGAGCGGTGCCGCGAGTCGCGCTCGGCGCGGCGGCACCGCACCGCCGGTAGGCCCGCGCGGCCGGCGCTGTTCCTTATTACTTATTAGCAAGTTCTTTAGGTGTGTGTGTGTGTGTATACCGAATACCGTAGCTGAAAGCAGGAAACAATATTGTCAAAAGATATGACGTGATATACGCGCGACGACGTGCGCACGCCGTCAGCCATCATGAGGGCAACTTGACCGCCGCGATGGCCTCCTTTTTGAACTCGACGCGGAGCGCGAGGATCGCGCGCGCCTCGGCGGCGGAGAGGCGGAGCCCGCCGTCCGCCCACAGCTCGGCGAGCTCCGCCTCTCGCTCGAGGGAGAGCAGCGCCGTCACCTGGGTGAGCCTCGCGGTGTGCCCCCGCACGGAACGGCTCGAGAGGGCGCCGAGGCGGCCCGTGAGCGCGCGCACGTCGCGCTCGAACTGCAGCGCGCCGAACATGTCCACCCGCTTCGTGAGGAGCAGCGCCTCGATCCGCTGCGCGCAGTGGCTGAGCAGCTTGCCGAGCAGCGCCTGGAGCCGGGGGGGGGAGAGGGGCGGCGTGTCGGTCGGGGGCGCCGCGCCCCCTGCCATCGGTAGAGTGGTGCGCGGAGAGGGCGCGCCTCGGCATTGTCGGCGGAGAGGCCGCTTCGCACCGACGCCATCGCCGCCTCGAGCTCGCCGACGAGCGGGCCGACGAGCGAGGCGGACTCGGCGGCGGCGAGCGCCTCGTCCGAGCCGAGCACGTACGACCTGTACCCGGGAGAGGCGGAGAGGCGTCGGCAGGGGGGCCTCCTCCCAGGGGGGGCCTCCTCCCGGAAGCGCGCAGCGAGCGGGGTCGGCGGCACCGGTCCCTCAGCGCGTCGAGGCGCGGCTTGAGGCGCGGCGTCAGCGAGGCGCAGAGCTGGTCGAGGCCCTCCTCGAGCGCAGCAGACAGCTTGGCGTCCGCCTCAACCTTGGCCGCCTGTCGGGGCACGCAGAGTCCGTGAGCCGCGTCTCTTCGCAGCTCCTCGCCCGCGCCTCGCGCTTGGTCGCCTCGAGCGACGCTGCGACCGCCTCCATCGCCGGCGCGGGCAGCTCGCGCGCGCACGCCTCCTCGGCGCCGCGCCACAGCCGAGGCGCGCACGAGAGGCTCAGCTGCAGCCCGTTGAGCGCGCGCAGCGTCGCGGGCAGGCGCGAGGCGGCGGTGCCGATCGCCGAGCCGGCGGCCGACACGGCGGTGCCCATCGCGCCGGAGACACACGCGGACGCGGCGGTCCCCACCATGGTGCATGCCGTCCCCTGCGTCGCCTCGGCCACCATGGCGTGCGCCGAGGCGAGAGCAGCGCCCGCCAGCTTGGCGGAGACGGACAGCACGAGCTGCGACGAGAGCGCGTCGAGCAGGAGGCCGCCGAGCAGCGTCGCCGCCTGCGCCACCGCCGCCGCGGCGACGGCGCCATCGCACGAGTTCGCCGCGCGCAGCAGGTGGCGCTGCAGGACGTAGTACACCGAGTCGATCAGCTCCGACTTGGAGGCGTCGCCGGACGAGTCTTCGCTCATCGCGCCGCCTGCAGAGGGCAAGGCCAGGCAGTTTTGGGCTGTGGCGGAGCTCGCGGGACCGTCGCGAGGGGCGAGAGCGGCGAGAGCGGTGAGGGCGGCGAAGGCGGCGAGAGCAGGGCGGCGAAAGCGGCCTGTCGCTCCGCGCACGCCGCTCGTCGCGGCCGCGCCCGCGCCGCCGCCCGCAGCGCCGCCCACCGCAGCCGCCTCCTCCTCGAGGGCGGCGTCGAGCCGGATGGCTTTGATGGTGGCCGCCCACGCGTACTGCGACGAAAGCGCCTCCAGCGCGCGCCGCAGCTCGAGGAAACCCTCCGTGCCGCCCAGCGTGGCGGGGGAGGCGGGAGGGCGGGCGGAGGGGGTGCGGGCAGCCGACGGGGCGAGGAAAGGGGCCGCGTATGCGTCGTACTGCGCGGCGCCGCGCAGCAGCCCCGTCAGCTCATCGAGCAGCCTACGAGTCGCGAGGTCTCGAGGCGTGAGCCCCTCGAGGGTGGGCGAGGGGGCAGCTGAGCCCCGCGGCGAGGGGCCGTTCGCAGCCGAGCGCCTCCGCCTCCGCGTCTGGGGCAACCTACTCCGCAGCCGGCGAGCCTCACCGGGGGAGGGGGAGGGCCAGGGCCTCCCCGGCGCGGCAGCCTCGGGGAGGGAGCCCGCGACGGGAGGGGCGCTCATCCGGCGGGCGGCGGCGGCGGAGCGGGTGCGGAGCTGCGCAGCGGCGGAGTACTGCGCGGCGAGCTCGGACCTATTTGTACGCGAGTGGTGGGCGGCGCGGCGTGAGGGCGGGGGAGGGGCGGGGGCGGAGAAGGGAGAGCGCCGGGAGGGCGGAGAAGGAGAGGGCGGTGGACCGCGGGAAGGGAAGAGGGCGGGGGAGGGGGAGGGGGAGGGAGGCACCCGAGTGAGAGAGAGCACGCATACAGCTCGAGGCACAAACCACGCGCCTCCTCCGCTGCCGCCGCCGCCTCCTCCTCCGCTGCCCCTGCTGCTGCGTGGTCGCCCTTACCACCGCTCGGCCCTGCCCCGGCGGCAGCGGCGGCGGCCGTCGGCCCGAGCGCCTGCGTCACTCCGCCGAGCGCCTCCGCCGTCGCCCGCAGCAGCCGCGCGAGGCGGGCGGGCAGGACGGCGAGCGCCTTCTCCTCCTCCTCCGCCGCCGTCGGCAGCGCGGCCGCCTCCACGCGCGCGCGGCAGAAGGCGGAGAGGGAGGATCGCCCCTCCGCCGGAGAGCCGAGCCGAGCGAGCAGCGAGACGAACCGGCAGACGGCAGGCAGCGCCTTGTCTGCGAGCCCGTCCGCGAGTCCCGCCCGCACGGCGCTCTCCACCCGCGCGTGAGCCGCCTCCGCCCGCGCGCGCGTCTGCGGCTCGATGGCGCTGCCCGCCGCGCGGACCGAGGAGAGGGCGCCTTGCGCGTGCGCCGCCGCCGCCTGAGAGGGAGGGTGCGGGAAAGGGTCAGCGAAAGGGCTTTGGCAGACTCAGGCTCTGGGACGGGGCGTGTGGACGGGGGCTTGTCGGGCGGCAGGGCCGCGGGCTCTCGCGACGTGGGGAGCAGCGCCAGTGGTGATGCCCAGTGGTGAGGGCCAGTGGTGAGGGCCAGCGGTGAGGGCCAGCGGTGAGGGCCAGCGGTGATGCCGCGCGCCTCGAAGTTGCCGCTCGAGAGGGCGGCGTCGGCCGCCGCCTCCGCCGCGTCAAGCTCGAGCAGCCTCTCGACGAGAGAGAGCCGCGCCGCCGCCTCTGCGCGCCTCGCCTCGAGGGCGGCGAGCGCGGCGGCCGAGTCGGCGACGAGCGCCGCCGTCGCTGCAGACTCGGTGCCGAGCTTGCCGAGGGCTGCGCCGATGCGAGCGCCCTCGTCCGTCGCCTGCGGGGGAGACACTCCGCGTGTGTCGGACGAGGCGTGAGTGCCGAAGCGAGCGCACGCTGCTAGTTGCCTGCTGCAGGGCCGGGAGCGCGGCGGTCGTAGCGCGCATCGCCTCGGCCCGGAGGCTACGCAGCTCGGCCTCGACGGACGCTTCGGCCGAGTCGAGTGCGCCGAGCGCCGAGCTGATCGCCTCGAGGTCGAGCTCCTCCGGGTCGAGCGCCTCGGCGCTCAGCTCGACCTGCTCCGCCGCCGCCTCCGCGCTGCCGCCCGGCTCTGCCGCAGCCGTTGATCCACGGAACGACGAGTGGTCGTCGCCGTCGAGTTCAGCTTGCCCGCCACTCTCCTCTGCCGCCGCCTCCCGCAGCAGCAACGCCTCCAGCGCCTTGTCGAGGGCCGCCGGAGAGGCGCATGCCGAGGCGAGCGCACGGGCAGCCGAAGCGGTGGCGCTGCGCGGCGCGCCGGCACGAGCAGTCACTGAGGTGAGCGTCCCTTTGGGCGCGACGCCGACGGTGCTCGTCGCCAGTGAAGCCTCGACTGCCGCGGACAGCGCTGGCATGCCGATCAGGAACCACCACCACGGGGATGTCGTGTCGGTGAATGCTTCGCGGATGCGCGCCAACTCTACGATCCTGCCTGTTTGAGCCACCCCGAGAAGAGGGTAGACGTATGTGCAGTGTGCAGATGGCCGAATTGACTTTTTGCTCTGGTTTTAAGGCCCTGTTGGCTGTTGCACGTGTGCCTTACACACATGATCTCTCAACCGCAGGACCTTGGCTGGCGCAGAGTCCTTTGGCGCGGGCTCTCTCGGCTACGGGACGGGCCCCAGGTTCGGCTGAGGGCTGACAAGTTGACAAGCTGCCGCGGGCCCAAATCACGGGAAGGGCAAAAAAACGACCAAGCACCGAGTTTGTAGGCCGGACCACGGCGCGTCGCGCCCATACCACAGACGCGTATGCTCTCTCTCGCCATCCTCGCGCCGCTGTCGTGGCCACCGGACCCGCCATCGCTGCCGCCGCGTCCGCCGCCGGCGCTGCCGACCTGCACCGGCGGCGCGTTTAAGCAAGAGGAACGCAGGGCTTTTGAGGTGTTGGCACGCCTGCTTGGGCGAATGCAGCGGTCTTGTATCTCCAGACGGAGAAGAAAGCCCGAACCCCGACCAGGGCGCGTTCTCTGGCGCGGGATCAAGGGGGTCGAGGCGCCAGAAAGGTTCGTCTCGAGAGGCGGGACTGAGCTGGCGCCGATGTCTACGACATCGGATCTGCGGGTCGCCGTGCGATATGCCAGAGGCGTATCGAAGTCGCTCATTTTCATGTTGCGCGTCGACAACTTCATGCAAGAGGGCGCTGACCTGGCGTTCCTCTCTGCGTTCCCGCAGGAGCGCGAATTCCTGTACCCGCCCCTGACCTTTCTGGCGCCGCTCAAGACCCACCACCTTCGACACGACGGGACTCAGTACACTATCCTTGAGGTAGTTCCTCACTACCCTTCTTGACTCTTCTTCTTCTCTCCACCGGGCACCCCACATGAGCGCATCCAACCACTCCTCTACTCGTCTCAAAGTTCATGCCGCGCTCGAGGCAGTCGCCAGTCGCTCTCTTAGTACTCGCACTGCGTAGAGCCGCGTTGCGCGTACAGTTCTTGACTTCGCACAGTGTTACGGTAGTTAGAGTGACACACTGTTTTACTTTTAGAGAGCACACACAGCGAATGGAGAGTGTGGACTGTCTATTCGCTCTCTCTCGGCGCGTGTGCTTGAAAAAGCGGTGTACGTAACGAGACGTGTGTCACAAAAATTGCTAGTGTACGTGGACGGTGTGCATACACACAGCTCACAAGCCAACACGGACGTCGTGTCCTGACGAAACGGTTAATTCTAGCTCCCCCGACGCAGCACAGGCGGCTTGGTCACCCAAAGCTGCCCTGCACTATCCCTATCGACCAGCGGAGTGCTCCCGGCGGCCCACAAGTGGCCCGCGTGCCGGCGGTGCGTGTGGACGCTCTGCCAATGGGACTCGCGCGCAATACCATGCCAGCGACTGCGCGGCACGACAACCGGCGCCCGGGCAAGTAAGCGCGACGCGCTGCCGGGCGCGTAGCCGCCGCCGCGGGCGGCGGCATTGGCGGCGGCCCCAAAGAGGACGGTGTTGCGAGAGAGTGCGTCGAGCTCGGCGTCCATCTTGTCGAGCCGCACCTTTGACGTCTGCGCGCGCAGCTTGCTTCTCGGGGTGCGAGGCTTGAACGTGCGGCGACGCGGCGCCGGCGGCCTCCATTCCGGCAGCGTCCTCTGCTCGCGCATCTCGTCGAGCACGGCGCGCGCCTCGGCGAGCCTGCCCGCCTGACCGGGTGACAACAACAGAGTCAGAGGACTCCTTCATTCGGTGCGCCTCGGGCGAGCCCGGCCCGCCTCGTAGAGCTCGCTGATCAGGTCCTGCTCCCGAGTCGCGTTTGGCGCGAGCAGCAAGCCTGACGGGAGAGAGATGAGCGGCCCTCGCCCCACGGCCGCTCGGTCTCGGCTGCCTCTCGGCTGCCTCTCGCTCTCGCGCCGTGAGCGCGGCCCGCCGCGAGCAGCGAGACGGCGTCCTCCACAGCGCCGCTCAGCGTGAAGCCGAGGACGAGCTCTTGGCCAAACGTCCTCTGCACCTCGGGCGCGAGCCAGCGGCTCGACGCGCTGAAGATGGCGCGGCCCGCCTCGAGCAGCTGCCTGTTTGCGGGCCGCCCGCCCGACGGCATCACAGCGCCGACCAAGTACTGCACCGCGCCTGACAGACGCCACCGACACCAGTGACTGGGCAAGGCTCCACCTGCGGGTCAGTCTGCTGCACCGACGCCGTTCTGCTCGGCCGGGTTGGCCGCCGGCAGCAGCCCCGAGCGGACGCCCCACCGGAAGACCTGAGGGGCGTGTCCCGGGACGGTTCATGGACGTGTCCTCGGGGCCGAGTAGAGGAGTCCCGCCGGAACGCCTCGAGGGCGAGCGGCGCGTCCGCGTGCAGCTCGCAGCCGCGCAGCAGCGTCATCAGCCCGACGATGCACGCGAGGTCGGCGCGGTACGCGCGGGTGAGCTCCGCGTACCTAATTAAAATCTTCATAATCATCACCGATTTAATATTATTTAATCAGGCGCGGGTGGGCTCCGCGTACCCGGTGCGCAGCAGCCCGGCATTGCGGCAAGCGAGCATCACCTACTCGCAGCCTTCTGCTCCTCGATGGAGAGCTGTCTGTGGAGGGCCTGTGGCACGCGAGCGTCGCCGTCGCGACGTGCGGCGGGTCGAGCACCTATTAAACAATATCAACACTACTCACCTTTTTAAGATTATTTAATTAGTCGCGACGTGCGGCGGGTCGAGCACTTTCCCGCCCTCCTCCTCGACCTCGTGCAGCAGCGTCACCGCCAACGTTGCGTCCGCCGCGCGCGCGCACGCGACGAGCGCCGCAGACAGCAGCTGCCGGTGCTCGTTGACCTGCGTCGCACTCAGCTTCCCGCTGGCGCCGCGCCGCAGCCGAGGAGCGACGCGCGCGCGCCGGTAGAGGGCGACGGCGTCGGAGGCGGCGCCGCGGGAGCCGTGCGCGCGGATGGCCTGGTCGACGTCCCACCGTCTGCTAATTAGGAGAGAGTGCGCCAGGGAGAGTCCCCCCCCCGGAGAGCCCCCCCCCCCCCGTTTCTGCGCCCCGTTCTCCGCCGCCGCCAACCCTCCCGGGGAGAGCTAGCTCGCCTCCGCCTACTCCTAGCCTCGCCTCCGCCTACTCCTAGCCTCGCCTCCGCCTACTCCTAGCCTCGCCTCCGCCTACTCCTAGCCTCGCCTCCGCCGCAGAAGAGACGCCCTCGCCGTACAGACGCTCCTCGAAGAGGCGGGCGCCTACGCGTACGCATCGGGAAGGGTCGTGGAGGGTGGCAGCGGGGGCCCGCTCCTTCCCAAGAGAGGCGGCGGCCGAGGGACGGCTCGATCCGCACGAGACCCGACTCGGCGCTCGCCATCATCAGCCTAAGGGCGCCGAGTCGCGCGAGTGGCGCGGCGATGTGCGCGAGGAGGAGTGCGCCGGAGGGGGAGGGAGGGAGAGCCGGGTGAGGGTCCGGCTGAGGACGCGAAGCCCGCGCTCCGATGCAGACTGCCACAGAGCGAGCGCCTCGTCGCCTCTGCCGGCGAAGACGAGCGCCTCGAGAAAGAGGCACATCGGCCTACAGGAGAAGTCGAGGGGCAGCTCCGAGCACGGCTCCTGGAGGCGCGTCTCGCGGAGGCGGCTCCCCGGCCTACACCACCACAACCACCGCGCGGGTGACGGCCTGCCTCCCGCGGCCACTTGCAGGGGCAGTCTCCCTCGCACCGCTGCTGCAGAGGGATGTGTCTAGGAGGTGTCTAGGAGGTGTCTAGGAGGTGTCTAGGAAGTGTCTAGGAGGTGTCTAGGGAGTGTCTCCCTCGCACCGCTGCTGCAGAGGGATGTGCAGAGTGCGGCACGAGTGCGAGTAGATCTGCAGCGCGGTGCTGACGTCGCCTAGGGCCAGGGCCGGGGCCGAGGTCGGGCGTCAGGTGAGGAGAGCTGCGACGAAGTGCTGATGTCGCCGCTGATCGCGCAGACGGAGAGGAGCGGGTTGAGGACCTCCGCCGCAGCATCCGCCTCGGACAACCCTCCCTCCTCGGCGCCGCCCTCCGTTGCCGGGCGCAACTCAGCCGTGTTACCAGCCTCGTCAATACCCTGCTTGCCGCCGCCCCGCGCGCCGCCCTCCGCGCCGCCCCCGGGCCGAGGCAGGACGGAGAGGCCGCAGTCCATCCGCAGGTGCTCCACCACCTACAGGAGGAGATACGAGCCTCGCGGCAAGGTGCCTCTGCGCACTGCGACCCCCGCCGCTCGACCGCCAAAAAGGCGATGCGCAGCAGCAGCTCCTCGTGCTCGAGCGGCTCGCCGCCGACGACGCCCCACTCGTCGCTCCCGCTGAGGAAGAGCTCCGCGCTCTCCACCTACCAGCCTCACACCGCCGCCTCGCCCTCCCGGCACGCCGCAGGCGAGGCTGCCGCAGCCGCTCGCCTCGGCCGCGGCACTCCTCGCCGCCTCGCCTCGCCTCGCCGCCTCCTCGTCGCGCCGCGACGCGTCGGTCGACGAGAAGAGCTCGCGGTACGGGTCGCTCTCCTCCCACACGTCCGGCGGCGTGGGCGGCAGCCTCAGGTCGAACCGGTAACCCTCGCTCATCTGGCGGAGCAGCGAGGCGGCAAAGCCGGGCGTGCAGCGCGTCAGGCGGGCGCTGCGGTGCCTGAGGTAGAGCTCGCCGGCGAGGCTGCCCTGGCCGAGCTCACAGCAGTTGCGGAACGCGGTTTGCATCGCCGTATTCAGGTAGTCGTTTGACTTTTGATTGCGATGAGCCTCCGACGCCAATCCGATGGCGGCGTCCCTCTGCCTGACGGCGTCCTCCATCTCGAGGAAGAGGCGGCGCACCAGCCGCTCGTTGAGGCGGAGGAGGCCCTCGGCAAGCGGGTCGGGCGGCTCGTCGTCCTCGCGTCCTAGGCTTGGCGCCGGAGGAGGAGGCCGCAGGGCGACGCTGCAGAGGTTCGCTGCATGCCGGCGCGATCGGCGGCCAGCGTCCCCGGAGGCCACTCGCAGCAGCCGGAGCATGCCGCACCGGACACAGCCCGGCAGAGGGCTTAGCAGCGTCGGAGGAAGCAGGATCAGGCTGGGCAAGTGCCTTCGTGCCTTCTCGCGGCGCAAGACGGCGCCGGTCGTGGAAAGTTCAAGCTGGACCGTTTCTTTCTGTGTGTGTTGGAACTATGTTAGGTAATTGCCTGGAACTAGCTTGCCGAACTTGAGCTCTGTTGCTCGCGCCACCGCCTGCAGACCTTCTGGAATGCGCTTCACCGCCGGCTGCCTGCCACCGCTCCACTCCGCGGTCCGAACGACGGTCCCGAGCATGGCGAGCCCGCTCGACGCCGTGGCCACGCCGCTCACCAAGTTTCAGGGGAGCGGCGTCTCCAACAGCAACCCGCTTGCCGACGCGCCGTTTGAGGTGCTGGCTCTCTTTGCCGTCATCCTCCTGGCCGGCGTCGGCGGCCTAGTTCGCGCCTCGGGCGTGCTCTCGTCGGCGGCTCCGACTGTCGGTCTTGGAGAGAGCCGCGAGGAGCTCAAGGAGGAGGCGCAGCAGGCTGCGACCGAGGAGGCGGAGATGACGCAGGCGGAGAAGGAGGCGATGTACTTCAAAGAGATTCGTAGCGAGCTGGCAGCGAAGCGCGGCGGCTCGGGAAAGAAGCGAAAAAAGGCGCGCAAGAAGTAGCGCAGGAGGGTCCTGTTCTTGAGGTCATGCTTGAGGTTGCACGCGGTGGTCGAAAAATATGTGCGTCATTAAACATGCACATGTATGTGGGAGGCGCGCGGAACACACGGTACACACGCACACACGCACCTCATCTGTTTAAAAACATCCTCTCAGCACGCCTCTTGCTGTGCTGCGTGCGCGGTCTCGTGCGGCGGCGGCGGCACGACGAGCTGCGGCTCGCCGGGCACCGTGAGTGAGGCGGTGCAGGGCGGCGTGATCGCCACCAGCGGCGCGGAGTACGGGCTTCCGCCGGGGCCGCCGCTGCTGCGGGGCCCGCTGCTGCGGGGCCCGCTGCTGCGGGGCCCGCTGCCGCACCGGTCTGTGTTTGCGCGACTGTTGATCACGCGTCCCGCGGACGACCAGTCCATCAGCAAGCAGTAGGTCAGGCCGAAGAGGGCGAGCGGCGCCTGGGCGATGGTCGTGGCGCCGACGCAGAAGGCCAGCTTGCGAGGCACGGAGGAGGTGGCGAGGTCGGTGAGGGCGAGGGCGCCGACGACGGGCGAGGCGACGGCGTAGAAGCAGAAGAAGGTTGCTCCGATCGAGAGGAGCGGCTTGCCGAGCGGCACGAAGAGGCACATCGAGCAGATCGAGAGGATGCGGGTCTGCATGTGCGGCAGCAGCACCCAGAGGATGGCGCCAAAGGCGTCTCGAACCGCCTCGTCGTTGCTGACGGCGTGGGTGACGGCGCCGCTCGCGGCGAGGAGCGCGACGTTGTACGCCGCCACCAGCACCGACGCGATGCCGATGAGGAGGAAGAAGGCCTTCTTGGCGCCCGGGTCGCGCTTCCCGAGCAGGGTCATCGTGCGGACAGAGACCACCTGGATCCAGCCCTGCTGCGCGGCGGAGAGGGCCTGCGGACATGGCGTGGACGTGTCATCGACATGTCGTGGACGCGACCCGAGGATCCAGCCGTGCTGTGCGGCAGGCCTCTAACCCTAACCCTAACCCTAACCCTAGCCCTAGCCCTGCTGCGCGGCGGGCCTGCTCGCACTGCACCCAAATGGCTCCCGCCGCCACTTGCGCGGTCGAGACGCCCCGCACGTTGGTGAGCGCAACCAGCTGCAGCTCGAAGATGAGCCAGCCCGAAAAGTTCGACGCGATCTGCGGCAGCGTGAGCCGCGCGAACTCGCACACCTCCCTGCGGCTGAAGAGGGGCGCGTGCTGCTTGCCGCGCGGCAAGAAGAGCGGCAGGAGGCCGAACCACCACGCGAGGCCGCACCACACCACGATCCGCGAGGCGCGCACCGTGCTCCACGCGACGGCGGCGCCGAGCACGCCCCACCGCCAGCGGTAGATGAAGGCGTACCTAGGTGAAGGCGTCAGTGGCCGTTCTTAGTCAGGCGCCGAGCAGGCCCCACCGCCAGCGGCAGAGAGAGGCGCGCGAGCAGAGCACGTCCAGGCCGAGCCCGGTGAGCAGCGAGTTGAGCGAGGCCTAGGGTTAGGGTTAGGGTTAGGGTTAGGGTCAGGGTTAGCCGAGCCCGGTGAGCAGCGAGTTGAGCGAGGCCGAGCGAGCGTAGCCGCACGAGACGAAGACGGCTTCGATCTGGATGTCGAGCAGCAGCAGCAGCGCGCCGCCCGCCATGACACGCGTGTACGTCCCCACGGCGGCGGCGATGCTCGGCTCGACGCCGACGCACCGCAGGACGGGCGCAGAGACAAACTGGAGAGCGCACGAGGGCAGGCAAGAGAGGGCCGCGAGGACGACGGCGCGCCGGAAGTAGTGCGGTATCCGGTCCCTGCGGCTCGCGCCGATGCACCCGGGCAGCACGTTCCACAGGTAGGCGCTCAGGCCGAGCATCACCATCAGCATCGAAACGTTGAAGTAGACCCGCCCGTAGCCGAGCGCCGACTGCAGGTGCGCCGAGTCGGGCGTGGAACCCGCAAAGAACATGGTGATGAGAGGCGGTGCGCCCCACTCGAGGATGGCAGACAGGCAAAGCGGCACGCCCTGGCTGAAGAAGAAGCGCAGCTCGTTGCGAAGGCTGTACGGCGGCTCCTCGGCGCTGCTGCTGGCCGGCTCGGCCGCGGCGGACTCCTCCGCTTCGGGAAGCATGGTCTCGCGCTGCGTCTCGCGACAGGGGCTGTCGGGCGACAGGAGCTGCGACATGATCCGTCTCTGCCGTCGCGGTCGGACGGTCCTGCTCGGTCGGTCGTGGTCACGGTTCGGGCTCCCTACTCGAGTGAGGCGGGCTCCAACTGTAGGGTGGTCGGACTGTCTATTGGGATCGACCCCAGCTATGGGCTCGAGAGTACTGTTGTACGTACTTTTAGCTTACTGGGAGAAAAGAGAGAGGGGGGTTGTGTTCTCTAGGCCCCTAGGGTTAGGGTTAGCTCTCTCTGTTGTAGGCCAGGTTGAGGAGATTACACGATCCCGGCGTGAGCAGGACTAACTGAGGGATCCGCTCCTGACAGTGGCATGCACTGCGCTGCGGCGCGTGCCACTGTCTTTGTTTGAAGTTAAAAGTCGAATCAGAGCGCCGTCGGCCGTCGGCGCTGTCCCTCGTTTTCCTCCCACGGACCGCCCGTCCGGCACCGCTCGCTCCGGGACGCACGCCGGCGAAGCACCATCAAGCTGCTGTACGGCCCCGGCATCGCCTCCCCTGGCTTAGCTAGACTGAGAGACCATTGTGCACATGGTTGGTCTCTACAATATATACACTGACACTAAACCTCCCAGAGCTCGTCCCGGTCCGTCACGGCCATCCTCGGCCTCCGGAGGGCCCCCGACCGCGGCGCGGTGTGGCGGCGTCACAAATCCGACCACAGAGCACCACGAAACCACGACTAAGGTGCCCACAGGGTCCAAAAAAGAAAGGAAAAAAGAAATGGGGCAAGCCCCATCGCAGCACTTCGTGTTGGAGAGTCGAGATATTGAGATTGTGACTAGGAGGAAGGGACGCTGGCGATTCTCAAAGGTATACCCTTGGAATGGCCGGATCCAGCCTTGAAAGTACGAGATCGCGCGCGCTTCGCGCGCTGCACCGCCTGTTCTCCGCGGCTGAGTGACGACGCGTGCCGTGTGCCAGCAGAGTTGGGCGCGCGCGGCGCCGTCGGCGCCGGTGAGGGAAGGCGCGGGTGCAGCGGCCGCCGGCGGTCGTACCGCTCGCCGGCCAGGCAGCGCAGCAGCGGCCAGCGCAGCGGCCGCTGGCGCAGCAGCCAGAGCAGCCGGTGCGCGCCTTGCGAGGCGAGTACTGCCGCCCGGCAGCCTTGAGGCGGCCAGGCGGCAGTACTCGTTCGAATGTTGCGAGCCGTGCGCGCGCCGAGGCGCGCGCGGCGCGCGCCCTGGCCCATAACACCGCCCGGGCACAGACTCCCTACCCGTCGGATCACACAGGGGCCCCTCAGAGCAGCCCACACGATCACACACTCACACACACACATCACTGTGAGAGTCGTGATTTCTTGAGCATTTTCAAAAATCTCTCTCTCACACAGGTGCGTGCTTCTCTCTCTTGCGTGCGTGCGTGCGTGCGTGCGTGCGTGCGTGCGTGCGTGCGTGCGTGCGTGCGTGCGTGCGTGCGTGCGTGCGTGCGTGCGTGCGTGCGTGCGTGCGTGCGTGCGTGCGTGCGTGCGTGCGTGCGTGCGTGCGTGCGTGTGTGTGTGTGTTTGTGTGTGTGTCTTTCGGTGCTTTTCTCTTTCTTTGTAAAATTTACGACAGAACCTTCCACGTCTACGCGCGAACACAGCTATTTCAGCGCTTTCATGAAGATGCCGTGGAGCAAGGAGCCCGAGCCGCTGGAGGCGGTTCTGCCGGACGGTGCCGTAGATTCGAGCGCGCTGCTCACGTACACCGTGGCTGTGCTCGGCACCTGCGTCTTCCTCCGCAAGTGTCCGCACGGCGCGTCCGATTCCGTGGCGCTCCTGCTCTTCTTTGTGTTTTGGTACGTGGGCAACGCCTTCTACAACCAGTACAACACGCTCGCCATCGGAGCGACCGGCGGCAAGCACGGCGGCCTCACCATGACAGTCTCCACCATGCAGCTCGGCGTGTGCACGCTGTACGCGATGCTGCTGTGGCTCGCAAACAAGAACCCGATCAAGCTGTGCGGGCTGCAGCTGGCGGAGTCCATGCCCTTCCCAGCGGTGAACGGCAAGGACATCGTCAGCACTCTCCCCGTCGCCTTCTGCTCCGCCGCTGCCCACTCAGCAGGCGTCTTTTGCCTCGGCGCCGACCCGCTGTTTGGCCAGATCGTCAAGGCGAGAGGGGCGGAGAGCGCGAGCGCGACGGCGCCCTTCCTGACGGGGAGGACGGGCTTGGAATAGGCGGGTGAGCCGGTGCTGTCCGCGCTGGTCAACACGGTCTTCTACAAGAAGCGGCCCTCGATGCCCAAGATCTTGTGCCTCTTCTTCATCGTCGGCGGCGTCGCGTTTGCGTCACTCAAGAAGGGTTTGGACGGCGCGTACAAGCTCAAGTTCGACGAGACGGCGCTGCTATTTGGCATGATCGGCAACACCTTCGCCGCCTTCAAGGGCGCCGAGACCAAAAAGCTGATGACTGTGCCCGGCCTCAAGGACCGGATGGGAGGAGTCGCCAACCAGTTTGCAGTCACCGAGTGCCTTGCGTTTGCCATCTCGCTCCCCGTCATGTTTGCGACGGAGGGCGCCAAGTGGGGCACCTTCATGCACCTGCTCGCCACCAACCGCGACCTCCAGGTCGGCCTCTTCGTCTCGGGCCTCTCCTTCTACCTGTGAGTACTCCCCCTCTGCTCCGCCTACAGATGTGCCCACACTCGTCCCTGGCCCCCGCCCTGCGCCCCCGCCACCCCGTCGCGCCCGATCACCGCCGTGCGCCGCAACGCAGGTACAACGAGCTCGCGACAATGACCATCAAGGCGACGGGCGCCGTCACCTCCTCCGTCGCCAACACCGCCAAGCGCGTCATCGTGATGGTCTACATGGCTGCCGTCACCGGCAAGGTGCTCACCGAGGAGCAAAAGATCGGCGCCGCCGTCGCCATCGGGTTCGTGCTCGTCTACTCGGCGCGATGGCGCGGAGGACGCGGGCAGCTGTCCTGCCGCGAGTCTAACGCCCCCCACCTGCTCCCGGCAGGTGATCGACGACGTGCTCGCGTCGCTCAAGAAGAAGACCGCGTGAGAGCCAAAGGAGCCTCGGAGGTGGCTGGCAAGTGCATGGGCATGCCATGGCCCTGGCGCCAAGGCTCGTTCCCTTGGCGGCTGGAGAGGGGTACATGTAATGCTCCTTGGCGCAGCTGTTTTCTTCGACAGCCGCGGTGCCATATGCGCGGTGGAGATGCATAACGTCGTGTTCCCCGGATCCGCAGAGTTTGCTCCTTTGTGGTACAACCGCCTCGGTCGGAGAGACAGTTTACGTGTGTTGTTGGTGTGTGTGTCACAGGGGTTGTACCAGTCTCTCAGGATCGCTGTCGGGAAAATACTCCACAGAGATGGGCGCCACGACGCTCAGCCAGAGACCCAGACGCAGACCTTTCACAGTCGTTTTTAAAACTAAAACACGGAGCCTGCAGGCAAGCTCTCACACACACACAGGGTATCTTAGCCACTTGCCTGGGCTCGGTTGGTCCACGCGTTGACTGCTGCAGATAGAGTGGCACTTATTCTGTTCAACTCGACGAGGCTGGAGTACAGCTCCTAAGGCGCGAGGCGGGCGGGGCGGTGAGGTAGCAAACGGTGTGGCGGAGAAACTGAGCGGGTTGAATGGTAGATGCCTGGCTCTCTTTGAGCGTATAGACCTGGTTCGCCAGCTCAGCCCCCGCCTGCACAGGGTCCTGCGCGTCCCACCCACCGCGCCGGAGAGCAGCTGCCGCCTGTCGCAGGCTCGAGAGAGCCGACTGCCGACCTCCGTTCTCACTGGCCGCACTGGGAACTTCGCCATCGCCGCCGCCGCCGCCGTCGCCGCCTCTGCGTCCATCGCCCTCTCCAGGTTCCTCACTGCCGATGTCGCTGACCCACTCGCTAGCGCCGTTGCCAGAGGCGGAAACCCCGTTGAGCGCTCCCAGAGACCAGCACTTCTTCACCAGGTGGTTTTTGTACTGGACCACGTAACGCATGTGGAGGGGCGAATCGGCAGGCAGCATGTTGCCACGCACAATCTCCTGAGTGTCGTTGCCGACGAATTTGTCAATCGAGTTCCAGTTCAGGTGCAGCATTTTGTGCCACGTCACCACGCAGGGAGGGCTGTGCGGGAACTGTTCGGCAAGCATGCCACACCACATGGCACCTAAAAAACGAGATGGGCCTGAGTGCTGCCGAAGTGTGTACGAGTGGCTGGGCAGCGCGCCGGCACCCAGGTTCCATGCGCTCTTCTTGAGGAGGTACGGCTGTGACTCCAGCAAAAGTTTCGAGTGTGTCGCTTGCCAGGCTTTGCGCGTGAAGATGGGAGTCATCACCTCCATCTTGAGCACGCTCGACACGGCGCAGGACGCATCAAACTCGCCGTCGCGCAGGTAGCTGAGGTCCGTAGCCCGACAGCCAGGGTCGCACACCGTGTCCACGAGCCTTCGCCTGAACTGGCAGCCATGGCAGAGCGACGGCGGCCGCACTGCCGCGATCTTGGGTTGCGCGGCGCACGCGCCAACAGCGGTCATCGCCCGAAGGAAGGCATCAATCTCAAACGCGGGAGGCCACCTGCCAACCAATATCTCACGTCACCAAAGGGCCGAAGTCGGCTCCTCCAGCTGCCCTCGGCGCACCAAAGGAGGTCGTCGTCAAGAAGCCAGACAAAGTCGAACGGGCGCGTGTACTCCTTGGTCAGGACTCGCCTCCAAAAGTATGGCTTGTGCGACCGAATCCGAGTCAGCTTGGCGCACGGAGGCATCGTGTGCAAGGTGCTCGGAGCAATCACGCCGCCATCCCAGCCTAGGAAGTTCAACGGACTGCACTTAGACAACCAAAAACGGAGCCCACCCCCTACAAAAGATCGCACGGCCACGGGGGCGGGGACCTGTTCCTTTTTAAAGCCGTACCCATCTCCTAGTAGAGGTGTGCGTTTTATTTATTTATTTGGCTTGTATGGTTGTATTTCCAAGAATATTTTCTTTTCCCCCCCAAAATCGGTTCAAATTAGTAATTACAGTGCGCACTCTGTTTTCAAAATGAGAGAGCTCTACACATGTACAACAGGAGCTACCCTCAGACATACCCTACATCCTAAAAGATCATCCCAAGAGTGGCGTTCTCTCCAGCTCCTCATCGCCTGCATATCCGGCTCTCAGGTAATCGCGCCTTCCAGTCGCCACTTCCTCCAGCATCTCCGCGTCATCGGACGAGCCCGCGAGACGCGCACACAACAGGTTGGCGCAAATCGCGCCGAGAGCCGAGAGAGCTCTACTCTCACGCCTGCGGCGGTCGAGGAGCTGCTTGTGGGCGAGCGTCGCTGGCGTAAAGTCGAACGCAGGCCCGAGCTGAGCCACTGCCAGGGCGATCGGAGCGTAGCCGTGGGCCAGCCTCGCCCCTGCCGCTGGCCATCGGTCGATGGCGAGGCGGAGGAGGTGCCAGGCGATGGCGGCAATGGCGCAGCCAATGAGAAGGTCGAGCGTGACGGAGCCAAGCCCGCCGCCAAACACCGCGACGCCGACGCTGTAGCCAAGAATCGTGGGGAGCTGCCACTTCTCAAGGATCCGCTGCAAGGCGAGCCCCGACACGAGCTCTGCTTGCGTGAGAGGCGAGGCCGCCTCGACCAAAAGCCACTCTCGACAGCTCGGGCACTGCGACATGGGAAACTCTCCGCAATCCTTCGCTGCTCGCTCCCCGAGCGCGCTGAGCTCTCGCCGCTGCACCTCGAGGCTCGCGAAGCATACGCGGCAGAATTTGATTGAGGAGGAAGGAGGCGGACGGCAGCACGGCAGGCGCGCCAATTCAGAGAGCGGCAGTCCGTCCTCGTAGCAGATCGCGCAGCAGAACATATATATATGCGAGAGGGCACCCCCGAGGATTTGTTTTCTTTTTCGAAAACAAAATAACGCACGGGCCCTCAGCGGAGCTGGGAAGAGGACCGCCGCAAGCGGCGTGGCGTGGGTCGGTTGTGCATCCCTCCGGGGGCCCCTCTGCGCCGGGGAGGCGTTGTTGGAGGCTAGGACGCAAGCGTCCGTCGCCCTTTTCAAACTCGGGGCCCACTCCGCTACGCTCCGACCCGAATTTGGAGGGCCTGAAAAGTTTAAGGTGTTGCTGCGCAAAAGGGGGAACCGCGGCAGAGTAACTGCATCTGCGCGGGTAGAGCCCTTTTGCGCGGTATTAACGCACACACCGCGACTGCCCCGCAAGGCGCGCGATACACACAGCTAGAAGTCAGTCAGTCACCGTCCTCAGGCGGGGGTCACAGAACACCGAGTCCATAAAGCTAAGCTCCTCCTCGCCTTCAGGCTCAGCAAGCTGCATCGACACCGGCCCATCAGCGGTTAGAGGGGGGAGATCTAGAGGATCATCTGAGCTGGAGCTAGCGGCGGCGGCCGAGCTAGCGGCGGCGGCCGGGGTGCGAACCGGCGGCATCACTGATTCAGGCTTGAACCCGGGCTGCTGGTAGCTAGGGCAGAGTGATGCCGTTGGCAGCGGCGCGCTCCTCAGCCCAAGACAGGAGCTCTTCAAAGCGGTTGACTCGGGGCAGTAGGGCAGCTATGGGCACATGATCTCTAACCCCCAAAAGCCCCAAAAGGGCAGTGCCCTCGTCTGGGCGCCTGAAGATGGAAAAGGAGCCAGTCGGGTTGCTAGCGTGCACATCTGGTAGCTGTGTGTAGCCGGCGACAACACGCGGCGGTGGCGGCAGCGGCGGTGGCGTTGGCAGCGGCGATGGTGGAGGCACAGGACCGCACTCACTGTCCCACCGCCATCCGGTCGGAAGCTGGTAGTCGCCCCGCATCTCGACTACCCGCAGTGCAGCATCCAAAGGCGTCTGAAAAAAGTCGAGGTTCTCTCTGAGATGATAAATGTCTTCTGCAGCATGATGGTCCATCACAAAGTAGTCGCCATATTCCCACTTGCCTAGGAATGTCTGCGCCGGCTCGAGGTCCCAGTTAAACTTCCGGTGTTGAAACCCTTCGTAGCCAACTACGCGGTTGGTGCTGTGGCAGTAGCGGACATGAAGACGTACCGGACCGACCAGCCCAGCGAGCCAGTCGTGCGACGCTTTCAGTTCTGCAAGCCTGCGATCCTCCTCACACGGATCCTTAGGCTCACACGAGCCATCGCAACTCGCGCGGAAGTAGCAGTGGCAGAAGCGCGGTCGTTGCGCGGTGGCTCGGCGCTTGACAAGCGCACGCTCAATAGCATCGGCATCTGCCTCGACCCAAATTCCGGGTTTGGGCAGATTTGGCTCGAGAGCGTGGGCAGCATCGCGCGCAACCCTCTCTGCTGTGGGACGATACGGTGCAGGTAGGTTAGTGTCTGTCTCGGGCCACGCAGGCGGCGGCTCACCCCACTTGTGTCGCCAGAGAGAGCCGTGCCCGCCACGCGCCAGCGAGTGGTCACCCACTTCGCCCGGATCAAACATGCCATCCTGGCGTCGGCAGAGGTGATCAGTAAATTCGCCACCCACAATCGGATCGTAGCTAAAGTCGCATGGCGAGAGCGAGTGACCAAGCAAGTTGCGGCTGAACGTGCTCGACTCAATGATGTAGTGCAATGGCTGCGGGCCATAGGCTATCCCGTACTTGGCTGCAATCTCGCTGATGTCCATATTGCGACGTTCAGGATACAACGTCGACGTCTGCATGCTCTCCAGCATCTTTGCTGCACCATCGTAATTGCTGAAGTGGATCACACCGCGGAAGTGCAGCAGTCGTTGGTGGAGTGGCGGTTTGTGCTGGTCCGCAAACTTGGGAGTAGGGGGCGTGCCAGCGAGGATGAGGCATCGCATGGCCAGCGAGTCGCCACGGTTGAGCACCATGCGAGCCAGCAGCAGCTTCACACGCAGTAGAGTACGCTGTGCAACGCACCAGCCGCGGCGGGGAATCCAATAATCCGATAGTCCGCCTGAGCTCCACCAGGCCGGCCATTGTGTCCGCTCAGCTCTGCCTCGTACGCAGTCCACCAGTTGCGTGCGGCCCTTGGAATGACACAGTGCTCTTGGCACGGCTCCTCCATCCCGGCACCGCATAGCTCACACGGGTCTTCGTCAAACTCCTCTCGCGCCCGCGCGTTTTTGCACGGGTAGCAGTTGACGCCGCCGCCCCTCAAGCGCCACATCTCAGGCGCAAACTCGACGTCCAGGTACTCGGTGGTACCATCGACAATGCAACGCAGTGCATGTATAAAGCGCACCAGCTCAGTTTTGTACTCAACCCACTGGAATGCATCAGTGTACCACGTCTGCTTCCATTCGCACGGCCGCATTGATTGATAGCACACGCGTTTGACCGGCGGCTGCGCTGACCACTTGTGGTTGTCGTGGTCGGCGTTGCGTGGGTCTAGGAGAGGCAGCTGTAGCCGTTCTGCCTGTGCCTCGGCACTCTCATTGAATCGTGGCTGTGTCGTCAGCGCGGGCATAGCATCGGCCAGTGATCTCCAGAATCTTGGCGGTTTGTCGGTGAGCCCGGCGCACGTAAAACTTTCTCGTGGCACCCATGGCATCGGGGGCGGCTGCGGTGTGGGATGCAGCGCGGCTGGGTCGGGTAGAGGAACCGTATCATCCGGCTGCTGCTGATCCGGCGGTTGAAGCGGGGGAAGTGGTGGGAGAAGCGGCTCGGCCTGTGCGGTGAGGTCAGTGCGCCTGCCCCGTTGCGTCCAGTCACGGACCCATGCGCCCTGCATCATGGCAACTGCTCGCCACTGAGCGTCGTCGAACTCGATCGCCTGCCACGGCCCCGGCAAGATGCATTCACCCCACTCACCAGCTTGGCCCACCTGGTACGGATAGCGCTTCTTCTGGAGCACGATGATCGCCTCAAGGGCGCCGCTCCTGCACCACAGCGCGCAACGGGACAGCAGCTGCTTGTTCTCTCCGCACTCCTTCAGCCGCAGCAGCTCCGCCTCGGTCGCAGGCGTGAGCGTAAGCCGGTCTGTCTTATGCCGGTCCGGCATATGGTGACCCCAGAGATGGCGCGAAGTCGCGATGCGCTTTTCCCCGATCATTTCGTCCGTCCAATCGAAGGAAGCGCTGGATCGCCCATGTTATGGCGTTTACCAAACTTGCCCCGACGTTGTCGTATTTGGGAGCCACGGTCCTGCTTTTGTTTTCACGGGTTACGAAGCTGAGTACCGCGTCTGCGACGCGGGCGCCTTGCGGGCAGAGCCCTTAGCCACCCTTTATCTTGCGCGGTCAAAACTGAACCTCTCCACAGAAAAGAAGAAATTTTGCTTTTCCTTGCCGCCATCTCGCTCCGTGCTTCCTGCAGTCGCCACGCGTCGCCACGAAGGCGACTGCGGTGAATGGAAGACCCTGCGCCCTCGCCGACCCCACTTCTCGCACGCCGGCGCCGCACCTACGTCGGACGCGACAGAGCCCTCATCACTGCGGGCTACGTCGGCTCCTTCTTTGCGATCGGCGTCTGCTTGGCCTCGCTCGGGCCGCTCTTGCCAGAGCTGGCCTCAAAGACGGGTCGAACCCTGCCGGAGCTCTCCTTCCTCTTCGTGGCCCGCTCGGTCGGCTATGTGCTCGGGTCGCTGCTCGGCGGCGTGATCTTCGATCGGGTTGACGTCACACACGCCCCTCTCGTCGTCGGCAACCTGCTCTGCGCCCTCGGCTGCGCCACGCTGCCGTCGCTCTCCGCGCTGCCGAGCCTCGCCGCCGCCATCTCTACGCAGGGTGCCTGCATGGGCCTGCTCGACACGGGCGGCAACGTGCTCCTCATCTGGCTGCAGGGCCCCACCCGCGTCGAGCCGTACATGCAGGCGATGCACGCCGCCTTCGCCGTCGGCGCCGTCGCCTCGCCGCTCTTCATCGAGTGGGCCCTGACGGAGCTGCGCTCGTTTGCTCCCGCCTTCTACTCGATCGCCGCCTTCCTCGCGCTCTGCAGCCTGCCGCTCGCAACTTACCGCGGGCCTCTCGCCCCGGCGGAGGACGCGGCCGCACGAGGCGGCGGCGGCGGCGACGGCGTGAAGGACCGCGGCGAGAGGGAGGCGGCCGGGCGGCGCTGTGCGGTCCGCGCGCTCGTGTGCGGAAGCGCGCTCTGCCTCCTCTTCGCGGTCGGCGCCGAGGTGACGTTCGGCGGGTTTGCGACCACTTTCGGCATCGAGGCTCTCGCGATGAGCGACGGCTCCGCGCGCGGGTTCGCCTCGGTCTTCTGGGGCGGTCTCGCGGCGGGGCGGATCGCGGCGGTGCCCGCAGCGGCGCGCCTCAGTCCCGCCACGATTCTCGGCGCGTCGATGGCAGGCAGCCTGGTCTTCTCCGCAACGGCCTGCCTGCCCGCCGCGCCGCCGGCGGTGCCGTGGGTCGCCGCCGCCGGCTTCGGCTTCTCGCTCGCCTCGATCTTTCCGACTGTGCTCACGCACGCCGAGCGCGCCACCCGCTTGTCCGGCCGCGTCGCCTCCCTCTTCGTCGTGTCGGCCGCCGTCGGCGAGCTGCTCATGCCGCTCTGCGTCGCGCTGCTCTTTGTGCGCACTCCGGCGGCCTTCCCTCGCTCCGTCCTCGCCGCGTGCGTCGCGCAGACCGTGGCTTTTGGCGTGGCCCACCGCGCGGCTCGCCGCTTGTCGAGAGGGGTACTTAGAGGGATGGCCGCTAGGTAGTGGACAGGGGTATGACAGTGCTAGGCGAAATCGCAAAAGTTGCTCTCCTTATTTGTTGAACTTGTTAGTATCTTGTACACCGGACACACACACAGTTTTCAGTTTCCACACGCGGAAACACACACGACCCGACGACCGGGTGCGACACACTCCACACTACACACACACGCGACTCCCCCGCGAGCCGCGTCACGAGCCAGACACTCGAGAACGAGATTGTATGTACAGCATAACTCAACCTGGGCTCACAAGGTCACGAGGCGAACACATCGCGCTTCTGCAGAGCCCACCTCCTCGGGCTGTTCGTAGCCATCGGCGCTCGCCAACACTACAGGAGAGCTCGCCGCTCTGACGGGCAGGGCAGGGCCTGCGTCGCTCAGAAACGACTCTGGCGCATCATGCCAGTCATCCGCTGCCGCCCTCCCTGGCTCGTCGGGAGGCAAGGCCCGGCCTGAGCACGCATATATCTTTGGGTTGAGTGGCGGCGGCATCCCGGCGACGATGGACTCGTGGTCGTCCTCCTCGTCCTCATCCTCCTGCGGTTGCTTGATTGGCTGCTGCTCTTCGTGGCCAGCGGCTGCGCCTTCAAAGGCCTTCGCGTGTCGCTGCGGACAACGTGCGAGGACTCGGCGGAGAGCGAACAAAAAACAGCAGCCGAGCACGAGGGTGAGCGCTAACTGAAAGGAGAAGGACGACAATGGCCATGGAGTTGTGGAAACTCGTTGACAGCGGCCCGACTCATGAAGCCGTTGTAAGCCGGCTGCGAAATCCGCACGCAAGAGTACCGTTCCAGCAGGCGCTTCTCTGGAAGCAAGGAGGACAGCAAGCCGCCTCGCGAGCTCAAGTGCTGCCGCCTCGGGCTGCGTCCAGAGGCCCCCGTGCGCTGAATCGCCCGGCACGGCGAGCATTGCGTGCGACGCCGGCAGGAGATCAAGTACGACCATGGTCCGTCGCGAGAGACCGCCATCCTCCTTCTCTTCATCCGCTGTGCCGGTTGCTGGCGGGCGCAGCTCGACGCATCGTACCCGTCCCTCCGCCACGCCCAGTGCCGCCGACACATCACGCCCGACGCGGGCCGCAGCCAGCTCGATGGGTGAGTTGGCTGCAAAGAGGGAGAATTGGGTCCGCACCGCTCCATGGGCCGGAGGGTGCAGCTTCAGCGTCGGGAGTGGCTCCGAAGCGGCGGAAGGCTCGGGCCAGCCTTTGATGTTGCTGGGCAGCACGCGGAAGCTACAGCCCTCGGGACAGCGCAGCTCAACCACGAGGCGGCTCTCGTTTGTGCGGCTGACCAGTGCATCCCATCGCGTCGTCGATGTCCGCCGATACTGCACCGACCATAGCACACCGTGCGAGGCGCAGCCACGGAGCACCCCGCCCCACTCGATGAGGTAGGAGGCGCTACTCTGCGCCTGCACGACTGGTGCTGCGCGCATTTCGTCGGCGTAGCCGCCCGCTACGAGGGACGCCGACTGGGGCCCGGGCGCGCTCTCGCCTCGCGAGTTTGTCGCGCGCAATCGAAAGACAAACGCCGATCGAGTAGTCACCCCGCTCGTCCCCGCCTCAACGATGACCTCCTCGCTCCCCTCGAGGGAGCGCCGGGCCACCGACCAATGTGGCGTTGGCCCCGCAGGGGAGACTTCAAGGTCAAGGCTGGCGTCAGCTGAGCAGCCCACGCGCAACGCGGGCAGGCGGAGCCGGATGGAGTCGCAGGTCGACTGGGCGCGCGGAAGCGGCGCCTCAGGAGGGTCGGGCGCCGACTCGACACGCCCCGTGGTCTCGTCCTCCCACTCGCTCCACTGCCCGCGGACGCCCGCGGCGCTGACGGCAGCGATTGCAAAGCGATAGGTGGTGGCGGCTCGGAGCCCGGTGGCAATGAACTCTGTGCTGTCGGCGGGCACGTCGAGGAGCGCCTCCTCGTGGGGCGACGGGCCGTCGAGCATGGTGGCGCGAAGCAGCAATCGCTCGACAGGCTGACCGCCCCTCTGGGCAGGCAGCACCCAACGAACGGTGATGGCATCGCAGGAGGTTGTGCGGAGCCGCAGCCGCTTTGGCGGGCTCAATAATGCGGGAGCAAGCGGCGGGCGTGGCGGCGGCGGAGGTGGTGGGGGCGCGGCCGGCCTCGGAGGCGGCCGCGGGCCGGGCGGCGGCGGCGGTGGTTCTGGCGGAGGGGGACTCGGGGGCGGCGGCGGCGGTGGGTGCGGCGGGGCTGGGCTTGGCGGCGGCGGAGGCGGCGGCGGCGGAGGAGGAGGGTGCGGCGGCGGCGGCGGCGGCGGTGGCGGTGGCTCGGGACTCGGCGGTGGCATCGGTGGCGGAGGAGGCGATGGGGGAATGTTGGCTTCGCATGTGATGAAGAGTGGGTAGCGCGGGCTGCCCGTAAAGGCCATCCGAACTCCGACGGCACCGTCGCCAAGGCGGAGCTGCCACGCGTGTGGGCCTGTCCTGAGCAGCTCGGCGCCCCAGACCGCCTTTGGGGCGGGCATTGGCGGATCCGCGGCGAAGGTTGGGCTGAGCACGGCGCCAGGCTGGCTGCGGGACAACTCGATGCGCGCGGTGAAGCCCACCGCCGTCTCAGCGGCCACCACATATGAGGCACCGAGGACGCAGGCGGGCGGGTTGGGTGGCGGAGGTCGAGGCGGCGGCGATGGAGGGCGGGGCGGCGAGGGCGAGGGCGGCGGCGAGGGCGACTCAAAGAGGTCGTGAGTGCACGAAATGAGCCGCGGGGTCCGGGTTCCGGGCCCATCACCGACGAACTCGAATGCGTCGCCGCTTGTTCCGAGCAGCGTAAATGTGGCGAGGAACTCACCCGACGACTCGGCAGCGCCGAGAAAGGTGGCGCGCGGGTCCGAGGATGAGAGTGCCACCGGAGCCTCGAAATGTAGATTTATCATCGCGCCCTCTGACCAGTGCTCTAGCGCCACGCGGGCTGCAAAGCCAGCCCCGGCGCCTTCGCGCGCCCGGTACGCCACACCCAAGTCACACGGCCGGGGCCTCGGTGGTGGCGGCGGCCGTGGCGGCGGCGGCGGTGGCGGCGGTGGCGGCGGTGGCGGTGGCTTGGGGCTCGATGGCTCCGGGGAGGGCACTCCCAGTGGAGGTGGCGGAGGGGCCGGCTTGGGAGTGCAGAAGCCACAGGCACGGCAGTGGCACCAGGTGCAAGCCCAGTCGGCGGCATCCTCCCGACACCAGGTGGCGCACGTCATGACCTCCGAATCCCCCTCTGCCACGCCGTGCGCCGACTGGCAAACCAGTAAGCGTGGCGGCGGTGGCGGCGGCAGCGGCTCCCCGGCGTCCCATCCATGCGAAATGTCGTCGCCTTCCGCCGCAGCTGACACGGGTCGCCCGGTGGTCCGCTGCTCGACGTGGATCGGCTGCGACGGCCAGGGTGGCCAAGGCGATGGCGACGGCGGCGGTGGTGGAGGGGGTAGCGGCGGTGGCATTGGAGATGGCGGCATTGGAGGAGCGGGTCTCGGCGGAGGTGGAGACGGGTCCGGGGCCCAGGGTGGCGGTGGCGATGGATCTGGCGCCCATGGTGGATCCGGCGCAGGTCCGCCCTGGTCGACCGCCTCGTGGGCCATCACAGAGGATCGGCAGAAGTCGCATGAGCTGCAGTGGCACCACGTGCAATGGTGGACCTGCCGCTGCGAGTCGCACCATTGCTCGCACGTGGGAACAGCGGCATCGCCGTGCTCCGTTCGGCCTCGGTCGCACCGCTGGCCGGTCGGCGGCGCGGCGAACAGCATGCAGACGATCGCCAGCATAGTCTGACGGCGGCGGGCGCTTCGCTCTCTTGCGCGCACGTCCCGCCCCCCCGGCCCGACGCGAGGATGAATACTCGTATCGACACGCCCACGTGGGGCACGCTGGACCTCGAAGTGAGCTGTCAGTCTCATGGTCGGCCCGCCTGCCTTCTGTTTGTGGTGGCGGCGTGCCGTCCTCCTCCCACCCCTCCCACTTGGATTCTTCGCTTTTTTTTTTGAGCCGTAACTCTCCCTCTTTTTTTTTCTAAGACAAGTACTAGTGAAGTTCTATTTTGGGGCGTTCAGTTTACAGTGAAAAAGAATTTCAGTTAAAGAAACTGATGATATTGCTTGTGTGTATGTGTCGCGCCTTGCGGGCGCGGAAAGCAGGAACCTCTTCCCAAGAAGCGAGCGCCACTCTTGGAGCGCCGCCACCACATCGAGCGCAACCGCCTCCAATATAGATAGTACGACGGGCGAGCCTGGCGTCTCACGCCGCCAAAACGCCTGCGGCGTCTCACGCCGCCACAGTCTCCGGCGCCGGCACGCTCAGCGACCCCAACGACTGCGCCGCGCCGTCCGTGGCGGCCTGTTCCTCGTCGCTTCCGGCGGCGGCGGCGGCGACAGCCTCGATGCGGCACGCCCCCTCGGCGGTCACGTCGACGCTCACGACGAGCCCCGACTCGCCTGGCGCGTTGTCGCACGCGTGCAGCGCGAGCGCCGCCACGGCCCGGGGCGGCTGCGGCGGCCCGTCGGGGGGAGAAACGGCGTCGGCGGGCGGCGGCGGCGGCATCTCGACGAGGCGAAGCACGAGCCTCTGCCCGGCGGCCGGCGGCTCGACCTGCAGCGGAATCTTCCGGTGCAGCGGCACGCAGCTTCCAGCACAAACGAGGGGGAGGAAGGCGCCGCCGCCGAGCTCGAGGGCGAGAGTGCGCGGCAACCTCCGCCGCGCACTCGCTGCACCGGAGCGTTGCCAGCCGCCCGCGGAAGTGTCGCCCGCCGCCATGAGCGAGCCTACGGGCGAATAGCATGACGAGAGTCGCGGACCTGCCTCTGCGGCGGCGGCGGCCTCTCGTCGGGTGAACCGTACAGCGCCGCGCCGCTGGCCGCAGCCTCGTCGGACGTGGCGCCAAAGTGGAGTGTGGCGCCTACATGACAACATGTCAGGGCCGTGTCATGGACATGTCTACGAGATGGCGCCAAAGTGGAGGGTGGCGCCGGGGAGCTCAGCGGCGAGGGCGGCCTGCACACAAGGCATGCGGCAGCCGCCGCCCGAGAGCAGCACCTCGCGCACGCACCGCGCGCCCTCGAGAGCTGACGCCTCGCCGGGCGAGCAAGCGTCGGCGGCGCGCAGCGCCGCGCGGGCGACGGAGCGCACCGCCGCACAGAGGGGGCGGGCGAGGTCCTCGAGGCTCGCCCGCGAGACGGTGACAAAGTGGTCCGCCCCCTCCGCCTCGACGGCGATCTGCGCCTGCGGGACACCCCTCAAGAGTACGCCCTCGCGTGGACATGTCACGGACGCGCCCGTGGTCTCCCTCTCCTCCGGCGGCACGTCTGCGCCTGAGTCCCGCCAGAGAGGCTCCGCTTGCACGCCTCTGCCGCCGCGCCCAGCCGCGCCTTCGCGCGCGCGTTGCCGGACAGGTCGACGCGCGAGCGGCGGCGGATGTCCTTGAGCGCCAGCGCCACCAGCGCGGCGTCCACCTGCGCAGCGCCGCGCGTCTCGTCCGACGCCGTCGAGGCAATGCTGAGCCGGGCGACTGCGCGCCGCAGCCGCGTGCTTCGCGGCCCCGCCGCAGCCTCCCCGCCGCAGTCAGCCCCCCCCTCGCCGCCCCCCTCCCCCTCCGCCTCCCCCTCCGCCTGCCCCTCGGGCTCCTCTCCAAGGTCCACCACCGAAGCAGACACGCAGCAGCCGCCCACGTCCACCACCAGCAGCCTGCGAGGTGCGGCGCCTCCGCCGCCCGCCGCATCGGCGCCCGCCCCGTCGCCGCCGGCCGCCGCCGCCTCGATCTCGGCCACGCGCAGCAGGGCGACAGCGAGCGGCGAGGGCAGCGCCAGCTTGACCCGCATGCCGCCGCCCCGCGCCGCCTCGAGCAGCGCGTCGGCGCGCGAGGGAGCGAGGTGCGCCGGCGTGGCGAGGACAACCTCGCGCACCGGCGCGCCGCAAAACGAGTCCGCCGCGCCGCGCAGCCCACCCACAACCAATGAGAGCAGCCGCACCGCCGTGTGCGTCTTGCCACCCGGCACCGCCACCGAGACTGCGCCGTCCTTCTCGGCGGCAGACGTGAGGAAGCCCCAGCGAGAGCGCGCGGCCTGCACGACCGGGTCGTCGAAGTCGCGGCCGAGCATCAGCAGCAAGTCGCTCATCGTCAGCTTTGGGTTGCGTGCTGCCTGTGCGGCCGCCGCCTCCCCGAGCAGCGTTTCGCCGTCGGCGAAGGCCACGGTCGTCGGCGTCGAGCGCGAGCCCTGCTCGTTGGCGATGAGCTGCACCGTGCCGTGCCGCATCACCGCCATCGTGCAGCACGTGTTGCCCACATCCAGCCCCAGCACGCCTGCCGCGCTCATGTCGGGCTCATGTCGGCTCATGTCGGCTCATGTCGGGCTCACGTGGTCTTCACAACCGTGTGGTCTTCACAGAAACGCACAGTGGTCTTCACGTAAACGCACAACCCCGGGCCCGAAATCGATGGTCTTCACAGCACAAAAATACTTCCGCGGCACAAAAATACTTTTCTCGGCACGACGCGCGCACTGGCACTAGCACAGGTATACCATAAAAAGTAATACACGCAGGCACGCGACGTCCCCCGAACGAAACGGACTCCGGGTCTCCGGCGGGCGGGCCCCCCGGCCGCCTTTGCACGTATATGCTGCCGCTACACGCGTGGGCCGTCGGGCTGGCCAACGGCGTGGGGCTACGCCCGCCCATGGGCTACTCCTCATGGAATGACTGCGCGAGCGAGGTGACCGAGGCGCGAATCAGGCGTGTGGCTCGGGCCCTCGTCAACACAGGTCTCGCCGCCAAAGGATACACGCACGTCAACGTTGACGAGGGCTGGCTCAAGAGCCGAGGCACGACGACGCTCGCAATGGAGGAGGACACGGCCAAGTTCCCGTCCGGCATGCGCGCTCTCGGCGAGTGGGTGCACGCACAGGAGGTGCCCGGGGCAGGCCGCACGCTCAGGTACGGCCTCTACACCTCCCGCGGCACCTGCCAGTGCTCGACCAAGCAGTACCAGGGGCCGGGGAGCAGCGGTCACATCGAGCGCGATGCCGCATGGATGGTGGCGGCGGGCGCCGATCTTGTCAAGGTGGACTCGTGCTGCGGCTCGCAGCAGCGCGAGGCGGCTATGGGCGACTATGCGGCATTCCGGGACGCCCTCAACGCCACCGGACGTCCCGTCTTCCTCGCCGTCTGCGGCTGGAACGCCTGGTATGCACGGCGCGGCCACACCCTCGGCCACTCCTGGCGCATCGCCCTCGATGGCACCAACTGGGGCGCGCTTTCGCATTGCGCCAACGTCAATGCTCGCCTCTCGAAGCACGCGAGCCCGGGCGGCTGGAACGACCCGGACCTGCTGCAGGGCACCGGAAAGGGAAGCAACGACCTCCCTTCAAATCCGCACGGCTGCTTTGACCCGAGCCGCATTCCGCAGAGCAGAGACTGGTACCTGAGCGAGCGGCAGGTCCGTGCGCAGATGACGCTGTGGGCAGTCATGTCGGCGCCGCTCATCATCTCGGCGGATCCCAGCCAGGTGGAGCCGTCGGTGCTAGCGACATGGGGCAACGAGGAGGTGATTTCGGTGAATCAGGAACTGCGCGACGGCGGCCCCTATCAGGGCCATCGCCTGGCCGGCCTCGACCTGCACTACGACGCGGCGCTCAAGGCCGGCAGCGGGACGAACGTGTGGGGTAAACCTCTCCCGGCAGGCGCGCTGGCGCTCGCATTCATCAACAACGGGCCCAATGCGACGGACGTCGTGTGCGATCGGAGCTGCTACGGCCCGCTTGCAGGAGGCTCCGCCCGGGCCTATGCGCTGCGAAACCTCTGGGCGCGCGCAGATCTCGGCGCCTTCTCGCCGCCGCAGACGCTCGTCGCCAAGGCTGTTGCCGCGCACGGCGGGGCCGCCATGCTGCGGCTCACGCCCCTCGCCGCCGGGCAGGCGTCGTCGCGGCACCAGCAACTCCGTGGCGGGGCGTTCGAGTGGCGGCCGTGCCGCGAGGCGAGCCCGACGGGCGACTGGGGCGGCCAGTGCGGCGGCGCAAAGGCGGTGCGCGGCGGCAGCGGGAAGAGGAGGCCGAAGCTAAGGCGGATTGCAGAGGGGCAAGCATGAATGCAGGCTGCGAACAAAGAGCGATGCCATGTCGGGCCGCTCCGTCTTCCGCTCGAGTGCTCTGTTGGGCCCGGGGCGAGAACGAGCTTAATTGGCATACAGTCGATAGAGAGATAGATGGAAAGTCGACTTCACGAGGTCTGTAGTGGAATTTGCGAAAATTATTTTGTTGTCTGTGTTAGCGCCAGTGACCCCCACTCCCTTTTCTCCCAGTAAGCTAAAAGCCTAAAAGTACGTACGTACATATTCGTGCCGTCACATTGGTGGGTATCGGCTATATCGCTCGGGGCGCGGGACCGCGGGACGAAGTTCTTCGACGCGCTCCGGATCATCCGCCTCATCCGCCTCGAGAAGAGATCGCGTAGAGGATACCCGTAGAGGTCGCGGATCCTCATCTCTTCCCTCCCCGATTCGCTGTCCGCATTTGCATGCAGTGCGCGGCAAGAGTGGCTTGAGGGGCTGCTCTCCCCCGCGGCTCACAATCTCTCGCAAGCTACTCGACATGGGGAACCGCATGTGCGGGTTGGGGCACGAGGGCAATGAGGATAGCATGCGCCAGCCAGGCGCCGCCTCATCCTCAAAGCACTGATGCGTCATGAGACGTCGCCGCACCGTCACGGCACGGCCCACCAAGAAGGTGGCGCCATGAATCTCTTCGCCGCCGGAAGTTTCGCCGCCGGGAAGTGCACTATATGACCAGACCACCCTCATGCCCGCCTCACACATCGCCTCCGCCTCCGCCCTTGTCGATGCCGGTCGCGCCCCCTCTAGTCGTCCCTGTCGGACATTGCAGCTGATTGCGGACGTGCGGGGGCTGTCACGGCCGTCTGACCAGAGACGGCACACTGCCGAAACACGCGAGCCTCCCAAAGGAAGCTGCCATCAGGCGGGTTGTCGAGCATGTGCATGTACAGCAGGACGATTCGGTCCCGGTCGTGCCACCAGTAGCTGTGCGGCCACGCCAGAGGCGCGAGCTCCGCAGCTGTCGGCCTCCGAGGTCTCGCCCCCTGAGCCCTGGTGTCGAGGTGTCGAGGCCCGGTGTCGAGGGTGTCGAGCTGCTGTCGAGGGATAGAGGTGTCGAGGCCTGTCGAGGCCTGTCGAGGCCTGTCGAGGCCTGTCGAGGCTGGGACCAAGCTTGTCCGTGTCGAGGGGTGTCGAGGGGTGTCGAGGGTGTCGAGGGTGTCGAGGGTGTCGAGGGTGTCGAGCAGGTGTCGAGTGTTGTCAAGGGGTTTTGCGTCTAAGGTGTCGAGGTGTCCAAGGTGGCAGGATGCAGTTGCAGCCCATCAACAAAACTTGGGCAGCAGTTGCAAAGCTGTTTCATCCCTTAGTTGCAGCCTCAGTTGCACCCTGTTGATGTAGCACAACCTGAGCACAACCAGTATACTCTCTGTGGACATTTGAGGACATCAAGTGCCGGGAGTCATTGCCACTGTGCACAAAGGTGCTGTGCAGGCGCAGCACCGCAGCAGCGTCGCCGCTGCAGCAGCGTCGCCCCTGCAGCGTCACCGGCGCACATAGCGCAACTGACCACAGCGCTCATGGCACAAGGCTGGTGCCATGAGTCAGTGGACATTGCCACTGCACAAGGTGCTGTCCAGCAGCTAAGGGCTGCCAGTACCCCATCGCAGCAGCGTCGCCGCCGCTGCAGCACATCCAGGGCCGGGGAGCTAAGAAGCGCACCCAGCGGGCCGGATGATCGGGATCGGGTTACGGGCTAGAGAGCCCTAGCCCCGGGGGTGCGCGTTCGCAGGGCCGTAACACGGGTCTCCGAGGGTTAGTCCGCGCTCCAGGTTTCCCCTAGCAGCGGAGCGCCCCCTCCACTCGGAGCTAAAGAATACTCTCCGAGGGTTGGACCCGCGTACCAGGTTTCCCCTTAACTGCAGAACGCCCCCTCTACTCGGAGCTAGTGATACGAGAATACGTACTGGCTACTGCCCCCACGCAGTACCTGTACTACTCGACGATAATACAAGAATACGCAGCTGCGAGGTACCTATAAAGAAACAGCGAGGTAAAGTTCGGCGGCTATGATAAACCGAAAGTTGTCGTAAAACGCGGGCGAAAGCAAAGCAGAGGGCGGGCGCTTTTTGCCGCGGCGATGCCCGCAGCCTGTCGAGCAGCTTCCGCGGCGCCCATGCGCCGCGGGGTTGACCGACAGCCGCGCCTCTCGCGCCTCCCGTGCCACGCGCGGCGACGCGCACCCTGCGCGCCAGTCGGCGCATTGGCAGTACTGCACCAGCCAGCACGGCGTGGAGCAATGCATCCAGGGCATTGTGCTGGGCGCCAACCAGCATGCCTCAGGACAGAGCAAGGGAGCATGCTGCGCACCCTGGCGCAGCGCCAGCTCGCCTCCAAACAGGCACTCTCACCACTGCACAGCCGCCCACGAGCGCCCGCAGCTGCACTGCTCAACACTGAAGCTCAGGAGCCTCCCCTTGTTGTCGCAGCTTTGTGCAGTGCAGCGTGCGAGCAGCGCAGCGCCAGGCCGACCCCTGGCACGCCCGGGCGGCTGTGGGACGGAGGCCCGCCGAGCGAGTGCGAGCCGCATCGGCGGCCATGTCTCCTGCCGCCGCGAGCGAACGGCGCAAAGAGGCAGCGTCGCGCATGCTTTTCCGTAATATATTCCATCCGAAGGCTCTCCTTGTTTTAACGGTGTGTGCTCAGATTGGACTGCCAGCCGTCCGGCTGCGTCTCGGAGTTCGGAACTCGCCCCCAGTTCGCGAAAGGGTTTATGTTTGCACATACATGCAAAAAAAAGTGAGAAGAGGAATGGGGGAGGGGGAAAGGGTCCGGTTTAAGGAAAGTGACTGACTTCTGATGTTTGCACATGTGAATAATGACTGACTTCTGTCGACCGCTGTCGCTCCCTTCTCGACTGTCTGTGCTTGTGCGTCTTGGGCCCGGTTGCTCTTCGGTGATTGCCTACTGTCCTTCACGCAGATGAGAGCGCCGTTCGACGCCGTGAATGCATCGGATTGAGCGCGCTCGTGGGGACGCGCTCGAGGGGCCTCTCACCTTAATGGCGGACGCGAATATCACGCCGACGGGCGGCGCATCAGGGACCCCTCGCTGGCGAGCGGTTGGCGCGGGAGGTCACGGAACGACGGGTCGAGCCCCTCCGCCAGTCGACGTGGCGGTCGAGACGGTGAGCGCGGACGACGTCCTAGCGGGCGTGGCTGAGCAACGCGCCCCCAAGACGACGATACCGACGATCTATGAGCATGCCCCCTACGAGCAGCCTTCCGACGGGAGCGAGATGTTTGGGTCGAACCTGAACCACGACTGCATTACTTGCATCTTCGACCTGCTACCCCTCGATGACCTTGCTGCCCTGGCTAGAACGGATCGCAGCAGCAACGCTTTCCTGAGCTTTCACATGCGTTGGCACCGCGAAGACTGGTCCGCATTCGTCATTCAACATGAGTGGCGATACATGCTCGAGCGACGAGAGTACGCAAGGGAGGATGCGGCGGCCAAGGCGGCGGCGGAGCCGGCGCGGCTTGAGGCGCGATGGACTGAGGAAGAGGTGGCTTTGTGGGTGAGTTGGGGGGGGGTGGAGGAGGACTTGATCTAGGCTGGAGATCGGGTCGCCATGAGATACATCCACGAATCCACCCATAATCCATAGTCATAGTGGCTCGTGCACAGCGCGCCCACACCAACCTCTCAAAATATGCGGCTAGACCGTGTGTCCGCGCGACCCCGGCGAGGGCGTGTCCCTTGTGACTGAGTTGTGTCGAGATGGCTGTGTCACGTGATGACATGTGTCGTGTTCAAATGTCCACGACCACGCATTTCGTTACATGTACAACATGTGCATGCACATATGACATGTGCATGCACATGTGCTGTGTACCTTGTACCTAGGTCTCTTAGCCCACAACGTAACACACATGCCTTTTCACACATGGTCATGGACATGCTCACATGCTCAACAGCTCAAGCCACACGCGTACTCGGGAACAGAGTAGCCCCCCCCCCCCCCCCCAGCCCCGAAAGCAGATGAGAGACAAGAGTGCACCACGAGTGACGATGCGCGAGTCAGTCCGCAACACATCCGTCTGACGCCTTAGGGGGCCGCGCTGCCGCGCTCCCCCATCCGCGTGCACCGCGGCACGCGGGCACGCGGCGCATATTGTGTCGGATTCGGGTTCCTGCCGTGCGCCGCTGCGTCCAGCACTACGCGCCTGCCGCATCCGTCGCAGACGTGATCCTCTTCGGCGTGATCCTCTCCGTCGCCTCTTCGATGGCGGTGGCGATGTCCGGGTAGGCGGCGCCGCCGTGCTTGCTGTTGTCGAGGCCGGCGTCCTCGACTTCTTTCGAGATGCGGAGCAAGCCTCCCGCCATGAGGCCCGAGAAGAGGATCGCACTCAGCGCGCCGACCCAGAGGGTGATGAAGACCGTGCCTGCGGGGCAGGGGCGAGCGTCGGAAGGGAAAGAGAAGAGGGCGCACTTTGACGCGGGAGCGGACCGACGATCTGCGTGGCGAGCAAGAGGCCATCGCCGCCGTAAAAGACGCCGCACGCCGTGCCAGACTCCGTGTAGGAGTAGTCGCACGTGCAAAAGAAGCCGACGGCGAGGCAGCCCCACAGACCGCACGCGCCGTGGACAGCGAAGGCGTCGAGCGGGTCGTCGATCTTGAGCCTGCGCATCAAGCACGAGGCGCCGTGGTAGAAGAATGCTCCGATGAAGCCGATGACGACCGACGCCCAGATCTCGACGGTCGTGCAGCCGGCGGTGATCGAGACGAGCCCTCCCAGCAGCGAGTTGCAGGTGTGGCCGAGGTCCCACACGCCGGGCGACCCTCCGCAGGAGCCGGGCGCGAAGCGCTTGAGGAGGATCCCCGTGGTGGCGGCCTAGGGTTAGGGTTAGGGTTAGGGTTAGGGTTAGGGTTAGGGTCAGGGTTAGGAGGATCCCCGTGGTGGCGGCCTAGGGTTAGGGTTAGGGTTAGGGTTAGGGTTAGGGTTAGGGTTAGGAGGATCCCCGTGGTGGCGGCCTATTAGGGTTAGGGTTAGGGTTAGGGTTAGGGTTAGGGTTAGGGTTAGGGTTAGGGTTAGGGTTAGGGTTAGGGTTAGGGTTAGGGTTAGGGTTAGGGTTAGGGTCAGGGTATGGGTTAGGGTTAGGGTTAGGAGGATCCCCGTGGTGGCGGCCGTGGCGGCGGAGAGCGTCGTCGTGACGGCGGCGCGGGCCGCGTCGCGCGCGTAGTTGTGGAGCGCGAGGGTTGAGCCCGGGTTGAAGCCGTACCAGCCGAACCAGAGCAAAAAGGTGCCCAGCACTTGCAGGGACGCCGACTGGCCGGCGAAGGCGTCTGCGGGGGCGACGCGTGCGCGTGAGGGAGGAGGCGGGGCAGCCGCACCGAAGCAGGCGGGTGCGCACGTTCGGGCAGCTCTCCGAATCGGCCCTTGCGAGGTCGGATGATGAAGGCACCGGTGAAGGCGCAGATGCCTCCCGTCATGTGCACGACGCCGGAGCCCGCAAAGTCGACCATGCCTGCGGACGGGGCGGGGCGGGGCGGGTGAGGGGAGGGGGCGGTGGCATTGTCTGCTGGAGGGGGGGGGGAGAGGGGCACCAGTGAGCATCGCGTCCTTGTTAAAGGCGGAGAGGAAGCCGTGTTCGTCCCACACCCTGCGGCCAGAGAAAAAGGGGTGACCGCTGTTCAGACGTCTGCCACCCCTCCCGGGGTCTGCTCCCCCTCCCCGGGGCTAGCCCCTGGGCTGGGAGCGTAGTACGCCCGTCGCTGCAGATGCGGAGCGAGGCGAAGGCTGGCAATGGACGCTCCCCGGGGCAGCTGCGCGCGCCAGTGCACCACCGTCGGGTATACGAAGCCGACGATGGCGAAGACGTACGCGCAGTAGCCAACCAGCGTGCACCGCTCCGCCACAGCGCCGGACGTGATGGTCGCTGCCGCCGCCGCAAAACAGTACTGGAAGAAGAAGAAGACGGCGTCGTGCCCGTAGTCCTTTTTGCCGGTCGTGTCGTCGGCTCCGGAGAGGGCAAAGTTGTGGCCGCTGCCGCCGATGAAGGCGTTCCCGTCCTCGCTCTTGTCATAGGCAAAGCCGAACCCAATGAGGTACCTAACAGCAGCGGGCTGGGCTGAGCGCGCCCGCGAAGGCCCCGCTGACACCGCTCCGGCCCTCGGACACCAGACCAGCCCGCCGAAGCACGCGTCCATGACGGACTTGAGAAGGATGTTCTTGACGCTGCGCATGCGTACCGATCCCGCCGAGAGCAGCGCGAAGCCCGCCTGCATGAGAAAAACTAGAGCCGCGCAAAAGAGCAGATAGAAGGTGTTCGTCTCGCTCTGCGACCGGGTGCACGAGGCGTGAGTGGGCGCAAAGGGCGGCGCGGCGCGCCAGCTGTCGCCGCCGGGCGGACCTCGTCAGCTTCGAAGCGGACCTCGTCAGCTTCGAGCTGTCCGCGCAGCGCCGTGGCGCAGGCCGTCAGCGAAGACACGTTGGCCGTGACCTCTGGACCGAAGTTGCAGGCCGAGAGAGGAGTCATCTGCAAACAAGGCGGCCAGTGGATGGCGAAGGTCAAAAGGGACTCGGCGGCAAGTCTCTCGGGTGACGGATCACATTTCAAACTCCGAGCTCCGACATTGTGGTGGCTGGTGGGTGGTTCCGCCTCGAGTCCACCGACCGCATGCGCACGAACGAGCACTTGGAGGACGAACGAACCCGGGCGGGCGCACGAACCATTCCTCTAGCAAGCATCAGAGGCTCATTTCAATCCGAAGTACTGACTGACATTCCTCTGACATTCCTCGCATCCGGCACGTACTCGAGTACGCAGAGGCCGCGTCTTCCGCTACCCATACTGACCTCATAGAGCTCCCGAACCTCCAATTAATTGTCGCAGACTAAAGGACGGGCGCCCGATCCGTCGGCAAGCCCCGCGTCGCGTCGCCAATACCACCATGGAGACGGAGGACCCAGAGGAAGGCGCCCTCTCAGGAGAGCAGAAGGTGGAGGACACCATCATCGATGAGCCCCTGCCGACTGGCGGCCGCAACCCGCCGCCCTCACACAAGGCGGCGGGCTGCAGCATCATGCTCACGCTAATGAACGTGTGCCTGCTGCTCACACTCTCGGGCGGGGTGGGCCTCGGACTTTTGATCTGGCGACGGAAGCACGTCTCGGCCGAGCCAAAGTTTGGCGCCTCGGCCGACGGCACGACGGTAACCCTCAACGGCGTCACCTTCCAAAACGTCATCTCATATGGCGACTCGCAGCTCCTCTTTGCAGGCGGCGGGGACCGTTACAAGTACGGGCTGGTCAAGGTGTACACCATCGCTGCATACCTCTCACAGAGCATGTTTGGCGCTCCAGACTGCCCCGCCGCGTCGCCCGACACCGACGCGATCATTGCGTCGTCCGACGACAAGGCGTTTGAGATCTACATGCAGTTTGGAATCTCCATGGACCTCATGACCGAGGCGATTGTCGAGGCGCTGGAGCCGCGACTTCCGGCGGACTCGGTCCATCAAACCATCAAGGCCCTAGAGGATGGGATGCTCGCATTCAACATTAACAAACTCTCTTCCGGCAAAAAGATCTACCTGCGGTGCAGCGCAGACATCCTGATCATCACGCTCGACGGGCCGGACACGCCCGCCCAGGAGGTGAGCAGCCCGGGCCTCTGCTCGGGACTCTGGGAGATGTACATCGGTGCCGACCCCCTAGATAACGGAGCCATCAAATCCGGGTTCGAAGCGGGCTACAAGGCGCACCTGGCCTCACTCTGCGGCGAGGAGGACGCCTTCTCCTCCGCGTCTGCGCCCGAGAAGCCCGGCTTCTCAGGCATGATGCTAAAGATGGCGGACACGCTGGACGAGTCGGCGCAGACGGTCTTTGATTTTATGCCCCACCTTCCCATCACCATGGACTCCATGGGCATGACTAAGATGCTGCCTGATTGGATGCAATGAGGAGCGGGAGGGTCCCTCCGCGATAGGAGCGCTCACTCAACGTCTCGCGGCCCACAGGGGCGATGTAACTTAGCTAGCGTGCCTCTGTCCTCTGCACAAATTTTGATGCGATCCGGGGGGGGGGGTTATTTCCTATGGCTATAGGGGACGCGGCTGGGAGTAGGTGACCCAGAGCCCCGGGGCAGAGAAATTGGCGACTGGGGCCCGGGGTTTGCCACCCTAACCCGGGAAGTTTTGGGGGTGTTTCAGGGGGGGGGAGCCGGTCTTTAGATTTTTTTTTTCCCCTTGGGAAAAGGAAAACAGGGTATTTTTAAACCTCAGAATCGGGGGGGGCCGGGTCGCTTTTAAGGGGGGGGCCTTTGAACCCGGGCAAACGGGTTACGTGTTTGTGGGGGTCCCCAAAAAGGGGAGGTCCCAGGGTTTTTGGGAAAACAGGGGGGCTTTTTCTGGGGTTTTTGCCCTTAAGGCCCCCCCCCCCCCCCCCCCCCCTCCTCTTGAAGGCTGTGGCGGACCTTCGCAGCACCTCCATGTAGCCAGCCCGTCGCTCCGCCTCCGCCGCGCCCTTTCTGCCGCCGCGACGCCGCGTCAAAACTATCCGCGCCCGCTGCCGCTGCAGCCCTCGGCGGCCAACCGCCGCCGCCCCACCGCCGCGCCTCCAGCGCCGCTTAGTCCCCCCCCCGGACCCCCGCGGGTGAGGGAGCAGGCCTGGGCCTCAGGCCTTCATAAACTCCCACACGAGTACGTTCCTGCGGCGCGAGAGAGAGAGACGTGGCCGAGAGGAGGGGGGGGGGGGCAGGAGGGGAGGGCGGCGGGGCCGGGGGGGCTGCGCGCTTGTCCATGGCGCCCGAGAAGAAGGAGTGGCCCGGCCCCTTTGCGAGACAGCGCACGACGTCCGAGTGGCCGATCCGCGTGGCGAGGATGCCGCGCTTGTCGAAGGTGGGCATGCGCCACATCTTGATGGCCTGGCGGGGAGGGTGTGGGGCGGGGGGCGAGATGGGGGCGAGGGGGCGGGGGGGGTGGGACGGGGGGGGGGGCGAGGCGGGGGTGGCATGGCAGGGGTGCCGCCTGGTCATCGCACGCCGTGAGCAGCACCTGGTCGCCCTCCTCGCCGCCCGCCGTCGGCTCGGACACGACCGCCATCGCCGTCACGCCGGAGGGATGCCCGTGCTGGTTGGTGACGGTGTGGTCGTGCAGCAGCTCGCCGGTCGGCGACCACACCTTGACGTGCCCGTCGAGGGCCGCAGTGAACAGGTGCGACTCCTCGACCCACATCGCCATCAGCAGGTTGGTGTGCTCCGTCGCAATCTGCAGCGTGAGCGAGCCGGAGGCGAGGTCCCACAGGCAGACCGCCCCGTTGCGGTCGGCGGAGAGCAGGATGTTGGCCGCCGTCTTCATCACCTGGATCGGCGCCTGGTGGCCCTTGAGCTCCACCACCGGCGCGAAGCCCGCCGGCGACTCTGCAAACTGCCACGTCTTGACGCCCATGTCGTCGCCGGCGGAGAAGAGGTAGGCCCCTCCCTGCGCGAGGCACCAGATGGAGCCCTGGTGCCCCTCGAGGGTCTGCTCGAAGCCGTTGCCCATGTGCCACACGCGCACCACCCCTTGCCTCCCCCCGACCGCCTGCGTGCCCGCAAAGAGCCACTCGTCAAACACGAGGATCGCCTCGACCGGCGCTCCGGCCTCGACCGTGTGGACGCACTCGAAGCTCTGCTCCCACGACCAGAGCTTGACCATGCCGTCCGAAGACCCCGTGAACAGCTGCTTCCGCCCCTCCGCGACGTCCATGCACGAGACGGTATTCGTGTGGCCGGTCAGCTTGGCCTGCTGCGTCGGCAGCGTGCTCGCGCCGCCGCCGCCGCCGCGCCCGCCCCTGCCGCCACGCGAGCTGCCGCGCCCGCCGCCCCATGAGTTGTCGTATCGACCACCCTTGCTGCCGCCCCTGCTGCTCCTCCCACCGCGACTGCTGCCGCCGCGACTGCTGCCGCCGCCGCTGCCAAATCCCCGCCCGCCGCCGCCGCCGCCGCCGAATCCGCCCCTGCCGCCGCCGTTGTATCCGCCGCCCTTTGAGGAGCCGCTCCTGCCGCCACTCGATCCGGGGAACGCTGGCATGACCGCTCCTAGGTACCGTTCAGCTCAACAACGCGGAGAGGAGCGCTTCTGCCCTGCCAGGCGCAACGCAATAAAGAGAATTTTACCGGCACCCGACCGACTGCACGCATAGTATGTGGGAGACTCGTGCCGCCGCCCCTGCCACCCCTGTGTCAGTGTGCCTGTGGTAGGAGAGACTGCCAGCGACAAGCTGGAGGCAGGTCGCTAGACTGAGATGAGACCGCCAGTGGACGTGGGAGTCCACCGCGCACCGCGCTGCGAACCTGTCGTGTCCCTTGTCAGGAGCAGGAGAGCCCCACCTGTCCCCCTGATCGTCCTTCCAAAATCCTGCTCGTGCAGGTGGGGACCCTGTCCTCGTCCCATCCCTCGTTTGGCGTGTCTGTTTTGTTTCTTTCTTTCTTTTTCCATAGGAAGAGGCGGACGCCCAAGGGTGGGCGACGGCTAGCGCACCACACCCCTCTCCTTAAAATCCCTGTGTGGTGGCGGCGTGCCGTCATCATCATCCCTCCCTTGAGCTCTGCGTTTTCTTTCTTTCTTTCTTTTGCACGGGACTGGCGCGCACTGGCACGTGCAAAAAAGAGAATGTTCTTCAGAAAAGAGAAATCAGAAAAAACTTCTACGTACCGACTGCACTCCAAGTGCTAGTCGCAAGTGCCGTGCGCACAACACTAGCCTAGTGCTAGCCCTAGAGGAAGACTAGCGACTAGGCACGGGACTGGCGCGTATGTAATTGTTCAATTGTTCGTACACACTCGAGTACACACAGGGAAAACCTCGAAGCCCAACCTCGAAGCCCTGGGTGCTGGGAGCCCTCCCCTTACTCTGTTGGCTGGTGAGCGCCCCTATTGATACACCGTCGGTCTACAGACTACACCTGAATGCCTCACTCCCCGGGCTTCTTCAGCAGCGCATGCGCCGGCATCGGGTACCCCACCTCGCCCAGCGTCACGTCGAACGCCCGCATCATCTCCTTCGTCCCCACGCTCGTGAAGCGCACCTCGCCGCGCCGCGCCTCGTTCTCGCCGCCGGGGAGTGTGCCCCAAACCCCGTCAAAGACCTCGCGCAGGGTGGCTGCGTCGACGCGCCCGCGCCGCGCACCCGGCACGTCCTCGCGAGTGAAAGTGTCGACGAGCTCGAACCGGCCGGGATAACTTGCCGCCAGGCGGGCGGCCCACTCGCGCCAAAAGGTGTCGCCGCTCGACTTTGAGCACCACAGCAGGCGCACGCTCTCGGCTTCAGCCTCGGACAGCTCGATCGCCGCGAGCGGAAGCGCCTCGGTGATACCGACTCCAAAGGCGACCAGTCCGACGAAGGCACCGGGGTGGCGCGCCTTCTTACCCATCGGAAAGACGTCGATGGACTGGCCGACGGCGATGCTGTCGAGGTAGCCAGAGGCGCGGCCGCCCGGGTAGACCTTAAACGTGATGTCAAACTCGCCCTCTCTCGCCGCAGACATGGAGTATGACTTTGGCTTGTAGTTGGGAACGCACACCTTGACCACGTCGCCGGTCCCAATGTTCACGCCCATGCCGAGTCGGCTGAGAGCGTCCGGGTTGCGGAACGTGAGAGTGTAGACCGGAAACCGTTCCGGCGGTGCCGGCTCGACGAGGCACTCCCTGCGCAGCAGCGTGGCCGAGTGGCCGCCAAAGAGACCCGGACCCTGCACCCTGCCGCCGCCGCCATTGCCGCCGCCCTTGCCGCCGACCTTGCCGCCGCCACCCTCGCCTTTGCCGCCACCCTTGCCGCCACCTTTGACTCCGCTGTAGCCGTCAATCATGGGTACACGACTCAGCTTGCTCGACGCTGAGTGCTCGACGCTATATGAGCCGAACAAGGCGCGCGGCTCTCGATTCGCCGATCCTAACAGGGGGTTCGGGCTATTTAAATCTGCGGGTACCTGGGTGGCGGGGATAGACAGAAAGAAAAAAAGGCGCCGCGTCGCCCAAAGTGCGTCTGGGTGTCGACGCCTCCCCACGACGAGAACTCCGACGACGAAAACGGGCGTTGTCTCTTGGGAGTAGCCACACCTGCACGGCATGGGCCGCGAGGCGGCACGCCAGCGCGAGCGACGGGCCGTGTACCATGCGATCCGTTCGGGCAGCCTGCACCGGCGCGCGCCCACGCTGGACGAAGTTGCGGCGCTCTTCCGCGCCATCGACCACAGGGACGTGAAGGCGTACGGCGTCTGCACGCTGGCCGCGCTCGACCTCGACACCTTGCATCCAATGCCGCCGTGGCTGCGCCAGTACATGCCCGGCGCCGAGCGACGTGTCACACTGCTCGGCTATGCCGCCCTCCGCCGGCGGCACGGCGCGGTCAAGCACCTGCTCGTCGCCGGCGCAGCTCCCACCGTGTCCGAGCGCTGCCCGGGCGGGGCCATCGAGTCGGAGGCGGAGGACGCGCGGCTGCGCGAGGCGCTCTCGCGGCGGTACGGCGCCGGGATCGCGAGTGCCGCGGCGGTGTACGCAGTCGAGCTCGTCGCGCGGCTGCGCTCCTTTGCCGCGCGCGATGCGGCGCGTGGCGCGTCGCTGCCTCCCTGCTCCGTGTGCGGAGAGAGTGGGTCGACCGCATGTTTCGACGCGTGCGGCTGCCCGTGCTGCGAGGCCTGCGTTTGGGGGGCGCTGCTGCGGCCTGGCAACGGCGGCGGTGAGATGCGATGCCCGCGCTGCGGCTCGGTCCCGCCGCTGCGCGGCGGTGGCGAGGGTGCGGCGGCAGCAGCGGAGGTGGTTGCTGTCGCTGCTGCTGACGGTGCTGCTGCTGACGGTGCCGGTGCATTCGATGGCGGTGGTGGTGGTGCTGCTGCTGCTGCTTGGACGTGCGAGTGCTGCGCGTGCGACACAAACGGCGCCCACCGGCAGTGCTGTCGCATTTGCGCGGCGAGGCGCGCGCCGCCGAGCCGCCCGCCGCCGCCGAGCTTCTGCGGAGACCTCGAGACCTCGCGACCTCGAGCGAGCCTGCAGCCGCCGAGCGTTGGCGACGACCTCGCACCCAGCCAAGCTTGCAGGGCCAGGGCCAGCGAGGCTGCGGCGGAGTGTCTTCTCGCGAGACGCAATTGGCGACCGGAGACTTGCCGGGCGGAGGAGGAGGCGGTCTGTGAGTGTGAGGCGCGCGCCGCCAACGCGCTAGCTCCCGCCCGCGGAGGCGGAGGTGGAGGCGGCGGAGGAGGAGACGGAGGAGGGGGCGGCGCGCGCGCCGTCGTCGAGTTGGCGGTGGCGAGGCGCCGCTCCTTTGGTCGGCGGCTCTGTTTCCTCACGGGCTCAGCCATCCTCACGGGCTCGGCCAGCATGTCGGCGGCCGGAGCGAGCTCAAAGGGCGACACGCTTGTGGCTGGATTGGACCACCCACCGCTTCAGCTCCAGATCGTCCTCGACCGGCGGCAGCTCACGGGCGCGGGAGGCGGCGGCGGCGGCGGCGGCGGCGGCGGCGGCGGCGGCGGCGGCGGCGGCTGCGGCGGCTGCGGCGGCGGCGGCCCTCTCTGCCCCGCGCCCGACGGCAGCGAGGCTCTGCTTGCGATGGCGCACGCCGCGCCCGGCGACCGCGTGCGCGCGAGCGGCGCGCTGCGGGCGGTGCGGGGCACGCGCGACGGCGAGGACGGCGCGGCGCGCTGGGAGGTCGTCGCCGACAGCGTGCAGCTGCTGCGACCGGTCGTCCTGCCGGCCGAGGAAGGTCCCTCTGCCAGCGGGCGCCCACTCGCGATGCGGCGTAGGGCGGCGGGTGGCGGCTCGGCTGCGGGCGTGGGCGCCGCGGCTCCTTCGCGGTGAGATGTTGTGAGCCGAGAGCAGCGAGCGGAGTACTGTACTCCCCTCCATAGCCTAGAACAAGATCTTGGGGAGAGCCGTACGGGCGTGTCCCCCCGCCCTGCACGACCTTCGTGTGAGGAGTAATGGAAATCTCTGCGCAAGAACAGTAGATCGTGGGGGTAGAGTCAGTAGATTAAGACTGGAGATCCTAGCGGATCTCTCACACGGACACGCCCAAGTCTCGCCAGTAGATCCCTCCTGTCCGGTTCCCCATTCAAGACTAAAGAACGAAGATTGAGATTGTGGATTGCAGATCGCTGAGCAGCAACACGGGCCAAAATGTGGGAGATAGCGATAGGAGATAGAGAATGCAGATTGTAGATCCTAGCGCCCAGCCATCCGCCCCAGATGTGAGATCGAAGATTGAAAATGGAGGTCGTAGATTGCTGCCGGCGGCGACAGTGGCCAAGTAGAAGATTGGAGATCGGAGACGAGAGATGGTCAGTGTGAATGAATCCAAATTGCATCTCCTTGAAGGTTTGAGCCCCCCTCCTCCCCCGGGCCCCCGAATCGAGATTGGAGATTGGAGATTGGAGATGGAGATCGGAGATCTGACTGAATCCGGCCTAAGATGACGACGTTGGGAGATTGGAGATTGAAGATGGAGATCGGAGTTCTGACTGGATCCCGGCCTTAGATGACGACGCTGTGGATTAGAGAGTATTGGAGATGGGGAGATCGGAGCCCACCCACCCCCTTAGTGGTGTTGATAGATGTTTTATAGATTTTTGTTTTTTTCCTGTGGTCTGTGCGCGGACGGCCCGGGGAGCCTGCGGCGCCATTTTAATCTGCGCTCCTCTTCATGGCCTGCGGCGCCTGGCTTGAGCTTGGAGGTGTAAACGAGTCCGCCAGGGCGGTCTGCAAACACGGAGCGCGCTGCGCGCGCGGTCTACGGAGGGATGCGGGCAAGGCAGCGGGAGCGAGACAACAAGTATGCTAAGGTGCGAGACGGGAGCCATGCGACAAGTTGATTCTGGGTGGTGGTGATGGAGGTTGGGGGCTGGACAAACATGGAGGAAGAGGCTAGATGGAGGTCAGGTATCGTGGTCGAGTACGAGGGGTGGGGGGGGAGGGGGTTCAACCTGGTGACGGAGGACTGTGGGTCATCGCGGGAACGGGCCCGCCGGAGGCGCGCCCGGTAGATCCGGATGGCTTCACACCGGTGGGAGGCACCGAGGCGTCGCGGGGACGCTCTTCTGTTCAGTCGACGCTCGTCGTCCACTGAGAACTCAGTGGTTGTCACCACTTTGTATTCTTTAATATTAACCTTGCGAACTCGTCCCCCCCGGCAGGGCTATGCAACTGTGACCAGTGTGTGCTGTCTACGCCTGAACCAGGTGTCAAATCTGCCGATGCGTGATCTGTGTGTGGGCCGCTCTGTGAGGGGTCCAGGCATTGTCCGACGGGTAGGGGGTCTGTGCCCGGGCGGTGTCCGGTGCGGAGTCTCTCTCTGATCCCGCCTGTGGTGTTGGGTGCGAGGTCGTGGAAGCTTCGATCCCAAGGGGGGGAGCTGATCCCACTCGGTAACCAACTCTCAGGGGCAGTAGGTGGGCGGGCTTCAAGCGCGCTCATCTCGAACGACAAGGCGTCGCTACGCGCGGTCTTCCGCGGGGGGAGCTTCGTCGACGGGTGCGGGAGCGCAGCGCAGACAGTGCTGCGGCGATGCCTCCGGCTGTTTGCGGCGGGCGGCTTGCTGCTCGCGGTGATGGCGAAAAACTCGTCTCGTGGCACACCAAGGGCTTAGGCTCTGTCGAGACGTGAGGCGTATGCGCCCAGGAGGGGAGGGTGCATGCGTAACGACGCTGCTAGAGATGCCTTTCGGGGCCCAGAGATAAAACTTCTGATGCCATGCGTGACCTAGTAGTGTCCCCAGCTATGGGCGTGTCCACGTTGGAGCCAGGTGTGGTGTGGACGCGAGAATAGCTCCGCCGTTCATGGAGGCAACCGATGCGAGTCGACTGGTGTGTGTCGTCGTGGTTTCGTATCAAGAATTCTCTCTCTCTCTCTCTCTCGTCGGACACCGCTCTGAAACAAGTACAAGAAAGTGAAAGAACAACACGGACAACCCAAAGGAGGGATGGGAGGACGGCGACGCCTTTAACACAGGATTGAAAAAGAAAGAAAGAAAGAAAACGGACAAGCCAAGGGAGGGATGGAGAAAGAAAGAAAGAAAGAAAACAGACAACCCAAGCGGGGAAAAAAGAAAGAAAGAAAGAAAACACAAAACCCAAGGGAGGGATGGGAGAACGGCACGCCGCCACCACACAGGGATTTTAAGGAGAGGAGTGTGGTGCGCTAGCCGTCGCCAGCGGGGAGGGATGGAGGACGGCATAGACGGGCCTTTTTTTAGCGGCGCCGACGCCAAAGTGCCCGCACACAGATGATGGTCGGCTCCGTCGCCGTCAAAATCGCTCGCGTGCCTGCCGACACAAGCCTTCTCTTCCCAACCAACGCCCGCCGGCTCACGCGCTTCATGATGGAGGAGACGTACGGGGGTTGCCGGCCTCTCTCTGCGGCGTGGGCGCAGCGCGGTGTGCTGGACGCGACGGCAGACTCCGACTTCTACTCCCGGCTGGCCTACTACGAGTCGATGCGCACCGAGGGCCGTCCCCGTGGCAGCATCTTTCAAGCGCTCGCGGCGGACGGCTCCCTCTGTGGCTTTGCCGACGTCGGTGCTCACCTCTGGCTGCCGAACGATGGCGTGCACCGACTGCCTGATAGCGAGGATCTGCAGCGGCTCGCCTCCACCGGGATCGGCGCCGACGGCGCTCCAAAGACAGACGTGGTGTTGCGGCCATACGTCTCAAACCTGGTGGTGAGCTCCTCGCTGCGGCGGTGCGGGATCGGGCGCCGGCTGCTCGCGGCGTGTGAGGAGGAGGCGGCGCAGTGGGCGGCCGCCTGCGGCAGCGTCGGCGGCGGCGGCGGCGCGTGCGAGGAGGTCTGGCTCGAGGTTTCGGCCGCGAACTCAAACGCCCTGAGCTTCTACTCCTCGTGCGGCTTCCGCCAGGCGGGAAGCACTCGCGGCAGCGAGGTGCAGCGCGGCGAGGGAGGCTTCAGCATGGTGGACGTGGAGCGGCGGGTCCTGTGCAAGCCGCTCGCGAGGCTGCGCGGGGGACATGTGCATGTGCATGGAAAGGTACATGTGCGGGCTGCCCACGCGCGGGCAGCCGCCCCGGCGATGTGCGCGCCGCCTGCGCGGGTCCACCAGGCGTACACGGCAGAAGAAGACGCGTGGCTGTGGGAGCGGCGGCACGAGCCTGCGGCGGAGGTTGCGGCCGCGCTCGGCCGCGGCGAGAAGTCCGTCGTGGCCCGCCTCGCGCGCCTCCGGCTGCCCTCCACCTCCGGCCACGCGCGCCTCTTCCACGCGCGCGGAGGCCAGAGGGAGGGGGCGGGGGCGGAGGAGGAGCCGAGCAAGGGTGCTCCGCTCCGGCCGGCGCGAGACTGCCTGCAGCGGATCGCACACGACCCCTCGCTGCGCAGCTCCGACTTCAGCGTCGGCTACCGCGACCGCTTCCGCCCGGCGGCGCTCGAGGCGCCGTTCGACGCCCCGAACGAGGCGGTGCGCGGTGGGGAGCGGTCGCTCGTCTTTGCGCTGCCCGAGCACCGCATCGAGTTCATCAAGTACCGAAGGCGCGTCGTCTGGCACAAGGGCAGCCGCACCGACCTCGTATTCGGCTCGACGGGGCAGTGCCGCATCCAGGAGGTCGTGGCAACCTACGCGGAGTGGGAGGAGGACCGCGCCGCAGCGCTGCGCCGTGCGCGGGCTCGGGCTTCACGAGCGCTCTCTCGATCGCTCGGCGGCAAGCCTGCTGGGAGGGAGGCCCTCGCTGCCTTTGGTCGGCGGGTGGGGCGCGTGAATGCCGGCGAGCTCACGGCCGCCGCCCTGGCGGAGGAGGCTCTCTCGCCCGCCTACTTTGGCGCCGACGGGGACGGCGGCGGCGGAGAGCCGAGCGCAGGGGGGGAGAATGCGCCAGTGGCGGCGGTGCTGGAGCTTGTCAGCACTCTGCCCGACGAGAGGGCGGCGTTGCGCGAGGAGCTCGAAGCGGAGCTCCGAGGGCGGATCGCGTCCAGCGCCGCGCGGGAGAGTCTGCGTGCGGCCCGCGAGGCGACCGTCAGTGCCAAGCAGGCGCTGGAGGGACGGCCTCCGCGGCCGAGTGCGCCCTGATAACAAGTTGTGTTTACTTACACGTACCACGTCCCCTTGACTATGGCTTAGAGCCGTAAGGTCCCCACACTGTGGGTCCACGGCGATCTGTCGACCACGAAATCGGAAATCGAGAAAAAAGCGGCGGCGGCCCACGGTTTGGAGATGGACGTCACACCCTCCACCGTCGAACCAACGCTATCTCTATGTGTACTGGCCACTACTTGTACTTGTGCACAACTAGTCTGGCGCGCACAAGTCGAACTCGTTCGCGGCGCACCGACGCGCGAGCCATGCCCCGTCGAACACGCGCGACACGACCTCCACCGCGAGACCGTTGCGAGGCAGGTCCACGATCAGCGAGCACGTCCCCTCGTCCGGCCGCGACCGCACGGCAAAGGGCACGCCGTCTCCTCGAAGGACCCGCGCGAGCTCGGTCAGATTCCCGACTGAGAGCACCTCCCGGTGGTCGAGCCACTGGTCGTATGTGCCGTGCGTCAGGTCGCGCAGCGCCTCGACGTACTCGGCGAGTTGCGAGACGTTGAAGGGCACCGCCGGCCGCAGCCCGTCGGAGCTCACCCAGTCGGCGGTGTCGTAGCGCACCACGTGCCACTCGTGGCTGTCCGGCCACTCCGCCCACGCCAGGGTCGTGCACGGCCCGTCCGCCATCGGCCCGCGGTGCTGCTGGACGGGCGAGCCGCCGAGGTAGCGGACGGCGAAGTCGATCGCCGCGCGCGGGTCGGCTCCCGCCATCGTCGTCTTGTTGGTGTCTGCGTCGCCGGGCGAGTATGCGACGCCGAGGTCGAGGCTCGGAAGAGGCGGGGCCGAGGCGCGCAGGCGCCGCCGGCGCTTGGGCGAGCAGAATTGGTCGGTGGAGGAGAAGCGCACGTGGCACGGCGGGAGGGCGGGCAGGTACCAGTCGCCGAGCACCTCGACAATGTGGCCCGTGCCTGGGATCGCGACGTAGATGGACTGGTACACGCCTGCGCTCTGGCCGGTGAAGAAGGGGACTCCGTCGCGCAGCAAGTCGGCTGCGATCAGGTCCGAGGGGCGGGCGTAGAAGCCGAGGTGGAAGTCGAAGTACTACGGCGGCGGCGGCGTCAGTGCCTTGCCGGGCGGATAGGCCGGCGGCAGAGGCGGCGGCGTGGGGGCGAGGCTGGGCGGGAGTGGCGGCGAGGGCGGCGGCGTGGGCGCCTTGCCTGGTTCCAGTGATGCCCAGTGTTGACGGACAGGTTGCCGAAGAGCAGCGTCATCGCGGCGGTGTGCGCGGCGGTGTCGTACGCCCCTCCAGGCTTGCGCGGGTTGGAGACGAAGCGGAGCTCGAGGCCGCCGCCGCGAAAGTCGGCGTGACGCGGCAGCCGCACGGACACCTCGCGCGGCGGGCGCTCGTCGGCTTTCCCAAGGCAGCGCGGCCGGCTGTCCGAGAGGAGGGTGGCGCCAAAGTAGCGTATTGCAAAGTCCGCAGACGACCTCGGGTCGATCGAGGCGTAAGAGTGGCCCTGCACTGTCGGCCAGGAGGGGCCGGGCCGGGAGGGGCCGCCGGCCGCCATCGACGGCGCGCGGCAGGCGAGCGGCAGCGCGGACGGAGCCCAGCCTGCGCGGGCGGCGGCGTCGCACAGACGAGCCACCCACGCCTGCGAGCTGGCGAGGCCGGTGCAGTTGTACACGGCGCCTTCGTCGAGCACGCAAGCGGGCTTACCCTCGATGCTCATCGTGCACGACTTGCACGCCGTCTTCGGGCGGCTGCTGTGGTGGCCGCACAGCGTGTGCGTGCGAGCGACAGCCTCGGCGAGGAGCGTAGCGCCCTCGGCCCCGCGCACGCAGGCGTCGATCGCATCGGCGGTGGCCGAAGGCACGCTGTAGCGCTGCAGGCAGGCGTGCGTGTTTCCCGGGATGCGGCTCGCGGCTGTGGTGTTGAAAGGGCGGCCGCCCTCGGCCTCGGCGGCGCAGCGCAGGAAGAGGAGCCAGTTCAGATGCGCGGGCAGGCCGCGGGTGTCCACGTCGACGTGCGACGGCCAGTGCTTGTGCGTGCAGAGCTGCGCCTTGTTGCCCACGCACTCGCTCTCTCCGTGGAGGCACGCGACGCCGCCGCCCGCCGTCCGCTCGCCGAGGAAAGAGAGCCTCACCTGCTCACCGCAACACGCCTGTGGGAGAGAGGCAGGGAGAGAGGGGGGAGAGAGGCAGGGAGAGAGTCTTGCCTCGACGAGTTCGCCCACTGCCTGCAGCACCGGCTCGAGCATCCGCTCGCACCTAATGGAGGAGCGGGCTCATTCACCGCTCGGCAAGAGAAGCAGCGCCGGCTCGCCGATCGCACCGGCTCGCATCGGGGCACTTTGAGGCGACAAAGAGGTCGAGCGTGACGCGGCGCGGCGGCGGCGGCGGCGGCGGCAACAGCGGCGTGGGAGGCGCGGCCATCACAGCCATTGGCCGGGTCGGCGGCGCCACCGCGACGGGGATGGGTACGGCGATGGGTGGGCACTCTGGCTTAGGCCACGCGGGATCTTGGAATGCCTGCACCTCGAAGCGATAGCACCCGAGGCCGTCTGCGAGCACGTCATAAAAGTTGAAGGCGTACACTGCGAAGCGGATCGAGTGGCCGGGCGCCGTCACGCGCACAACGCGCGGTCCGAGAGCGGTGAGATGCGAGTGCCAAGCGTCAACCTCTCGGGTGCCGGGAACGACGAGGGTGTACGTCACCGGAGGCGCGTCTTTCGAGCCTTCCGGGCCTTTCGGACACGTCGGCGCCGGGCGGCTGTCACACACGCCGAGGTAGTGGCTCGGAGCCGCGTGGAAGATGCGGCACAGCGAAGCTTGCTTGGTGCCGTTCACCTCTGCAAAGCCGAGCGACGTGAGGAAGTGTGCGCCGCTGGTGAGAGACGTAGCGTAGAACCAGGTGATTTGCTGGGAGACCTCCGGACGCGAGTCTGGTGTGGCGAGAGCGACAGCGAGGGCGAAGCCGAAGGCGGCTACCATACACACACATGTGTATTCCGGCGAAAGAAGAATTCGCGCGGTTGAGGGAGAAACTCCCCCCCGGCAAATGATCGCAGTGGGCGTCAGAAGAGTCGTCCTTGCGCGAGGAGAGCTCGATAAACTCGAGTTGCCAAAATATGCCGCGAGGAGTTGGTTCTTGCACTTGTGCAAGATTGGGCGTCTTCTGCAGCAGTCCCTTTGTTTGATGGGAGGCCCCAGGGTGGGGGCCACCTTGAACCCCTGGCCAGGGATTCGAGCGGAGGGTGCCCCGGATTCATCTATCCGTAGGGCCCCGGTACATTCATTAGAACTGATCACTTTGCGCAGCAGCCGTCCCTTCGCCACTGGACGGCAGTGCGCTGCGCTGTCGCTCTGTCGAGCACGCTCTCGTGCTTCGTTGTGACGCGGGAGTAAAGTTGAGAAGCAGCCCTCGACGAGACGACCGGCGCCGCGATGCCGGACCTCACCGCCGCCGAGCTCAGCATTCCGGCCGAGCAGAACCCCGATCCCGCAAAATCACTGGTAATTCCTGTCGACTCAACAGTGGTATCCTCTACCCGGCGCTGCATTCCGTGGTCGGTGGTGAACAATCCGGCCTTCCTCAATCTGCCGCCCCTCCTCCTCCAGGGATGCAAGCGTCGTGGGTCCAGATTCCGCAGTGGGCCGCCATCAGTGGCCTTCTCCCGTTTTGTGAGCCCGATCCCGCTGTGGCCAGCTACTTTGATAGACTCAGCGTCCTGCGGCTGTCCATCTTGGCCGCGGCGTGGCGCCGCATCCTCGGTGCCTTGTCCGACCTTGGCGTATTCGCCACAGTGCACGTGGATGAGGACGCCTGGTCTCCATTGCGCTTTGTGCACTGGCGACGCTGCAACGGCGACGCTGCAGCGGCGGCGACGCTGCTGCGATGGGGTACTGTAGCCCTTAGCTGCTGGACAGCACCTTGTGCAGTGGCAATGTCCACTGACTCATGGCACCAGCCTTGTGAAAGGAGCGCCGCTGTGGTCAGTTGCGCTTTGTGCGCCGGTGGCGCTGCAGGGGCGACGACACTGCAGCGGCGACGCTGCTGCGGTGCTGCGCCTGCACAGCACCTTTGAGCTTTGTGCACAGTGGCAATGACTCCCGGCACTTGATGTCCTCAAATGTCCACAGAGAGTATACTGGTTGTGCTCAGGTTGTGCTACATCAACAGGGTGCAACTGGAGAGGCTGCAACTAAGGGATGAAACAGCTTTGCAACTGCTGCCCAAGTTTTGTTGATGGGCTGCAACTGCATCCTGCCACCTTGGACACCTCGACACCTCAGAGATGCCTCTTGACAACACTCGACACCCGCTCGACACCCTCGACACCCTCAACACCCTCGACACTCCTCGACACCCCTCGACACCCCTCGACACTAAAAGCACTGAACAGTGCGCAGTGGATCACCATGTCGGTCGCGCCCTGCGAAAGGACAACCGTGGGCCGCGGATGCTTGCTCGGACGCGGCCCCGCCGCGCGAGTTGCAGGCCCGGAGGAGACCGACCCAGCTCATCCCCAGAGAGGCCATGCCAAGGGGTCAGCCCTTGATGTGGGTGGCTCTTTGGCCAAAACTTTTACGCATCATCTGGCCTACACTGTCTGACATGGCACATGGGGAAGACGCTGAAGGGGAGGAGGATGGCCCTTGCCGCGGCTGTGGCGGCGACGGAGCGGATCCCCAGGCTCGGGAGGGGGCAGACGCGGCCCCACTGCCGAGCCACATCCTCTGCCGGCCCAGTACCAATGGGGCGAGGTACCGACCAAGATAGCGCACAGGATGGCCGCCGCCATCCCCCCCGGCATTGCTGGGTGCGGCCGCATGTGCGCGATTGCGGGGCCGCAGCGCTGGCGACTCCGCGGGCTTTTTTCTCTTCTCTGACGCGACCAACGCTTCTGGGTACGAGAGCCAGGACGCGCTCGCCCTCGCCGCGTCGGGCGCGGCATCGCAGTCGCTTTCGCCCGGCATCGGTTCGTGCTGCGTTTTCGACAGACGACAGACGGAGTGCCGCAGAGCAGCGAGCACACAGGCACACAGGGAGCCGACCGTGAGCGGCTCGTTCGGCTCGTCGGCTCGGCGGCGGCGACGTGGACGCGAGTTTGAACAGATGTTTTTCTTTTCTGAAGATGACAAGGCGGATTTGAATCATGTAGTCCCCACAATCGCTGACGTGGGATCGCTTGTCATGTGAGAGAGTGCGTTGTGTTCTTGTTTCGTATCCCTTTCTCTTCCGTAGATGTATGTATGTAGGAAGGTGAAGAACAGCCAGGCTCGGACTGGACACCAACGCGGTATGGGTGGACGCGAGACAGATGATGACGACACACGCACGAACGACACACAGACAGACACAAACAAGCTCACAAGACACACAGCCAGCTGGCTGCCACACACCCTGAGTTGGCGTACACATAACTCAAGGCCACATCCTCCCTGTCGCCCCCCCCAGCACTCCAAGGTGCCAAGAGAACAAACGTAGAGAAGAAAACGGGAAAAAAAAGCTCCAGAAAGAAACAGATCGGAATCACCGTGCTCCGGGCTCCGGCGCGCTCACATGCTCCGCTCCTCGCTGCGACTGACCTCGCGAGTCCCTGCCGCGTCGCAGCGGCTCGCGCGCCCGGCGCTGCTCGCGCGCCGCGGGCTCGCGACCAAGTTCAGCAAGGCGCGCGCTGCAAACTTCTGGCGTCTCCATCCACACGTCTGCCGTGCGCTGACGCAGACTGTTTGCCGCAGGACCACGAATGGGTGAAGGTCGAAGGCAAAGTCGCGACGGTCGGTATCACCGACCACGCGCAGGAGCAGCTTGGCGACGTCGTCTTCGTCGACCTCCCAGAGGCGCGGCAAACGTGGTGACCACAGCGAAGTGCTGTCGCGCACTGAGATGGCGCGTGCCTGCGCACAGGTGGGCGCAGTCGTGAAAAAAGACGATACCATGGGCGCGGTCGAGTCGGTGAAGGCGGCGAGCGACGTGTACGCCCCAGTCTCGGGAGAAGTCACCGACGTCAACGGGGCGCTGAACGACGAGCCCGCATTGATCAACAGCAGCGCCGAGTCGGACGGCTGGATGTGCAAGGTCAAGCTATCGAAACCGGACGAGCTGGACGGCTTGATGGATGCGGATGCGTACAAGAAATTCTGCAACGAGTAGTGTAGCAGCGCGCCGAGACTGGGCAGGGAAGCGGTACGGTGGCTGGGCTGGGCAGGGTTGCGCCTTCCCCTTTTTGTCGCTCACATATCTGTTGTTAGATAACGTCTCTCGTCTGCTGAACTTTTTCGTCGCTGCTACCACACTCCCACGGAACTTGTGCTACACACGCGGCGACCTCAGACCGCTCCTGACGACGAGGTGTGCCGTTCGCGGCTGGCGCGTCCGAGGTCCGTGTGGTCGCCGCGCGTAGCGCGCGGGTCGCCGGCAGCCGGCACACATGTTCAGACTCATCACCATCAGCTCTCGCTTTCAGCCGGTGGACGCGAGGAGGCGGAGCCTGCCCGCGGCGAGTTGGTAAGACCAGCTCTGCGAATCCTCGGCGGCGCCGCCCTCCGCGAGCGTCGGCGCGAGGGGCCGGTGCAGCGACACGCGCCACTGGTCGCGGTGGCCGACTGCCCGCGCGGCCGCGCTTGGCGAGGCGAGGGAGGAGCGGTGCGCCTGCGGGCAGCGCGAGGGAGGAGGGAAATCAGCCGGGGCCGGGGCGTCGAGGAGCTTCGGAGGGGTGCTCCGCTCCTGCACCGCCAGCGGGGAGAGGGGCTGGGCGGAGAGGGGCTGGCTCGGCCCACACGCGTGCGCGTGGTCGGTCTCGATGCGGGCCTGCGGGCGGCGGCGGGGGGGGGGGCGGGTCACGCGAGGGAGGGCGCCTCCTGCCCGCCCGCCTGGGGGCGCAGCCAAGGACAGGCCGGGAGCTGCCTGCCAGAGGCGGGCGAGGGGCGGTCGCGCCTCTGCGTGCAGCCAGCGACCGAACAGTGTCGCCTCCGCCGCCGTCGGAAGCCCGCCGCCGGGCCCGCCACCCAGGGCGACCACGAGGAGGCACCGCTTCTGCTCAATGCCCCGCCACGCACCCGAGCCCTCCGTCTCCCCCGCCCCGCCGCCCGCCTCGCCGCCCGCCTCCGCCCCAGCGGCAGACACCGCCCCGCCCGCCGGCGCGGCCTTCGCAAGCTGCGCGTCGAGGTAGTCGGCCGCGTGAGCCGCGAGACACACCGCCGAGGAGAGGTGCATCAGCGGCGCACCGCCCTGCCACCGACGTGGCGACGCGCCGACGGGCGTCGCGACGCCGGGCGAGTCGCCAGGGGAGTCGCGCAGGCGCTTGTGCGGCGAGGCGGAGGGGGAGAGGACAATCTCGCGGAGGTCATCGATCAGCAGCGCGCTGATGGGCGGCGACGGGCGCGCAGGGGACGCCGCTTCCGACGCGTGTGTGCCCGCAGCGCTGCCCCCGCCGGCGGACGAGGCGGGAGCGGGCGCGGCGAGGTGGAAGCCGCAGAGGAGGTCCCGCAGCTGCTCGGCGGTGGAGACGTATTTGATTTGGATCAGCCGCAGCCGCGCCTCGTCGTCGCTCGCGCTCGCCGACGCCGCCGCCGCCTCGCGTGGCCTCACCGGCGGACGTCCCTCGACCAGCTCGCGAGAGGCGCACACGTACAGCGTCGCCTCTCCGCGCGCAGCACGGTTGTAGGCGAGCTGGAGGAGGAGAGAAGACTTGCCGCTGCGAGGCGGGCCGGAGAGGAGGAGCCGGGCGGGCAGCGCGTCGGCGTCAGTGCCGTCAGCGAAGAAGGACTGCATACGCACACATTTGGCGGGAGGGTCGAAATAAAGAATTCGCGCGCGGAGAAGAAGTCGAGAACGGCGAAGAAGAGAGAGAGAAGCGGTGTGCCGGTGTGTGTACAGCTGAATGAACGACTCGAGTGTAAAGAAAGAAAGAAAACAGACAACCCAAGGGAGGGATGGGAGGACGGCACGCCGCCACCACTCGAGTGTCGAGAGAGATTTTTAGCAAGTTTGTTTTGTACGACTCGTGACGGCGGCACGCGAGTCGAGAGTGAGTGGGACAACCGCGAGGTGGCATGAAGGTCGCTGCGAGAGTGGGCGAGAAACTGCCGCGCGCGCCGTGCATCGTCCATCGACCGGCGTGCGTGCCCGCCAGCCACAGGCAGGGCCACAGGCTAGGGTGCCCACAGGGCCCAAAAAAGAACGAAGGAAAAAAGGCATGGGGCAAGCCCCATCGCAGCACTTCGTGTCGGAGAGTCGAGATATTGTGATTGTGACTAGGAGGGAGGGACGCTGGGGATTCTCAAAGGTATACCCTTGGAATGGCCGGATCCAGCCTTGAAAGTACGAGATCGCGCGCGCTTCGCGCGCTGCACCGCCTGTTCTCCGGCGCGGCTGAGTGACGACGCGTGCCGTGTGCCAGCAGAGTTGGGCGCGCGCGGCGCGACGGCGCCGGCGAGGGAAGGCGCGGGTGCAGCGGCCGCCGGCGGTCGTACCGCTCGCCGGCCAGCGCAGCAGCGGCCAGCGCAGCGGCCGCCGGCGCAGCAGCCAGAGCAGCCGGTGCGCGCCTTGCGAGGCGAGTACTGCCGCCCGGCAGCCTTGAGGCGGCCGGGCGGCAGTACTCGCTCGAGCTTTGCGAGCCGTGCGCGCGCCGAGGCGCGCGCGGCGCGCGCCCGCCCGGCTGCCAGTAGGAGGCGGCGCAATATGGCCTATAGTACAGCCCTTGAGGAGGAGGAAGAGGCTGGCTGGCAGTGCTGTATGCCGCCGAGGGGCAGTTTTGGGGTGCTGTCCCCATCCCAGGGGGCTGCTAGCAGAACGCGTCCGCAGCCGGGACAACCCGCCCCCCCAGCCGAGGCCGGTCGAAGCCCACTTGGGCACAGCCATGAGGAGTCCTCTTGGTGCTCCTGGCGGCCGTTCAAAGGTCGGGCGCGCGCCGATGGGGGGGGGGGGGGTCTTGCTTGCTCCACACCGAGCGCCATCGGTCCGGACCGGTGCGCCCAATGAGGGTAGGCCTGCACAAGGTCTGAGCCGCGGGCGCTCGGCGCCAAGTGCAGTGTCACGCTCGCACGCGAAGGGGACACTGGGAAACCCTCGTTTCCTAGTCACTCGGTCCCCCAACGGAAGAGGCCTCGCTCCTATTGGAACACTCCAACATCAGATTTGCCTCGTGCGTCCCTTTTTGAGGCGGAAAGCTATTTTCTTTTGAATCCTGTGTGTGGGCATCCTACACAGGCACATACAGACAGCATTAATCAATCTCAACTTATGATAGCGCTAAAATTATCTCAATCTCGAAGCCATGCGAACGAAAGAAAGAAGGAAATTTCATGTCCCTGTCCCACTCCTTCCCTCCCCTCGTATCACATGCAATAACATACCAAAACATGCAAGTTCAAAAGGAAAACGCGTGACACGCAGCCCTGTGCCCCCAGCAGCAGCGATGCGGCCGAGGTCGGGACGCCGCCGCTCCGCCACCTTCCCGGCCGGCCAGGCGGCGGTCCCCGCGCGCGCCTACTGGGGCAGCTCGCTGGAGAGGGCCCAGTTGCCAGACACAGTCACGACCATCGGCGCATCCGCCTTTCACGGCTGCACACGCCTAACTTCGGTGAGCATCCCAGCGTCCGTGACGAGCATCGGCGAGAGCGCCTTTGCTTGCTGCACGGAGTTAACTTCGGTCGTCCTACCCGACTCTGTCACCACCCTCGGCGCTGGCGCCTTTGCTGGCTGCTCGTCCCTCGCCTCGGTGAAGCTGCCGCGTGGCTTGCTCGTTGTGAATGCGCGTGCCTTTGCCTGCTGCACCTCGCTCACCTCAATCAGTCTACCGGAGACCATCACAACAATCGGCGAGGGCGCCTTCAGCGCCTGCTCCTCGCTCACCTCGGCCGCGCTCCCAAATTCCACCCGGTCCCTCGGCACGAGAGCGTTTGCGCGCTGCTCCTCGCTGGAGCGCGTGGAGATGCCCGCGGCCATCGCCAGCATCGGCGCGAGCGCGTTCCTCGGGTGCTCCTCGCTGGCGCACGTCCGCCTGCCGATCTCAGTCGTGACACTCGGCGAGCGGGCCTTTGACCAGTGCTCCTCGCTGGCGCACGTCGAGGTGCCCGTTGGCGCCCGCGTGGGCCCGAATGCCTTTCGAGGCTGCTTGGGGCACCTGCAAGACGGGGCGGCGGAGAATATGGGCGAGACCCTCCCCAGGGCGGGCTGGTGGCCGCCGTCGCCGCGCATCGCGCGGGCGCCGCCGTCAACCCCCAAGCTTTCGAGCCGCAGGTCGCAGCCGGAGTGCGAGGTGTACGTGCGCGGCACCTACCCGTCTCGCCACTGTGGTGGCGCTGGCAGTCGGCCGTGGCACCTCTCCTATCGCAAGCGCAAGCTGCGATTCCTGGGTGGGACGAGGACGACCTACCGCGAGGTCTCATCTCTTCAGTTGTACGCTCTGTTGGTAGCGCTCATCATATGTTCCCCGTTGTACTCTGTTTGGACAGGTCGAGATCGAGGGCTACGAGCGCGGCAGCATCGTGGCGGCGATGGTCAAGAGCTGGAAGCGCTACGAGCTCGAGCTCGAGCTGGTCAACTTGGGCGCGGACGGGGCGCTGCGGCGGCTGCGGCTGCGGTGCGTGTCGCGCGACCTCTTTCGGGTGCTGCTCAAGCTGCTCAGCCCGCTCCTCGCAGAGCCGCCGGGCCGCGCGCAGGCTCGCCTGTAGAGCGGGGAGAGGGCCCAAAGCCCAAACAGCGCAAACTTTGTGAAAAGTAGCTATGTGAAACGTCACTTGTCAGACACTTGACACTTGTCTGATCTCTCCGCGTGACTGAGTCCGGTGAGTGTCTCGCGGTTTTTGAAAGTACATAAATCTTCAGACTGACCCCCTCCGCGCGGCGTCTTCATACTCGCTCTGTTTGAACGCGCTTTTGGGCGGACTGCCCGCGGTCTGGGGCGAGTGGCGTCTGCGCTCCGCCGCCTCGTCCGGGGCCCCGGCGCGCTCTCGCCCGCCCATGCGCCCCGCGCCGCCCCGCCCGGGGGAGTCGCGGGGGGGGGGGGGGGGGGTAGGGGGGGGTATGATCGCATTCGATTCGACGATTCGTGGGTTTTAGGGGGGGTGATCGCATTCGATTGGGATTTGGGTTAAGACATAAGAGAGCGCTGTCCGACTGAGTCTGACTGTTACCTGTTAGTCGTGTCGGGCATGGTCTGCAGCAGCTGCAGCGCCGCCTCGCACAAGCGGTCAAAGGCAGCTTCGCCTCGCGGTCTGCCGCCGAGCATGTGATTGCACATGTTGAGTGTGCAGGGGGGGTGCGCTGCGACCCGCGTGCAGCACGGCCGCCAGGGCGTTGGCAGACCCGATCCCGCTGACGCCGCACAGCCTCTCGAGGAGGGCGTCGCGCAGCACCGGCCCGATATAGGCAGCCCGCCGCGGCCGGCGGCAGAAAAATCTGACCTCAGCGACGCCTCGGCGGGGACGAGCGTCCCAGCTGGGAGCACGGAGCAGGCCCTCGCGTTGATGTATGATGAGCGACTGGCATAATAAGGAATTTCCTTCTGACAGTACACCTTTTTTCACCAGAAAACCTGGTAGAGGAGGACCCGCGGGCAGTTTCGGCACCAGCCTCCGGCCAAGAACTGTGGCAGCGCCCGCACGCTCAGTTCTACATCACTCCTCAACGAGCACATTCGAGGCTCACCGGGTTCAGGAGAGCTGACTGCTGCAGAGAGGGCCAGTTGAGGACAACCAGGCACACGAGAGGAACCAGCTCCGGAATCCAGTTGGTGCCGACGAGCCAGGCACTCTTCTTGACGTGTTTGGCACCTTCGATCGGCATGAGGAGCTCACACACGATCCTTACAATGCACGAACCCATCGCTCCCAAAATAGCTCCGACAAGGGTCCAGGCCTGGGACGCGCTCAGATACGCGACGGCGCTGGACGTGCGCCGGAATGTCGACGGTAGTATGGCCCCGAGGAGCACGAGTAGCAGCACGGTCATCACCAGTGAGGCAGTGCGCCGCACATTTCCACGGACATTCCCGCGATCATGCGCTCCGTGATCGCAATCGGCACCAAAGGGAATCGGGTCGTCCGGGCGTCCACAATTGATTGCTGAGAATACCGCCCAGAGCAGTACAAACACCGACCACAAGACACCGCAAGTGTGGGCGGCACGTCGCGCCTTGGTGTAGGTGTGATGGCGAGCTCCGTTGTACCCGTCGACAAATGGATCTGCCAAGCATCGCAGGAATGCCCAGAAGAAGAATGCTTCGCTGAGCGCATTCAAGAAAAGAGGCACGAGTGGCGATGGAGTCCCGCTCAGTTCTCCAGCAAAGAGGCTGGCTCCCCAGCATGTTCGCATCAGGCAGAACAGAGCTGCAAGGCCAAAGGCAGGCCGTTGCCGTTTGCGGCATGCCATGAAGCAAAGGGATCCGAGAAGGGCCATAGCGTACAGGCCAACACTTACACCGGTGAATCCAATGCAACGAGCAGGGCCAATGCCACCGCCACCGCCACCACCGCCACCACCGCCGCCGCCGCTGCCGCCGGGGCCGTCACCGCCGCCGCCGGGGCCGCCGGGGCCTTGCGTGATCATCACCTCCTATCTCACAGGCTGAGACTGCACTGCGCCACCGCACGCGCTGTGTCCGCCGCGCCAATCGCCCCGCGTGACTGTTTCGGCCGAAGTCTTTGGCTCTTCGAAAACAGGCAACCGACGGTCCGGGTGACGGTCCGGGTGCTGGTACTGAGGTTCCTCGTTCGGGTACGGCTCTATATCGTGACAGCTGTGTGAGCTGTCCTGATGGCGATAGGACTACCGCTGGGATGTCGTTGGTTCGCCTCCTTCCGTTCGGCGTGGCTCACCCTTGTACAAAACTCAAGAGAAGAAATCTAGCTCTGACAGTGACTTGGGCTCGGCAGCTTGTCGACTACCAGCCGACGCCGGAGTCGGTACCGTAGCCGAGATGGAGAGAGAGAGAGAGAGAGAGAGTTTGTTGCCGAGAGGATGGTCGCCGAGGGTGTCGAAAATGTCATCCCTTGTACGGCTCTATGTGTAGTATGTATCAAAGGTGAAAATACAGCCAGGCTCGGACGGGACACCCTCCATGCTGTGAAGAGGCGCCCGGTGCATCCGATCCTACTCTCGCTGCCCACGGGCGCGGCCTTCATCCAGAAGAACCTGCGCACCACCCTGACGAGAGAGGGCATTGGCACGCGTGGGCCTCAGAGACAGAGTTGGCGGTGGGGCGTGGGGGAGAGAGGTGGAGGCGCGGTGAGGCACACCCTATTTTTTCTCAGCAAGACCTCCCGGCCGGTAGACACACAGATGCGTGCCCCGCTCTGCCACAAAGAATACAAACACAAAACGGTGCACAAATCCGTCACAACCGCGTGGACGCCTACGCTCCACCGGTTCGCATAGAGAGAGCGGCCCCTCGGCAACTCTGTTAACTGGCGCCCACATCCACCCACATCAGTTCCGTCCGTGTTTTTATGTGCCGCCCAGCCTGCGGCTCAAGGGGGGTGCGGGAAGGGGGCGACGCGGCCGCGGCCCGCGCCGCCCAGACACGTGCATGGTTGCGCGTCTCGAGACGCGCAGTGTGCTCACGGCACAATCATGTCCCCGCCGTAGATGAGGGCGCGACGCTCCTCGAGGCCGAGCCGGCCGAGCTGGCGGTGCATGCGGTTGAGGGCGACCGAGCCCGTCACAAAGTCGGCCGCCTGGAGACCGAAACAGGACTCGTGTGAGGGCGGGGCACCCTCCCAGCCCAACCCTCTCGCCCGCTCGCCCACCTCCACGGGCGGCAGCGAGGCCGGCAAATTGAGCGGCGGCGGCGGCAGCGGGGCCGGCGCCGCGGGCGCGTCGGAGTCGGCGCTCCCGCCGGTGCGGGCGAGCATCGCGGCCGTCACGGCGGCGAGGGCGGTCGAGCGGAAGTCTGGTCGCGCCGCGCGCGCGATTGCAGCGTCGTAGACGGATCGCCACTCGCTCAGCTCGCGCCGGAGCAGCTCGGTGGCGCTCTCGAGGACCTGGCGCGTGGTGAGGAGCACCGTCCGCTTTGAGTGGAACCAGAGCGTGCCGTAGTTTGGCTCCGCGTTGATGCAGAGCTGCCAGAGCCGCTCGACGTCCGCGTCGGGCGCGCCGACCAGCATCATGAGCCGCAGGTACTCGATGAACGAGTCGCCGTACTGCGGCGTGAACTCGATGGCGAAGTCGAGGAAGTTGTGCGCCGCCTCGAGGTTGAAGCAGTCGGAGAAGGGGTTGAGGCAGATGCGCGCGCCCTCGCACCACACCTCGCCCGACTTGGGAACCTCGAGGAGGGCCTGCTGGAAGACGCGCAGCTGGTGGTGCACGCCCGACGCCTGCTCGAGCTGGATGAGCACCGCCCACAGCCGGCCGGTGCCGCGGTGCACCTCGAGCGCGCGCCGCGCCTCCCGCAGCGCGCGGCTGGTCGCCTCGGAGCGCATCTCCAGCAGGACCGACTCGAGAAACACCTTCCACTCGGAGCGCGCCGACTTTCGCGCCGAGCGGAGCAGGCCGCGCGCCGCCTCGATGTCGCCGCGCAGCTCGTAGAGCCGCGACTGCTCGAGCATCACGATGGCGCGCGTCTTTGGCGGCGACTCGGCGAGCGCGCGCTCGAGCAGCGCCTGCGACACGTCGAAGCGCGAGTAGCTGAGCTCGGAGCGCGCGCCGCCGAGCCAGACCTTCCAGCGAAGGTTCGGCGCGCACGCGCCCACCGACTTGACGTATGCGCTGCGCGAGCGGGCGAGGTTGCCGTTCCTCTCCTCCACCTGCGCCGCCTCGAACCACAGCTTCCACACGAGGTCCTTGGAGATGTGGCGGACGCCGCGCTCCACGTGCGCCCGCGTCGCGTGGACGAGCTCGTGCCGGTTGGGCAGCGCGCACTCGAGCAGCCGCATCACGCTGAACCAGAGCGGCCCGTAGCGCGGCAGCTGCTTGAGCCCCTCCTCCGCCACGCGCAGCGCCTCCTGCGGGTGGCCGCACCGCTGCTCGAACCGGCACGCCTCAAACCACACGGGCCCGTACCACGGCGCCGCGTGCAGCAGAAACTTGAAGACGCGTCGTGCCATCGCCGTCTCCCCGGCGCGCGCCTCGAGGAGCGCGCCCTCGAGCACGGTGCGCCACGACTGGTTGACGGGGACGTACTGCAGCTGGGAGAGGAGCGAGCGCGCCGCGCGGAGCTCGCCCATCCGCTCGAGGTGCTTGATGCCCTTGAGCATCAGTGCCTCGTGGTAGGGGCAATGCCGCAGCCCGAGCGTGAGGATCTTCTCGCAACGGCTGAAGTGCCCTCGCTCCTCCTCCATCTTTGCAAACTCGAGCCACGCCTGCGGCGCGGTCGGCTGGAGCTGCGTCGCCATCCGGTAGAGCTGCCGTGCTCGCCCAAAGCTCTTCTCGCGCTTTGCGAGGTCCGCCATCTCGAGGTGCACACGCCAGTGCACCGCCTCCGGCAGGTCGTGCAGGCACCGCTCGGCCAGCTGCTGCGCATAGCGCGCGCCCCGCACCTGCGTCTCCTTGGAGCGCAGCGTGTGCGAAAAGTCCTTGTACACAGCGCGGGAGCGCGGCGACATTGCGAGGTCCTTGCCTCGCGCGTCGCCTCTCCCGGACGGATCACAGGAGGAGCAGTACGAGGGGCCCGGGCCCGCGCCTCCGCGCGCGCCCATCTCGCCGCTCCTCAGGGCGACGCCCGCCTGAGGCATCGGCACACCCACCCGTCCGGCGCCCATGCTCCCCGCGGCGGAGGGCATCTGCTGCCGCTGCATGCCCGCGGCATCGAGCCCGCAGCAGGAGCCGCCGCCCTGCAGCGCGGCGGAGGGCGGCCAGCCGCCACACTGCGGCGGAAGCGCGTACTCCCTGCCCTGCGCTTGCTGCGGCATGTGCGAGAGCGGCGGGGGCGGGGGCGGCGGGGGCGGCGGCGGGGGGGGCGGCATCTGCTGTCTAGGCTGCTGTAGCTGCTGCTGCTGCGGAAGCGGCGGCTGGTTGAAGGGCGGGAACGCGCCCGGCGGCCGAAGGTGCCCCGCCTGCTGCTGCGCCTGGAAGGGGGGCAGCGGCAGCGGCAGCATCGGCGGCTGCGAGCCCTGCCCCATGTGCACCGGCAACGCGCCCGGCAACGGCGGCATGCCACCCAATGCCATGTGCTGTGCCGGCGCCGGCTGTCCGGCGACGCTGGGAGACGTCCGCAAGGAGCAGCGCCCCGCGCTGGGCGGCCGCGTGTGGGGGCCGCTGAGGGCGGCGCCGCTGCAGGTGGAGTCGCCGCCACTTGAGCGGAGCGAGCCGGCAGAAGCGCCAATCGAAAACTGCGGCGCGCCCATGCCGTACGGGACGGAAGGGAGGCCTCCGCTCGGCGGCCGAACGACGGCGCCGCCACTCCCAGGCCGCGTCGGCAGGGCGCTTGATGAGGCAGGGCTGCCGAGGCTGGGCGGCGGTGGCGGCGGCGGCGGCGGCGGCGGTGGCGGCGGCGGCGGCGGCGCACCCGCCCGGCTGCTGATGGATGCCGAGGGCTTGCACGCGCCGCTCGGGATGTTGGTGTGCTGCTCGTGGTGCGCGGGGCCGGCCTGCATCGGCTGCGACGCCGACGGCGCGCCGACTGTCATGATGCCGCCCCAAGACTTGGACGGCGAGGGCATCTCGGGGCCCCAGACCGGGCCGCCCGCGGCGGGGTCGGGCAGCGCGCCGCCGCTGCCGCCGCCGTTGCCGCCGTTGCCGCCCCAGAGGTTGTACCCGTTGAGCCCCGACGGCGGGTCGCTCGCGGTGCGCCGGTGCGTGGGTCGGGGCGCCTCGGCTGGAGCGGGAGGAAGGGGCTCGACGGGGCCAGCCGCGCGTGGCTGCTCCCAGGAGCCGACATCCAGCAATCGCAACCGGTTCGCCAGATCGACATCCTCGATGCCAGCGCCGACGAGCTGGTGCGTGGCCGCATCGGGCGCGCCGCCAAACAGCGAATGGCCCGAGCCGGCGTCGCCGAAGAGCGAGTCGATCTGCGAGCGGACCGCAGCCTGCCCGTCTGCCGACCCGCCGCCGCTGCCAGCCTCCGGCCACGCCGCGGCCGCAGCAGCGGGCGCCACCGCGGGCGCCGCGGGTGCCGGCGCTTCGGAGCCGATCTCCGCCGCCTCTGGCGGCGCGGGCGCCGTGGCCGACGCGGCGCGGTCGGACTGCGCCTCGGCAGACCTTGGATTGGGGCTGGTGGTGGCGTCGCGCTGGAGCCGCACGCACAGCATCGCGTGCGCCAGATCGCCGGCGGCGGAATCGTCGCCGCCCATCTGCGAGGAGGCGTCCGTGCCGACCGTCGCAGCCACGGACGTCTCGTCCTCCTCGCCCCCCTCCTCGTCGTCGGAGCACGCCGATCCGGCGCTCAGCCGCTGCGCGCGGTCGTCGGGCGAGCTCAGCTTTGCGATGGGCACGAAGGCAGCGACGTACACCTCCTTGCGCGGGATGGTGGCGCTGACGTCCTGGTACGACGCGCGCGCGCTCCGGGCGGTCAGTTCGCCGCCTCCGCGCGCCGCGCGCCCGCAGGGGGGGGAGGGGGGTCGCGCGCGCACCGCAAATCGCTGGCAGCGGTCGCCGCGCAGCTGCGCGGAGGCCTCGGTTTTTTCACCGAGGATGCGACAGATCTCTGGCTCCGAGACGTCATGGTTGTCATCCGTCGGATCGTACAGCTGCCGCGAGAAGACCTGCCAGCTGCTCGTGCTGTGCGTAAACGCGAGCGCGGCGCTGCTGCCCGTGGGGTCGACCTCGGTCGAGCCGGCCGCTGCAGGGTCCACCCCTGCAGCAGCCGCCTCCGCCCCGGCCGGGCCGGTCATCCGCCCACAAGGGGAGGGGCCTCGCCAGCGCTGGAAATTTCGAGAGCTCTAGGCGCTGGCTTGACCGGGCTGGAAACGAACGACCTGTGAATAGTGCGATTTCGAGCCCGAAAGGGCGGCCCGCCCTCGACCTTGCTCTACATGGTAACGGATAAGAAGAGAAACTCTATGCACCGGGACACGCTGTGGTTCAGACGTCCCCCCCCTCGACGCAGTCGAGTGACTCACATGAATAGGGAGGAGAAAGTGTCCCCCACATATCACCACAGACGCAGCACAGGCAGGGGCTCCAATCCTGTCCCAGCCTGGGGGCCTCGGCTAGATCTCCAGTGGGGAGTGCGAGGGCTGGATCGACTGCAGCGAGAGTGTGGGTTGTGGACCGTCCCAGGGATAGCGTGTGGCATAGATGTTCCCCTGGAAGCAACCCCTGCCTAGACGAGTACAGCTAAAGAGTACCCGGGGCTCCCCACACGGAGGGCCCTTGCGGAAATCCCCGCAAAGCACCGGCATTCCTTGCCCAGCTCAAACTCGGCGCAGTCTCGGCCGGCGCGCGCTCCTGCGCGGCCACCTAAATTCCCGAGTCGCTGCACCCCGCCAGAGCACCCACCCACCTTGCCGCCACAAGCAGGAGCGGCGGTAGAAGTCGAAACGTGCGCCGCACGGCCGCCTCGCTTGAACGGCCGCTTCCGCAGAGTCGACCGATAGCCGCCGCGCTGCACACCCGGCCACAGCCTGACCACCCCGCGCGGACACAGGGCGCACTGTAGCCCTGCTGGACTGCCCGGCCGCTCACACACCGCCTCGGCCGCCCACACCAACGCACAGACCCGCCTGCGCCCGGCGGTGACTCGTGCGACCGCTGCCCCTGCAGGACCATGGACGCCGGCGCGGACGCTGACGTGGAGATGGAGACGGACGAAGAGAGCGCGGACGAGGGCCGCAGCGGCGAGGAGAGCGAGCACGAGGGTTCTCGTCGTGAGAACTTCGACCCTGTCGTGGATCGGCAGAATCTCGCCCGGTCGGACCCGCATGGACCCTTCGAGGTCACCGCGCTCTGGGAGCTGCTGAGGTCGCCACGCTACGAGGTGACCGTTCCTCTCAAGGGCGGTGGCAGGCGTGCGCACGCGCCCGCACCGCCGCGGGCGTTGGGGGAGGGTGGGATCTCACACTTCCGCTCTCTCCGCTGCCTGCGCAGTTGCCGAGTCAAGCTGCGCCTCGGCTGGCGCTGGGCCGAGCTGCTCGGTCTTCTCGCCGCGGCCCTGGACAAGTCTATGGCTGCACTCGCCGGCGGCAGCGGCCCTATCGACCTCGGCGATGCGCCGTGCTCGCGGTCGCAGCACGCCAACGCCATCCTCTCCCACGCCACCTACCTCCTCGGCGTGGTCCACATGCAGAGCCGAGGCGGGCGCCCGCCGCCACCTCGATGCACTGTCCTCCCGGCCAAGTGCACCATAAAGGAGAACTCGACCGGCGTGCCCGCCGAGCAGCTGCTCTTTGCATGCTTCCACAGCGATGCGTCGGCGGTGCTGCGACTCCTCCTCGCGCGCTGGGCCGACGGCTCGCCGGATGAGGCCACCCTGGCTCAGAACAAAGGGCTCATAGACGAGCTGCGCGAGGCCGGGACGCGCATCGGAAGGTCCCTTCCGCATGAGCGGAGCTCACTGACCAAGGCGCAGTGGCGGAAGCAGGCGTTGCTGCTCCTCAAGGGCTCGGGCGGCGCCTTCCTGCAGGAGGAGGCGAGCGGCGCCGTCGATGTGCTCGAGAACCTGTGCGACTACCTGCTCCATGTGTGGAGCTGCCACAAACTCGCCGCCGAGCGTGCCACCGAAGGCGTCCCGTCGGAGGTGATGGAGTATGAGACCTGAGGCTGCGGAGGTGACGCCTGAGGTACCGGCCCGTGCACAGCGACTCAGCCGGCGACCGCCACGGGCTCAGACGAGACCTGTCGACGCGTTCCGGCTCACCGCAGCTTCACCGTGGTCATCGGGCGTCTGTCGACGTCAGGACCACCCATACAGCTCGCGGGTTTGAGGTCGCAAGAGCCAAGATGGTGGCGTTTGGACATCCCAACCATCACACACGACAGCCTGTAGGTGGTGGCGGGACGGCGCAGTGTTTGTGGCACTCGGCAGTAGGCACCCGCGGCACGGCCCCGCTGTCGGCTCGCTCGCGGGCTGCGGAACCGGCCCCAGAAGGGGACGGTCCGGGCAAGTGTGGCAGCTCCTGCGCTAGTATGGGCACCCTCTATCATAGCACTACTGATCCTGGTCATTAGAGCTGCCAGGGATAGCGTCAGGACAGGCCGGTAGGAGTCAAAACCTTTCATATTATTTGAGACATCACGTGGGGCCCATACTCGCTCGCACAACGAGCCAGGCCGCCTGCGCCTCTCGTGCCTGCGGGATTTCGTCTTTTAAGCCTTGCATTCGCTAAGGATGGTTTAATAGATCCCAAAACGTCCTTCCTCCACGCTGGCGGTCTCAGAGCCAGCGCGGCCGCGAGCCCCGCGCCGAGCGACAGCCGACTCGTGGCGAGAGCAGAACTGGGCGCAAATACGTTGCCGTGGCAGCCCGACTGGGAGCGGCGGCACAGTAGCGAGGGCGACGGGTGGCAGAATGGCCTCGGCGCACGGTCATTCGGCGCGCCGCTTCGGCATCGGCGTCGGCATGGTCGCCTTGCGCGTGGCGTGTATCGCGACGCCGGAGACAACCGACGCGCCAGAGAGAAACATCATGCCCGAGACCGGCTTCGGAAACACGATAAAGGAGAGGCAGATCGAGACGAGCTTGCGGCTGTTCGTCGCCACGACCGCCGCCGTGCCGCCGTGGGAGCGAGTGAGGGCGAGGAAGCAGCAGACGCCGATCCACGACGAGGCGCCGTACAGGAGCAGCCGCCCCCAAGGCAGCCCGACCGGCACCGCGTCGACCTCGCCGGTGAAGGCGATGGCTGCGACGACTGCGGCGAAGGCGATGCCTGGAAGGGGCGAGGGGAGGGTGAGGAGAGCGAGCCGCGGTGCGCCGCTCTGCCCGCGGGGCGGGGCGGCGGCGCCGTTTGTGAAGAGCATCACATGCATCGGCGTGAGCAGCGGGTGGGAGCGCATCATCCGCTCCTGCAGCAGCACCTGCACCGCATCGCAGCAGACCGCGAGCATCAGCAGCGCGAGGCCCACCCAAGAAGTCTGCTGCTCCTCCTCCCCGCCCGACGGCTCTCTCGCCGCAGATCCGTGCGACGCGAGCGTGAAGCCGACGAGGCCGCAGCAGAGCAGCAGCGCGGCGGCGTGGTCCCACACAGTGTACGACTTGTGCAGCAGCAGCGAGCCCAGCGCCATCGTGGGGAGGAGCTTGCACGACTTGACGATCACCTTCACCGGGAAGGAGACCCAGCGGAGCGCGACGTTGCCAGAGACGAGCGAGGCAAAGACGAGGGCGGAGATGCGAGCGAGCGGCCAGAGCGGCGCGCGCGCGCCGCCGCCGCCGGCCAGCAGGAGGTAGGCGCCGGAAAGACTGGAGCAGACGCCAAACTCGTACGCAGTCACAACGAGCGGCATTTTCGCGGGCATCGCGTAGAGCATCTGCTCCTGCAGGAGCGCGTGCGCGACGCCGGCGGCGACGACCCCGCCGCACAGCATCGCGAGCCGCGCGCCGCCGGACGAAGCGGCCGGCTTCGACAGCATCGCGGCCTGGCACATGCAGAGGTGCCGCTGGCGATAGCTGGACAGAGAGACCACTTCTTCTTCAGGTCAGTAGGCAAAGCGTCGGCCACGAGGGTGAGATCTCAGCAGCAGCCGGCTCGCAAGAATTTTAGAAGAGCGCGCACAACACTGGGCACGGCACTGGCGCGCAACAAGAAATCGTGGCCCCTGGCATTCTGGATTTAGCCCTTTGTGGTGGCGGCGCGCCGTACTCCCATCCCTCCCTTGGGCTGCCTGGTTTCTTTCTTTGTTTCTTGATTTAGGTTGCATGCTTGCAGCCGCCGTGTGGTGGGGAAAGAAACCTGGGGAGCGGCGCTGCCTGCCCCGCCCGCTGCCCCGCTGCCACCGCCACAACCTCCTCATCAAAACGGAGCAAAGGCAGAAAAAACTCAATCGCCCGCCCAGCACGCAGCAGCCATAGAGCCATTCGCAGCATGCACTAAAGCCCTACCTTTCCATTGTGCCGAATCCTGAGGGAAAAGGTCTCTCTTGACATTGATTGACCGACCGGACGCTGGAAGAGCCTCTCTCCCGCGCTGGCGAGGCCTCTGCTCCCCTGGGCGATGACCGGCCCGGCTGCCGGGGGCGGCGGAGGAAGTGAGCAAGGAAAAACACCTGGGCGAAGTTAGATCTAAAAGAAAGAAAGAAGACAGACAAACCCAAACGAGGGATGGGGGAGGAGGACAGGGTCCACACCTGCACGAGCAGGATTTTGGAAGGACGATCCGGGGCACAGGTGGGGCTCCGCTGCTCCTGACAAGGGACACAACAGGCTCGCAGCGCGGTGCACGGTGGACTCCCAACTCCACTGGCGGTCTCATCTCAGTCTAGCGACCTGCCTCCAGCTTCTCACTGGCAGTCTCGCAACCACAGGCACGCTGACACAGGGGTGGCAGGGGCGGCGGCAGGAGTCTCCCACACTATGCGCGCTGCAATGGCAGTGCGGGCTGTGCAGGGGGCCCAGCCCTCAACGTGTGCCAGTGATGGCCCTAGGGAGGAGGAGTGTGCTGAGGGCTCTAACCCAAACCTAACCCGAGACTAACCCGGCACTAACCCGGCGCTAACTAACCCGAGCTGCTCGGGGGCATACATTAGGACGGGTTAGTGCCGGGTTAGTGCCGGGTTAGCGCCGGGTTAGCCTCGGGTTATGGTAACCCGTTCTGACCCGAGCTGACCCTTGCCGGGTTAGTGTGGCTTAACCCGGTGAAACCCACGCTAACCTGCGCTTACCGACAGAACGAACAAACTCTCTCGCGGACGAGTCTTGCCACGACTGCGTCCGTCATGTGGGCCTCATTCCTCTCTCGTTGGGGCCTGCAACCGCCAGCCCTCTCGGCGCTCATCGCTTCCGCGTCGGGATCGCTCGTCGCTTCCGCGTCAACATCCTCTTACCTGCGCCCATTTCTAGCTGCATCGCTCCTGTACCACGGCTTCGAGCAGTACATTCGCTGGCGCCGCCGTGCGCGCCTCGCCGTGAAGGGCGTGCCCGAGGCCGTGGCTGCTGCAATGCCCGAGGTGGATCCTGCGGTGAGCCGCCTCCAAAACTTAGTGCACTCCATCAGGCACGCGATGATCGCTCCGCTGCATCTGCCACTAGGAGTACGCCCGAGCCCAGGAGTACTCGGCCGCAAAGAACAACTTTGGCTTCGTCGCAGACTTGTACGGGCTCGCCACCGGCCTCGTGCACCTCTGGCTGCAGGCGGCCGTGTGGAACGGCCCGGCCCTCTCGCTCGTGCTTCGTTGCGGCGGGACGGCGTCACACGAGCTTGCGCGCGCGGGCGCGAGCATGCTGCTCTGTGCGCCGTGGGACCTCCTCTCTGGCGTGCCAGTCGACCTGTACCGCACCTTCGTGCTCGAGGAGCGGTTCGGGTTCAACAAGCACACGTGGCTCAGCTGGCTGGGCGACTCGCTCAAGCACTTCGTCGTCGAGGAGCTGCTGATGGGCTCGCTGATGATGGCGCCTCTCGTGCTGCTCGTCCGCTCGCTCGGCGCCGCCCCTCCTCTCGCCGCGCGCGCCTGCCCGCGTCCGGTGACCGCCCTCCCGTCGCCGCCCGCAGGCCCCTCCTCGTGGCTGTACGGCTTCGGCTTCACGTCCCTCTTTGTGCTGCTCTTGAACGTCGTCTACCCTGTCTGGATCGCGCCGCTCTTCAACACATTCGCACCGCTGCCCGAGGGCGATGTGCGCGACGGCGTCGAGGCGCTGGTCAAGTCGAGCGGCATCAACTGCAGCCGCATCTTCCAGGTCGACGGCTCGCCCACTAGTGGTGCGCATTAGCACTCACTTCGTGATCAACCGCAGCCGCGTCCTACAGGTCGACGGCTCGCGCCAGTCCGCCCACTCCAATGCCTACGTGGCTGGCTTCTTCGGCTCCAAGCGCATCGTCATCTACGACACCCTCATCACGCACCTCGACGGCGACGTGGAGGACATCTGCGCCGTCGTCGCGCACGAGATTGGGCACGCGCAGCTGCACCATAACTACGCGCTGCTCGGCGTGTCAACGGCGCAGCTTTTCGTCATGTTTCGGCTCTTTGGGGTCTGCACCGACCCGCGCCTCGTCACGGACTTTGGCTTCGACGCCCCCTGCGCCTACTTGTCGCTGCTCACCTTCTTCACCCTCTGGTCGGTCGCAATGCCTCTGGTGTCGTTCGGCCTCAACGCATTCACGCGGCAGCTCGAGTACCAGGCGGACGCTTACTCGGTGCGTCTCGGCTTTGACATACGAAAGGCGCTCGCGAAGATCTCAAAGACGAACCTGAGCGATCTCAATCCGGACCCCCTCGACTCCCTCTTCCACCACTCCCATCCGACCACCGTGCAGCGGGTGCTCGCAGTCAAGCAGCTGCTGGACACGTGCGAGCGCAAGGCCCTTTGAAAGGGCATGTCCATGTGCCGCGAGCATGTACACGTGTACTGAGTTGCCACATAACACACTGGGTGTGGCGTATTTTGTATCGCGGCGGTGGGGCGTGTCGCTGTCCTCGCGATCGCGTTTTGTTTTTATGTTTATATTACATGTCAGCACGGCCGAGCTCGGAGCTGCGGTTTTTGATATCTCTCGGTGAGTGGGGGGCCGAGCCGCCTCGGGGTGGCGGGCGGGCGGGCGTTTTGAAAAACAGAAAACAGAAAACAGAGGGGGGCCAGGGCCCCCACTACGATTAGACATACGCACCTGGCTCCTGGGACAAGGCGAGAATCGCAGCGCATGCAGTTCAGCGGAGTCCCAGTGCCGGGGGGAGAAGGGGGGGGGGGGGGGGGAGCCGAGGGGGCGACGTCCCGACACGGCAGGTTGGAGCTGACCCCGGGAGAGAAAGAGAACAGCGATGGCAGCCCCCAATGACCGTAGATAGACATGACGAGCCGACAGCGATGCAGCGGCAGCGAAGGCGGCGAGGAGGGCCCGCGCTGCCTAGAGCTCCGCCGGGCGGCAGCAGAGACATCGGCGGACGGGGGAGCACGCGGGACACGTCGGCATCGAACGTGTCGGCATAGGAGCCAGGGGGGTGGGCTGGGAGAGTTGAGTCAGATGCAACAGCACCGTCTCGGCAGCGAGGCCCATGATGGCGACGGCGGCGACGTAGGCGAGACGGCGCGGGCGAGGGTGGCGACGGTCACGATGAAGGTGGCTTGACGAAATGGATGACGCCATCGCGCAACATGACATCCTCGCTGTCGTCGTCCTCTAGGCGGCGCGCAGCGCCGCTCTCGCAGGCTGTTTTTGACTGCTTCTCGATTTTGTTTTTGTTTTCAGTCTAGGGGGCCCGACCCCCTCAGAGGGGCGGCGGGCGGGCGCCCACTCACCGAGAGATAAAAAACGCTCGGCCCATGACGAGAGAGAGCGGGCTGTGTGGACGTGTGCCGAGACGCCGAGACACCCCCTCGCCCTCCCCCGCCTCTGCGCTCTCCCCCCGATGCATTTCACATTTCCCATCTCGATCCGGGCGCCCCCCCGCGCACACAAAAGTCACAACGACGGTCTAGAGAGAGCGATATACAAAAGGACAAGCCGGCTAGAGTTGCTGTGTCGCGTGGTGTGGTGCATATTGACTGGAGGACTCGTTCCGACATGCATCGAGACACTATCCTGCGAGATGTTGTGTCTGGCGTCGCGTGTGGGCCCAAAAGAAAAGCTCCGGGCCTCCGGCGCCAATGCCCCGGCGGTTAGCCTCGCTCCCTCGGCGACCTCCACAGACTTACGCCTCAGCCACGAGGCGTTGCAGTAGCTTCGCCTCCTTCGCGTTCTCTGCATTGTGTGTTGGTTTCTCCGTCTCCCCAGCCAGTGCCTTCACATTGCCAAGCACCTTGCCGAACAGGCTGCCCCAAGGCGGGCTTTTGGGATCGGCACCGACCCGAGTGGATGCCGCGCGCTCTACGTCGTCGAAGCGCGAGGTGGCAAAGTCGGTTGCAAAGGCAAACGGGAGCTCTTGCTGTTGGAGGCCCTCCTTTGCCAGTGCGCTCTCGGCGAACCCGACCGCAAGGCCCGGACGGGCGTTGAGCGCGCCTGGCGCTGCATTCCTGGCGCTGAAGGCGATGTCAAGCTTGTGGTGCGGGCCGGAGAGGCGGTCGGAGACGTTGTCGCCCTTGACGTGGACGACCCATTCCTTCACCTCGAAGGTGGCGCTCGCGTATTCCACCTTGATCACGGCCTCCTCGCACGACATGCTCGCTCCCAGGCCGAGGCGAAAGAAGTCGCCGTCGCAGGTGCCGTTGACCAGCTTCCAGCCTGCAGGCGGGAGGCGGCGGCTGGGAGCGGGGGGCAGTGTCTGGGGCTACGTGTCTGCGAGGGCTTGCGCGACCGGTGTTGAATTGGTTCAGCTCGTCCGCCCAGAAGGAGACGTTGAGGAGCTCTCGCTTGGCCCCTCCGACCCTCGCCACCAGGTGAGCAGAGGTGATGGCGCCGCCTTCCGTCTTGACGTTGACTGCGAGGTTGGGGGCGGAGAAGAAGGAGAGGAAGGAGCTGCGCACGCCGTGCGAGTCGGCATCGACCAAGCCGGGCATCACCGTGCGCTCTGCATCGTCGAAGCGCGAGAAGACAAAGTCGGTCGCATAGGCAGACGGCAGTTCGTACAGCTTGAGGCCGTCCTCCACAGTCTCTGCGAACCCGACTGCAAAGTGGCCCTCCGTCGGGTAGGGGGTCAGCGTGCCGAGGCGCAAGTCTGGTGATGACAACGACTCCCCGATGATGCCGTGCGGGAGGAATCGCTCCGGCGCTACGTTCTTGGCGCTGAAGGCGATGTCAAGCTTGTGGTGCGGGCCGGAGAGGCGGTCGGAGACGTTGTCGCCCTTGACGTGGACGACCCATTCCTTCACCTCGAAGGTGGCGCTCGCGTATTCCACCTTGATCACGGCCTCCTCGCACGACATGCTCGCTCCCAGGCCGAGGCGAAAGAAGTCGCCGTCGCAGGTGCCGTTGACCAGCTTCCAGCCTGCAGGCGGGAGGCGGCGGCTGGGAGCGGGGGGCAGTGTCTGGGGCTACGTGTCTGCGAGGGCTTGCGCGACCGGTGTTGAATTGGTTCAGCTCGTCCGCCCAGAAGGAGACGTTGAGGAGCTCTCGCTTGGCCCCTCCGACCCTCGCCACCAGGTGAGCAGAGGTGATGGCGCCGCCTTCCGTCTTGACGTTGACTGCGAGGTTGGGGGCGGAGAAGAAGGAGAAGAAGGAGCCGTGTTTGCCTCGGAAGTCGGCACCTCCATGCACGAACTTCAGGTCGGCCTGCAGGCGGCGCTTGCCAGAGGCTAGAGTTGCATCAATGTTGTTTGCCGCCTGGAGACCCCAAGATTCGGCAGGACTGATTCCGCGGCCTGCGACGGGCAGTGCTGTCGAGCGAACGGCAGAAAGGAGAAGCAACATTGCGGCGTGCGTGCTCATCGCGTTGTCGCCCATCGGAAGGTGGCCGTTTTGAGCGAGCCGGGGGCCGTCGCGGGTTCCTGGTGATTCCGGTCGTCCGTATGGCGATCGCGACGTGTGTGTTTGGCGAAACGCGGAATTTGGCGACACTTTTGCCCAATAGATCCCAATTCCGAGACTCATCAAATGATGCATTTGGGCCGCCTCCGGAGGGAAAAGCAACGAACGATCGCGAACCTACCTGCTTGGGCGTGGCACGCACGCGGGGGGCGCCCCCCCCCCCCCCTGTCTGTCTGTGTTTGTGCGTCGTCCATCACTCTTTCTTTACTTATTTCCTTGTCCGCTCTATTTACGCACATTCGTTTAATAAACCTGCTTGCTCTGGGGGCGCACGCTACGTGTGAAGGGTCGCACGCAGGTTGTAGAATATATTCGTCGCAGGTGGCTCTGGAGGCTGCGCTCTGCAGGCTGCGCTAGGCCGAGCGCCGACCCTTCCAGCTCATCACAGCTCGGTCACAAAACAACAGGTGGGTGGATGCTCACAAGCAAGCGGTTGGTTGGTGATTCGATCACCCGAAATGCCACGCACGTCGGAGTCGCTCCTCATTCATCGCAAAACCTGTGAGTCAGCAGTCTTCCACCCTCGGGTGTGTTCGTATAGAGCCACATAGCCTAGGATACGCCCATCACTGAGCCGACGATGCTACGGGTAGCCCCAGGGTGGCGCGCCCACCCCCTTCCCCTCAGGCACTTGCTTGTGCCCTGGCCGCGCATGCCGCGCACGCCGCCCGCGCACACGCCAATTTCATTGTACCCGGTGCCACTGCCACCCGGTCCAAGTACGCCAATTTCAAGTACGGGATCCCAAAATCACCCCGTTTTTGCCCATTTTCGGTCATCCGTCAAAATATCTGTTCCGCTGTTAACACCTCGAGCTCCATCGATAGGTGTCCCTCTCGCAGCCTCCCGCGACAGCCCCCTGGCGACCCGCTGTTGCCGTGCGGCGAGGTGCCGGCGCAGCGCCTGGTGAGGGTTAGGGTTAGGGTTACGGTTAGGGTAAGGTTGGGGCTGGGGTTGGGGTGTGGGTTGGGGTTAGGGTGCGGCGCAGTGCCGCGGGCTCGGCCCCCCTCAGCCGGCCGCTGCCCTCGTGGCTCGCCTAGGGTTAGGGGATAGGGTTAGGGTTACGGTTACGGTTAGGACCCGGCGACCCGGTGCGAACCACAGCGAGTCCGCCATCGCAGCCAGGTGGGCCGACCTCTCCATCGCGACCCCTCCCAGCTCCGTTCTGCACGCAGCGCAGCCATACCGGAAGTGGGCGCGCGTGTCCGGGCCGCCCTCGCATAGGTGGCACGCGGCTCGGGGGCGAGCCCCTTCCAGCCGCACTATCCTCCGGATGGCTTCGGCGTCCGGCCCGCCCTGCGCCTGCAACTCTGACGCCGTGCAGCTCATTCTTCCTAACGCGGCTCGCATGGCCTCCTCCAAGAGCGGGCCCGGGAGCGTACTTTGCTTTTTTTTTTTGGCCAGGGCGGCGCTCGAGGTCGCGCCGGGCCGTGCAGGCCCTCAGCGCGTAGTGAGTGGGAGGGCTTGGCGCTCGCATGAGCGATTCTCGCTGGCCCCCTGACGAGCTGACGTGCCGGCAGCACAGCGTCCGACCGCCAAACAGGCTGCGCGGCGTCCCCAACTACAACGCTATTCGCCGCTTCCCCAGCGGTGCCAGCGGTGCCGCCCTGCCGGTGGCTCGCCGCGCCAGCGCCGCCAAAGGCGACGGCGCCGGCAGTGATGGCAGTGGCGACGCTGGCGACGGCGCCTCTGGCGAGCTGTACCTCGGCCGCTTCGCTGCGCTGACCGCGCTGTACGCGCTCGCCGAGGGCGCGATGACTCACCCGTACGAGCTGATCAAGACGCGGCAGCAGGCGGGCGCGCCGCGAGCGCTGGCGCACCGGATGAGCACCGGCCGCTACCTCGTACACCTGGCCGAGAGCGGCGGGCTGCGCGAGCTCTACCGCGGCTTCGGCTGGTCCGTGCTCGGCGGCGTCCCTTCCGAGGTCGTCTACTACGTTGGCTACACCGAGACGAAGCGTGCGCTGCTCGGCACCGCCGCCGGCGCCGCCTCGCCCTCCTCCGTCTACCTCGCGGCGGGCGCTTTTGCAGACGCCCTCTCCGTCCTCGTCTCGGTGCCGGCCGACGTCATCTCGCAGCGGCTTCAGCTCCAGGGCGCCGACGCGAGAGGTGCCGACGCGGCGCCGACGGCGCGGCCGCAGCACGGCCACGGCGCGGCCGCGCTCCCGAGCATGGGCCTTGCCTCCGCGTCCCGGGCTCGGCACCTCCACGCGCCGCCGCCGCTCCTCTCCGGCGGCACTGCCGCAGGCGCGGCCCGACTAGGCGCACTGCCGCGCAGCTACTGCCGCGCAGCTCGGCGTCTGCTGGTTGGGCCCTGCAGGCACGTCCTTCCTCCCGAGTAGGCGGGCTCGAGATCGCAGCCTCGATCGTGCGGCAGGAGGGGCCGCTTGGCTTGTGGCGAGGGACGGGGGCGACGCTCGCGTACTACGGCCCCAACTCTGCTGTCTGGTGGCTGACGCACGAGCACGCCAAGGGGGCGCTCGCGGAGCGGCTGGACGGCCTTAGCGCAGGGGAATGCGCGGCGGGCGGCGCGGCGGGCGGCGCGGAGGGCGGCGCGGAGGGCGAGCCGTCGAGCGCGGTGCTAGCGATGAGCGGCGCTCTCGCGGGCGCAACCTCGACCGTGGCCACCAACCCGCTCGACCTGATCAAGACGCGCCTTCAGACGTCGACGCGGCCGACGAGCGTGGGACCGGTCCTCGCCGCGGTGTGGAAGGAGGCGCGCTGGAGAGGGTTGTACGCCGGCCTCGTGCCGCGCCTCTTCTCGGCCATCCCGCGCTCCATCTGCACCGTGCTCGCCTACGAGCGGGCCGTCGAGTTTTGTAGGAAGTAGAAGAGACAAGAGAGAGAGTAGGACTTGCCAGATGCCACGCTTTACGACTCCGCGCGTATTTTCTCCTGCCGGCCGACCCTCACAGCTCACAGTACACAGATTCTCTCTTCTCACCTTGGGGAGCTGGGGGGAAGACGTTGGGCACGTTCGCAGGGTAAGAAAGCAGGATCGTTTTGGAAGGTCCCGATCAGGGCGAAACTACACCAGGTACGTGCTTTCACCGCGGGAGTTTTTTCTGCTGCTCGCGCCACTCCACCGGCATACATTTTGTGTATGTGGCAGCTCGCTCACGCGGAGCAACCGCGGCGACGGCGGCAGCCCTGCCTGGGCGCAGCGAGGCTGGCCTCCGACCTGGCACAGCTGCCGGCGGTGCACTCGCTCGGCCGCCCTGGGGACGACGCCCCGCGCATCGCCACCGTCGCGTTTGAGGCCGACGGCACGCTGCTCGCCTCTGCGACGGTGGGCGGACGCGTAGGCGTGCAGCAGGTCGAGCAGTATTTGCCTTCGGCGGTGTCCGCTGCTGCGGCGGCGGGGCGCAAGGACGGGCACCGCCTCACGCCCCGACCTTCGGCCGAGACACTCCCGCTCCTCGAGTTTGAGACACGCCGGACTGTCGCGGCGCTGCGCTGGAGGCCGGGACGGGCAGGCCAGCTGGCGGTGGCGGCGGCGGCCCCGCGGGGCTCCCACGCGCCGCAGGGCGGAGGCGCGGGCGTGCTCATCTACGACGTGGCCAGCGCCCGGCCAGAGAGGCCGGTCCACCTCTGCTCTGACGGCGCACCCGGCGCGCTGCACGACCTCGTCTTTGTCGACGCGGGCGGGGGCGGGGGCTCTCCCCTGCTGATCGGCGCCGGTCGGGACGGCGAGCTTCGAGCGTGGGACTTGCGCGACGCGCGGCCCGTCGTCCGTCCGTCCAACACCGTCTCCGGCTGGACGCTGGGCAAGCGAGCGCGCGACTACAAGAGCGGCGCTCCGCCAGCCTCGCCCCTCCCGGCCCCACGCCTGGTCCGCCTCCCCACCCCCGCTCGTGGACCCCGCGCCCAGGCTCCATCTCGGCGCTCGCCGTCGACGCGCGCGAGCAGCTCGTCTCCGCTGGCACGCCCGACGGCGAGGCGCCGGACGTGCGCGAGACACGTCCGGGACATGTCCGTGACGTGTCCCACAGGCACGTCCGACGGCGCGCTGCTCACGTGGGACGTGCGCAACCTCAAGTCGGTGCTCTGCTGCACGCGCGTCAGCCGCGCCCTCGCCGGCCGCGCCTCGTCGGGCGTCGACTCGCTGCTGCCCCACCCGCGCGTGCGCGACACGCTCCTCGCTCAGCTCTCTTGCGGCGCCGTCGCTGCCGTCGATGTCTGTGCGGGCGCCCGGTCCAGCGAGGCGGCAGGGGGGGGAGAGGGAGGGCGACGGAGTGAGGCGCGTCTGGTCCGGCTAGGCGCCATCCTGTGCCACACCGCGGTGGAGGACCCCGCCTCCGCAGCAAGGCGGGCCGAGGCAGTGACCCGCGAGGAGGAGTGTTGCCCGCTCCACCTCCACCAACCAGCCGCGAGACTGCTCTCTCAGCTCCGCAAGCCCGCGCCTGTAGGAGCCTCCCGCCGCCGCCTCCTTTGCTCACCGCGGCGGCCCGGTCGAGTCCGCCGGTCGAGCCCTCGAGACCTCGAGGGTAGAGTCGCGCAGCCGCCCAATAGGCAACCGGCTGGCGTGGCTCTGCGGGGACGAGTGGCTGGCGTGCGGCGTCCCCTCCTCGCCGGCGGTGGGCCTGCTGCAGCTGAACCACGGCTGCTCCGCCATCGCGGCGAGGCTCTTCACGCCGACCTCCGCCCCGGCGTGTGCCCTCTCCGCTTCGCCGCGCGGACACTTCGTCGCCCTCGGCCTCGAGGACGGCTCCATCGGCATGTTGCACCCGCTGGCAAACAAGCGCGAGGCGGAGGAGCGCGCGGCCGAGGAGGCGCGAGACGCGAGCTCGAAGCGGCAGGCGTCGGCCGAGCGGGCGGTGGACGCGGCGCGCAGCTGGCTGGAGCCGTCGCTACGCGCGGCTGGTTACCATTGGGGCGGCGCCTCCCGCGCGCTCTCTCTCCTCTGCTGCGCCGCTCCGGAGAGCGACGCCACCTCTCTCCTCGGCTGGCTGGGCGGCTCCAGCCCAGCTCCTGTCCTGACCGCCCTCGAGGCCGTGGCCCTCGAGGGCGCGGCTCCCGCCCCAGCGGCTGCCGGCGTGGGTGGCTCGATCGCATTGGCATGCCGGCATTTGCTGGCGGCGAGGGTGGCGGCAGAGGCGGAGGCCGCGGAGGCGGCGGAAGAAGCCGCGGCGGCCGCAGAAGCCGCGGCGGCGGAGGCGGAAGCCGCAGAGGCTGCAGCGGCGGTGGCAGAGGCGGAGATGGCAGCGGCAGCGGCAAGAGAGGAGGCAGAGGTGACGGCGGCACCGCCCCGGCCGCCAGCACGGCCGCCACGAAGCAATCTTGCTCCCGCTCCCGCTTCCACTGCCACGTCTGCGCTGCAGCAGCGCTGTGAGAACCCGCCAGCAACGGCCAGAAGAGATCAGCCACCTCTCGAGGCGAAAAAGATGCGACAGTCCTCGTTGGCGGCGCTGTGGGGGCGACCCTGAGCGGCGCTGTCGCTGTGGTCAGCGTCTCGGGGCTCGGCCAATCGGTACAATTTTCTACACATCTCTGAATAAATAAAAGGCAGGGAGCAACAAGACCGGTTCGCGACTTTCTTTTTCCGCTCGCATGGCACATATGGCTTATGGGGCTCGACATATCGTGTTCGACATCCTCGTTCGCTCGCTCGCGCGCTCTCCTCGTCGCGGCTCGCGCGCTACGACGTGTACGGCTTTACGAGCTAGCGCACCCTCCACCTCCCTCTCGCGCCCCCGTTCGCCACGCCGCAAGCAGCTTGCCCTCGGCGATAGTGAGAAGCCGTCACTTCCTAAAGCCGTATGTGCGATCCGTCTTGGAGAGGCACTTTGTATGGGTTTACACTAGTAGCGGAAAAAGAAAGAATGGCCCCGCCGGAGGCGAGTTACTGATTGCTGAAGGGATTTTTTTCCGGCCGCCGCTGTCTTCACTTTAGCTGCCCGAATGACTGCGAGAAAGTGCGCGCACGATCCCTGCAAAATCCACGCAAATATTCCACCCTGTCATGTGCGTCCTCAATAATGAAACCCCCACCTTTCCACCCGCTCGTTCTACATGACGGTGCACGCGCACAGCTTGAACTCGATCTCTACGTTTATGATGCCCTTGCCCGAGACGCAGCAACGGCAGACTCCAATTCCAAATACGGGCGGCACGTCATCATCGTCCTCCCACTCCTCTGCGAGGTGGATGCACGTCACTGTGCCGTGCCTGAAGTTAGGCCCAATCGCAATGCCAACGCCCTGGAAGAAGGGATCGAAGGCCACCGGCAGCTTGTCCGCGTCCAGGAGGAGCTCGGCAATCACGGCCGTCGCATTGGCCACCACGTCTTGCATGTCGTCCATCTTATCGGCGCGGCCGCTGAGGCCAAGGCAGTGCAGGTATGGCTTCTCGCCGAGGATCTCGTCTGGCTCTTCCTCTACGTAGCCAAGCCGCCCCACCTTTTTCATCGCATCGCTTGTCAGCTCGCCGGAGATTGCCTGGAAAGGTGGCACCGCCTGAATCGTGTGGCACAGCTCTGCGGCACGCGGCGGCAGCCCTGGGGTGGTGGAGTAGCCAATTGGATCGGTGCGCGCCGCATTGTACTGGTGAAATATCTCGTTCCGCAGCGCCTCGATGTACTGCTCCATGTCAAGCCTCTTTTTTGCCAGGTAGTCTGGCCGTGGCGGTGGCGCTCCTGGCATCGGCAGATCGCCCTTGCCGTCTGCGCACGATTTCAGACGTTCGAACGTGCGCTTGATTCCCGACCACGAGAGCGAGGGTAGCTCGAAGCCGAACGTCTTGCCGGCGGCAGGCTCCGGCTCTCCTTTCCCGACCGTGATCATCACGCAGCTAGGCACTGTCTTGGCGAAGCCGTCCCGACCTATCTTTCAGCGCGAGTAAAATGACCCTGGAGGGGGCGGGCGGTTTTTCTTCTCAATTCCGCCTCTCAGCCCACCGACCCCGGCGAGAAGGCCGCTGCATACAAACCAGCACCGACCAACTCCGGGACCCCTGTGCCCTGAGCCCAAAGCCATCGAGCAGAGACGCCGCTTTCTGGACAACACGCGATAATCCCTGGCTGGCTGGCTGGCGCCAAAAACTGCTGGGGTAATGAGGCTACAACGGAGGCGTCGGGCGAATCGGTGAAGGCGAGGATGATCGATGATCGTCGAAACGACCTCGTCGCAGTCGGTCACTTGAGAGCCCATCCTTGAAGCGTCTTTACGGCCTGTTATTCAGAGCACAAAGGCGCATTCGCACGATAGACGATTAGCATTAGGGGGGGTCTGTAAGTACCGGGCGTTGCATGAGTCACCAGGGGCCTAGGCGCTAGGGGGCTACTAGCAACTAGGGCGAGTGCCTCTACATTCGCAGATATTCGCGGCGGGGGCAGAGCACGCGCATAGCAAGCGCAGTGGCCCACACCTGGTTTCAGCCCGGGGCTGCTGCAAAACGTTATGAGCATTGTAGCTCCCCCACCTGGTGTCGAATTTCTTTTTGAGTTTGACTTTATTTTTGTTTTCGTGCCGCCGCCCGCGCCGCCCCCGGCCGCGCGGTCTCCTCCCCCGCCGGTGCACGCCTCCAGTGCTTCCCGATAGCGTACGTACGTGTGTTGTTTGCGAGAGTCAGAGAGGATAGGCTCGCAGTGTACGGCTCTAACACAAACAACGCAACCCGCGCAACCGGCACATAAAGAATCTGCCGTCGCACTTGCCTCTCACTTCTCGTCCCGCTCGCCGCGCGCTGATGGCTCGCCCTCAAGCTCTAGCGCTACCTCCTCCAGCAGCTCCGCACGACCTTTCAGGTCCTTCCGCAGCGCCCACACCGCACCGGCGACCACCGCGACGTCGACGAACAGGTTCCCGGCATCGGCCAGAGGGTTGGTGTCAGTGCGGAAGCCCCCCACGCCGGCGATGATTCGCGTCAGGGCGACGTAGGATGCGATCGAAGCGCCGGCAATGGTGGAAGGGTAGACGAAGAAAATTCGCGCCTGCCTCAGCGGCGCACGCGTTTCGGCCGTGATTTTCACCTTTGTGGAGAACTCGCGCATCGCAGCGGCCGCGCGAGGCGTCGGAGCGCCAGCTGCGCGTCCCGCGACGCGGAGAGCGGACGCGTCTAGAGCGAGCGAGGAAGCGACGAGCAGGCACCACAGCGCTCTGACGAGCTTCATACTAGAGCTGAGCGCTTCTCTGTGCTTTTGCCAGTCTTTTCTTTTTGTCGATTTTTGAGTACCACCTGCGGGACGCGGCCACGAAAGGTGTGTACAGCGCAGTTCCAGCGGACGCAGCGAGCGTCGGGACTCCGTCTCTGAGCTTGATGATCTCGCAGTGTGACCGCAGATGATCTCGCCAGTCTCTGCGCTGTGTGCTGCTGGCTTTGCCGCCGCGCTGTATGCGCACCGCTTTTGGATGCCGCCGTGCGTGCTCAAGGAGCCGGAGCGGTGCCGCGCCTTTGGTCGGCTGTCGTACTTCACCGTGCAGACCAACCTGATCAACTTTGCGTACCACACACTACGCTGCCTCGCGCCGAAACACCCGCTCGTCGGCCGGCTGCACCCGCTCGCCTTTGCCACGGCCAGCATGCTGACAGTCTTATACTACAGTCTCGACCACTGGAACGCGCAAAAGGCGGCGGGCGACCGGAAGTGGATCGCCAAAGGCTACACCAGGCTCCCGCTCGGCAACCACGTCGAGCACGGCCACGCGCTGCCGCTCGCACTGCTCGACGCGCTCTGCCTGCCGCGCGCGGCCGCGTCCGCCAGCGACGTGCTCTGGATCAACGGCGGGTACGGCGCGGCGTATTTCGCGGTGATGGTGCTGCTGGGCAAGCGGCTCAACGGGGAGTGGATCTACCCCGTGCTCGACGACCTCGAGAAGGGGTTCGGGCCGGCAGGCCCTTACCTGCTCGCCGCTGCAATCATCGCGATTTCCCTCCTGCTCGGCCTCGCGGACCGCTCCCTGGCCGCGGGCGCGGCGTGAGTGGGGCGTCGAGCATAGGGTTGTCAAACGTTAACTTTGGGCCTAACAGTTGCACAATTGTTGGCTGAAATCCTCAACGTTTTTCAAGTGTTCTCCCCAGCCCAAGCTGTTACTGTTTGCTGTTGTTACTGTTGTTCAGTGGTCAGCAAGCAGAAAATGTCAAAAAACCCGGGTAAACCAAAAATACGTTTTGCGTTTTTCCCGGGTATTTTTTCGCATTTCGGGTATATTACCCGCACTGGACGCTGGAGATCGTCGTGGTTACTTCCCCCAGGATTGGTCTTCACTGCCCGCGGGAACACCCTCGGGCGGCCGGGTGGGGCTGCGTGCGGCTGGAGCTAGCATGGCTCGGTAGAGCCGAGACCCCGTGTTGAGCTTGAGGCGGCGCTCCCGTGGGCGGCTGTGGAATCGGTAGATTCGACCTCAGATCTCCAGTATTCTCATCCCAGTGGATGAACGTCCGGACGTCCCTTTGTGTTCCTCTCGCCGTCCGCCAGCGAGACGCTCTGTCGCTGGCGGCCGCAGTTTTCTGTGACCAGAGAAGGGTCACTGCCAGGCCTTCCTTATTGTTGTTCAGCCGGCCTAATGTTCGCTACTGTTGTTGGGGAGCCCCACTGTTGTTCTGTTGTTACTGTTAACACTAGCAACACTGTTCAGCTCTTAACGTTTGACAACCCTAGTCGAGCACTGCGCTGAGTCGCTCCTGAGAGGAGCTGTGTGTCGCTCTGTGGGTCGGGGCGCGAGACGGTTTGCAGGGATCCAACAGGCGGAGTGGAGGCTCGAGGGGCGTCTCAGGAGAGTTCGGCGTGGCTGACTGCACGCTAAAGGCTACACGCTCGCACACCACTTGCAGAGTGGCTCTCCCAGGCGCTCACCCCACGGCGGAGGCACGCCAGGCCCCGGGCAGCCGGCCGTCACTCGCCTAAAAGCGCCTAAGCGGCCTAAGCGGGGGGTGCTTAGGGTGCTAAGGCGCTTAGGCGGCCCTTGCGAGCGTAGGCCCGTAGCGGCGTGGTGATATCGTGTAATACAGGTGACTCCGATGACACTCATGATGCCCCTGCTAGTGTCATCGCTCAGAGAGCAGCCTCACGTGCACGCAGTGTGCAATCTTTACCGGTATGGGAGTTTTTGGCTAATCAAACCCAAGGCCTGCACTAATCAAAAAGTGGTACGGGATACCAGTTGCCTCACGGAAATCAAAGCGAGTCGGAGTGCCTTCTTGGTGGCAAAATCGGCAAAATCGGCAAAATACCGGGTATTTTGCGGGTACTCGCCTCTGCTGATCCCCACTATCGGCTTGCCTCACCGCTCTCTTGCATCTCTGCTACCTCTCCCCGCACTATTCCCATCTGCGTGACGCCACGGCGTCGCCACCTCACCGTTCTCACAGCGTGCTCTCTCTTCAGTCGCGTGCTCGCGCCCACCCGCCTCCCTCCACCCTTCGGCCACACTCCCCCTGTCTCTCACCGCGTAGCTCCGCCCCCACCCCGTTCGCCTCTCGCGCCGCGAACGCCGCACTCATCGTGTCGCCGCCTCACCTCGCCACCCCGCCTCTTGGGCACTGCCGCAGGCGCTAGCCGCGTTGACCTCGACCTAACACGAGGACGCGTCCATGACGCGCCGCCTACCGCCACCGCCGAAACTCGACGGCAGCGCCCGTCGCGGCGGGCCAATCCCGGAGTATATTTCCGTGTCCACACGCAGTGCACCTCGGCGCTATCCGGTCGCGCTTTCGGACAGGTGTCACCGCACCGCGTGAAGCGCATACGTTTTTTACTACCCGCGTCAATTGTCCGTCCATCCGCCACTTTCCCGAGCCTTGCACGGTATTTTCCTTGCAGAGCTCTCTCTCTCTCGGTCTCGCCGCTCACCCCTCACCGAGAGACACACACACACCCACATCTAGGCTGTTCCCTCGTTTGAGACCGACACAAACCACGTCACGCCAAACAGCAAAAGCGATCGTCCTTTCACTGCACGGCCTAGTGGGCCAATGCCTCCTATGGGTCGAGGTGAATTGAGTAGCCCTTCCTGCAGTAATAGCACACCTGCTCGGCCGGGTTCTTCTCTTCCGAGCAGCCCGGCATGGTGCACTTGGAGCTCCCCTTGTCCTCGGCGGGGTGGGACGCGGCACCGTTTTGAACTGACATCGACACCGCGCCCCCGTCCACCACCACCGTTCCTCCTTCCGTGAAGCAGCGGCCAAGCGCAGCCTGCCCGTCTTGCACAGCGCTCGCCGTGCTGGCCGCTGCCGTTGAAACAACGACCTCACTCGCGGGCGCGATCGTGATGTCCCACGGCTCCTTAAGCACATCGCAGCACGTCTTACACATGGGGCCGCTTGCGTCTAGCCCAAGACGTGCGAGCACACCATCTTGCCGGCAGTGCCGTCCACACACGCAGCAAGCGACGAGCATCCCGCCGTCCGGCATAACGTTGACCACTTCCCACAGCTGAATCTCACGTGCCTCCGATGCTGTAAGTCCGGTGTGCAATCCCACCTGCAGCTTACCTGACGGCATTGCCCTGGTCACCACTCTCAGAACGGGTCGACCTCTTTCGGACGACCTGGGTCGACCTCTTTCGGACGACCTGGGTCGACCTCTTTCGGACGACCCCTGTTGTGCCAAAAAACAAGAATCTTAAAAGAATTTAAATAATTTCGCCACGCGCCTCAGACGGCTTGCACCACGCTCTTTCCCTTAAACTCTGTTGGTGGTGGCGTGCCCCCCCCCCCACCCCCCTCCCGCAGCTATCGATATTTCTTTCTTTCAGCGGCTTTCTCTCCGAGCGCCTTTCATTCGCTTACACCTCAAATGACCGTCCGCAATCACCCGGACACATGCGTGCGAATCTCAATCAGCGCCGTACCGATCACCGAACACGTCTCCGCTCACAAATGGGTCAGAGGCGCATATCACCGGCCAGCAACTCCGCCCCCCTCTCGCCTCCCCCCTTCTGGGCATCAGCTCTCGGGCTCGGCCGCCAACATGGACATGGACATGGACATGGACAGACGGGCACCCCCTCGCGCCGCTCGGCCCGCCCTCTTCCCCCTCCCCCAAGCACGCACCTGGGGCGGGCGCGAGCCAGACAGACCCTTGCGCTTGCCTCGAGCGCTGGGGGACTTCGGGCTCGGCCGCCCAACATGGACGTGGACATGGACATGGACAGACGGACGCCGGACCCTCGCGCCGCTCGGCCCCGGGCGCCGGACCCTCGCGCCGCTCGGGCCGCCTCCTCCCTCCCCCCCCCCCCCCCCCCCAAACGCACCTGTCGCGGGCGCGCAAGCCAGACCCCCGCGCTTGCCTCGAGCGCTGGGGAACGTGATGACCAGCACGACGCGCCCTACCCGGTGCGCTGCGCCCTCTTGTCCACCTCGAGCTGCGCCGCCGCGACACGCTCGTCCGAGAAGCTCCCGACGCCGAGGCGCGCCTGCCAGAGCACCGACTTCGGGTGCAGCTCCATCTTCTCCCGCAAGTCGAGCCCGCCGTCGTCCACCGCGATGCCCGAGATCTTTAGCTTCTCTCTCGGTCGCGTGCAGGCCGTGTAAAGCAAGTTGCGCTGCCCCTTGAAGCGGTCGGCGTGCACGTGGACGTTCTTCGCCTGGCTCCCCTGCGCGGAGTACACCGTCACGATGTCCGAGTACCTACAGTGCAGATACTCACACGCCACTCACCATTCCATACTAGCCTGGTAGTTACCCCACGCATTGCCAGGCGTACCGCCACGGCGGGCCCCACACCTTGGCGACGCCGTGCTCGCCGAGGTCGACCCACACGAACTCCTCCGGGATCCAAGCCGACGGGCACCCCTTCAACATCGGGCACGTCACCTCAAGCTGCCGCGTCTCCGCGTGGTAGCACACGACGTCGAGCGGCTCGCCCTTGCTCAGGTACCACCCACGGCCAGCCTGTCGACCCGTCCGCACGCCGGCCTTGCCGATCGGAAGGTAGTGAACCCGCTGGCCCGGGAAGGTGTACACCTCCGTCAGCATCCGCGTCGCCTGACTCGCACGCCGCTGCGCTGGCCGCGGCCAGAAGCGAAGGTCGGACCCCCCCGGTCCGCCAGACTCGCATCGGGCACGCACCACCGATAGCCCCGGCTTCGACGCGAACTTCTCCCTCGCAATCGCGTAAATCTCGAGGTTGTCGTGCACCACGTCCATGAAGGTGTCGTCGGCGACTGTCGTCGAGCACTGCTGCACGATCGGCCAGACCGCGTCGAAGTCCTCGCGCCGCAGACCCCGGCTGAGCTTCAGCAGGTCCGCGTCGCCCGTGCGGTAAATCGTCTCGAGCGGGAAGCACGCGAGCTCGCCGTTGCTCTCTGCGCTCGTGATGAGATCTCCCTCCCAGATCATCTCCCGATCGCCCGCCCCAGCGGCGTCGTTCACAGGGGGCGTCTGCAGCCCGTCCATGAGCAGCACAAACCTAGGCTTGTTGCCGCTGCACACGCGTGGTGCGACTTGATGCGCCATGTCCAGCTGGCCGAAGTGCGTCTGCGCCGCCTCGTCGCACACGAGGGTGCTCTTGGCGAACACCCCCGCCGCCTTCACCTTCCTGGGATCGTTGCGACGGATCCCCGCCACCACCGCATCCGCCGACCACGTCTCTCCGAGCCCGACTCCCAAACCGGTGAACGTCGTGAGCGCCTCGATCTCGGGCGCGAAGCTGCGCCGCGGCAATACCTTGTCGATCGCCTCTTGGATCGCGCGCCGTGCTCCATGAGTGGGAGCGAGCACCGCGATGTCGTCCGTCCGCAGCAGCGCCAGGATCTCGATCAGCGCAGTCTTCCCGCAGCCGGCCGGGCCAGACACGATGGTCACCTCCTTGCTGTCGACAAGCACGCCGTGCAGCGCCGCTCGCTGCGCTACATCGAGCCGCGAGTACAATTGCATAGCCTGCGCCTGCTTGTTCGCAGGTGCCTCGCCGATCACCTTTAGCAGCGCTGCCGCAACCTCATCCTCACCCCTCGGGGCGAGCATGTCGATCACCTCGTCCACGGTCAGATTTGCGCCATCGCCTGTCAGGCCAAGCGCGCGCGCAGCGTCGCCAGGCGAGGTCGCGTCGATTGCGGAGTCGCCCGCGCGCCCGGTCCCTTGCCCGAGCCTCGACGGCGTGGAGAAGGCGACGCCAGCCGCCGCCGCCGCCCCCGTCGCCTCCGGCGCCGTCGCCACCGCCGGACTCTCCACTACCGCCGCCTTGTCCGCCGCCGCCGCCGCCTCTGCCCCCACCGCCTCCGTCGCCGCCGCCGCCTTCAACGCCTCCGCCGCCGCCTCCGGCGCCGCATCGTCCTCATCCGAGGATCCGAGATCCATCGGCAAGTCCGCCGAGTCGCCCGGGCGGGACTCCTCGCGCGGCGCCGCATCCTCGTCGTCGGAGAATCCGACCTCCATGGGCGCTCCCGCGGAGTCGCCCAAGCGAGGAGCACCGTTGCTGGACTCGTCCTCCTCGCTGCTGGCAACGACCGGCACGCGTGACGACAAACCGGGCTCCACGACGGCGGCCGCCATCGCAGGAGCCTCTCCCGTCGACGCAGGGCTCGCCGTCGCCGACACCGCAGCCATTGTGCGCCTAAACTTTCGCACGTGCAGCACCGAAGCCGCAGCAGCCTTTGAAAGCCGCAACAATTCCTCTGCGAGCTGTAGCTCCTCTTCATCGTATTCATAGCCCGCATCGCCATCTCCATCCTCGCCGCCGCCGTCGCCGCCGCCGTCGTCGCCGCCGCCGCCGCTGTCGCCGCCGCTGTCGCCGCCGCTGTCGCCGCTGTCGCCGCCGCTGTCGCCGCCGCCGTCGTCACCGGCCGCTGTGCTACGCGTCGCCTCGGCGAAGCCGCCGCCGATGTCGCCGCCGCCGCTCTCCTCGACGCCGTCGCCTGCCCCGCCGTAGCCCGCCTCACCGCTGTTGCCAGCCTCGCCGCCGCCAGCCTCACCACCGCCTTTCTCGCCGCCGCCCACCTCGCCGCCGTCGACCTCCTCGTCGCCCGTCGCCTCCGCTCCACTGTCGAGCACTGCCTGCACCTCTCCGCCTGCCTCACCGCCAGACAAGATTGCGGAGCCGGCCGCGTCGCCCGCCGCTTCCGTCGCCTCGGGCGAGAGCCCCGCAGCGGTCGCATCGAGCGCCGCCTGCGCCGCCGAGCCCGCTACCGCCCCAGCAGCAGCCGCGGTAAACTGAATGCGCTCGGCCTCCTCGCCGCCGTAGAGCACGACCGCGGCACCGCCGCCCAGCAGCACCAGAGCCATCTCCTCGGCGCCGCCCTCGGCGCCGCCACCTGCGCCCTCGCCGCCGCCCTCGTCGCCGCCCGCCTCGCCGCCGCCCCACACCCGCTGGTCCGAGTCGGACGTGACCGCCGAACCATACACGCCCGCGTAGTACACGCCCTTCTTGCGCGCGAAGGTCAACTCAAGCTCGGCCAGAGCCTGCGGCGCGAGGTACTGTATGGCCTCCCCCGCCTCGCCGCCATACAACGGCCGGGCAACGCCGCCGCCCAGCATCAGTCGCCGGCGCCCGGGGGCGCCATCCGGGAAGCGCATCAGGGCCGGCCGAGGTTCCACCGTCGGCTCGGCGATGGGCATCGAAGTTACCTCCCGCTCCTCGTCCGACCACTCGGAGGTCGACACGGACCACCAGTTCACAGACTCGTTAGCGCCGCTGTTGCCGTCGCCGACACCCTCGCCGCCCTGCATCGAGTCGTCCTCCGAGACCTCGACCACCTCGCCTCCTGGCATAGAGACGTCCTCCGAGCCCTCGACCACCTCGCTGCCCTGCATCGAGTCGTCCTCCGAGTCGGTGACCACCTCGACCCAGACCTCACGAGGATCGTCGCCGCAGCCGTCCTCGGCGCCGACCCCTTCGTCGCCCTCGCCGCCGCCGCCGCTGCCGCCCCCTCCGTCGCCGTCGTCGCCGCCCTCCGCCACGCTCTCGTCGCTTGCCCCGCCGTCGCCTGCCTCGGCCGCATCGCCCGCCGCTGTCTCCGCCGCCTCGGGCGAGAGTCCCGTTGCGGTCGCACCGAGCGCCGCCTGCGTCGCCGAGGACGCTACCGCCCCAGCAGCAGCCGCCGTAAACTGGATGCGCTCGGCCTCCTCGCCGCCGTAGAGCACGCACGCAACGCCGCCGCCCAGCAGAGCCAGAGCCATCTCCTCCCCGCCACCGCCGCCGCCGCCGCCGCCGCCGCCGCCGCCCTCGCCGCCCTCGCCGCCGCCCTCGCCGCCCTCGCCGCCGCCCTCGCCGCCGCCCTCGCCGCCGCCCTCGCTGCCGTCGCCGCTGCCGTCGCCCTCGCCTCCACCGCCGTCTACGTCGCCGCCGTCGCTGCCTCCCTCCGCCTCGCCCTCGCCTCCGCCTCCCTCCGCCTCGCCCTCGCCTCCGCCGCCATCAGCATCGTCCTCGCCATCCCCTCTCTCCGCCCCGTCGAAGCCGCCGCCGTCCGCCTCCCCGCCGCCTCCGCCGCCTCCGCCTCCGCCACCACCGCTATCGCCACCCTCGCCGC